AAAAGGTGCCCACAGTCGATCACTCCAACCAAAGCTGAACAGGAAAACATGCAAAGTCCATCGTGGACTACGGAAACACCTATCAGCGCTGATCGTCCAACTCAGGACAGGACAAATCGGCTTCAATGCTTTCCTCTACAAGAGAAGAGTGCCCGGGGTCGACAGCCCTCTCTGTTTACAGTGTGAGAGCGGAGAGGAGATGACGGTGGAACACGTTATACTGAAATGCCGGCGGTGGAACGAGCTACGAGCAAGAGTCATTAGGAACAACGCCGGGGACTCCCTAGCCGCGATACTCAGCACAAGACAAGGGTGCCTTGAGGCGGCCCGCCTAGTCCTGGCCACAGACCTGCTGGCACAGTACAGGAACTACAGAGAGGTGGGGGAGGAGGGCGACGAAGGAGAGATAGCAACAAGGGACGAAGAGGAAGAGATGGAGAGGGAGGGAGAGAGCGAACAAGAGCGGGAGTAAGCAAGGAGGGATAGGGAAGAGAGAACCGTCTTCATAGGCCCGCGAAGGGTGATTACTGGACGTTAAAAGGAATTAATAATAATAATAAATAATAGTAGATCTATAACGCTCTTCTTCTTCCTTTTTATTAGGATCGCCTTAGGCTTAACGCGCTTAGGCTTTAGTAAGACGAGAGAGAGAGAGCTAATACTATTCCTTAATACTAACGAAGTCTCTAAGGACTTCGCTAGACTATCGATATCTATAGGGCTAGAAGACGAAGAGGGCTACGAGAGCTTACTCTTCTTAGGCTTACGCTCCCTAGTATCCTTCTTCTTTAATAGGGAGACTATAACTATAAGCTCTTATTCGACTATAACTCTAGCGGTTTTAATGAAATTATAACTAGTAGTAATCGCCGGGACTTCCGCCATAGCCTTACTTATCTCTACCTTCGAGGGTCTTTCTATCGTTATAAGCGGTATATTAGATAAGGGGGATCATAACTATCGGGACGAAGATTCCGCCGAAACCGCCCTTCTCTTTATTTTCTTCTTCTCCTTCCGTACCTTCTTTACTACGATACGGCTTTCTTTATCTATAACGTCTAAGAACCAGCCGTCCAGTCTAGATAGAGAGGGTCGGGAGGGAGATAAATTCTTGATGGCGCCTGATAGGTGCAAGCTTCTTGTTCTCCGGAAACTCCCTAAGTACTTATTACTATCCGGTAAGCCGGAGTATCTAACGGTCTTAGGAGTATTGATAGAGAACTAACGAGGACCTAGTATCGTAGTAAATAAAGTAGAAGTTATAGATATTAGAGACGTACGAGGAGTCTAGTAGATAGCTTGTTCTTTATTTATTATAGTAATAGGCGGATAGGTAATTTATAGGTATCCCTTCTATCGGCCACCTCCGGGGCGTAAGGGCCTATTTTAGAAGATAATCTATCCGATCCCGCCGCTAGCGTCTTAAACTAGAGATTATTACACCGTAATTTAGAGATAAACCCCTATACCGCGAGGATACGTCGACCTTAGCTCCTAAGTAGTAAGTACTCGGAGGTTAAGGTCGATATATTAATACTGGTATAACTAGTAAAGATAATACCTAGAAATAAAGAGCCGACGACGAGGTAGATAGGTCGCTAAAATAGATTTTATCGATTATAACTATTTTATTTCCGTCTAGCGTAGCTATCGCTCCTTCTAAGCCGTAAAATTACAGTAATAGGCATTATAACGATAGAAGAACTATCTATACTTATCTCTTAGAGCGTTCGCGTAAAGGCGTTATAATACGCTTAGTATAAGAGGCTTAATTCCCTTAAGCACCCTCTAATATCGCCGTCGTGCAAGCACGCCGACGCCCTGGAGAGGGCGGCTGTCGTATTGAAGTATCTATACTCCGTACAGAGTACAGTGATTAGTCATCTTAGACTGTCTCCTTTTCGGCCTCAGCCTCATAGCACAAGTCAATGACGCTGTCCGCTGCACCGTTAAGAACTCAAGTGAACTACGTGGGTACCATCAAGCCGACAGTAATGCCACAGAGCGCAATTGCAGCCATCCTGAATGTACCAGTGGAATCGGGTGTCGCTAAAGAAGGGACTTGACATAATAGTACTTTTAGCACAGGTCATGTGATCGCCCCTTTTAACCTAGGCATGAGGATAAATTTTGTACTTCTCCATCTCCAGCTGGACAACCAACCACTTTCACGACGTTGGTATCGGTTGTGCTTCTTGTTGTATTTTCACTATCCACCTAGCCTTCCTCTGGGTTTCCGGTCCGTTTTCTTGCCTACCACCTCGCCCACGAATAGCTCTTCGCCTTGCTTGTCTAAGCATTGGAGGAGACGTCATTGAAATCTATCTAGCTCAGCATCAACGGCATTCCTGCGCGTCAGCAGACCAAACACCACTTGTCGAAAGACCATCCTTCGGTAGGAAGATTCGAACCAGGATCAAAATCAGGCCTACGAGAGGCGCGACGATGCACGGAGTATGAGCTGACTGAAGCTGGACCAAACAGGAACCATCACAATAGGGAGAAGTAGTCACGTGAACCCGCACGCCCACCCCCACCTTTCATCATGCTGAAACTGCTCAAACGGACGACCCCTCCAACTTCTCCCTCATTTTTCCTTCGGCCCTCGAACATTCTTTCTCCTCGCCGTACAGCTGCTCCCGGGATCGTTCGTCATTTCTCTGCATCGTCCGCCAACATGACCATCAAAGCCTGGTTCGACGTCGAGTACACCGACGCTGCTCTGGACAGAGCCCGCACCGATGCACAGCGCTCGGGAGGCGAGGTCCCTCCTCGTAAGTTGCGTCCCTCACCTTCCCTCTCACCTGAATCAAGCCCACTTCTTGTGATGGAAGCATGGCAGATCCTTTAGCTTGACTCTCGTGGCCTGCAACTCTCCTTCACACTCGGTTACTGACTTGTTTATTCTACCGCAGCCAAGCGAGGACGGATCAACTTCAACCTCTTCGATGAAGTAGTCCCACGAACTGCCGAGAACTTCCGCGCTCTCTGCACCGGCGAGAAGGGGTTCGGCTACAAGGGCAGCAAATTCCACCGAATCATTCCTCAATTTATGTTGCAGGGTGGCGACTTCACTCGGGGCAATGTCAGTACTCCTCCAGGGACGTGAAAAAGAGTATATACACTGACATGAGTGGCTCAGGGTACCGGCGGCAAGTCCATCTATGGCGAGAAATTCGCGGACGAGAACTTCAAGTTGCAACACAACAAGGACGGACTGTTGTCTATGGCCAATGCTGGTCCAAACACGTAAGTGGGCCCAACGTCAACCGCGAGCCAGATTTTGCAGCACCCACTACCACGGTACATGCCCTTTGGAGGATAAATCGGCTAATCTTGTTGTCCATGTGCAGCAACGGTTCCCAGTTCTTCATCACCACCGTCGTCACTTCCTGGTTGGATGGCAAGCATGTTGTCTTCGGTGAGGTCGCCGACGCCGAGAGCTTGAAGATCGTCAAGGAGCTTGAGTCGACTGGTTCAGGCACTGGTCAAGTCAAGCTGAACTTTAAGCCCACCATTGTCGATAGCGGTGCCGATCCCAAATAAAGGGCTTGTCGGTTGCGGTAACGAAAGCATATCGTGACGCGGAGGACGGTCCCCAGCGAGAGCCTGCGGTTGGCAGAGCAAACTGTGTGAACGAATACAACAACCATGCATTTAAAACGCCGTATGCTGCTGACGAGGGCAATATGGGCAATATTGGCGGGCATGGCTAGAAAGACACAAGTCATAGGTCAATGAAAAAAGTTGATACTCTCCCAAAAAGAGCCGACCCTGCTGAACGCAAACAGGTTTTAATTAATTTGTTGACAAACCCCCTCGTGGACTACTGACTACTCGCGGTTTATTTTGTTCTTTTGTCCTCGCCATACCCTGTGCTGCTATACATAGGGTAAGGAGAGGCGCGTTTCCTCTCTCCCCATACATAGCAGGAAGTGCATGCTCGGTGCCCGACGAGTCCTCCTTCTCACGGGGTTGGCCCCTACCAATCGCAGCCTGGCTCAATTGATCCCAACAACAAACCCGTCATTACAGAAATGTGTACGTCAGACATGTATTCGCAACAGTGAATCTGCCAATTGTGAACAGTTTAAAAGGCATGCAGACCCGGTTCAACATCTGCGATAGAGAGGGTTGAGCCAGAAACAAGTAACCGACGTGATCGTAGCCTCCTTATATTTATTTTGGCTGGTGTCTTTGCATTGACTGACATTCTCATTTCCAACGCTCCCCATTTGTTGCTAGGTCCACCGAGTTAGCCCCCTCAGCCTGGCCGAGCCCACTAGTGGTAGGTCGATCGACCGTCCCCTGTTCCCGCTCAGAAGATGTCGTCGCAAACACTCCAATCCTTCTCTAACCGTTTTTTCCAATATTGCCCGTTGTATTCCCAGTATGGTTCGCCCGTGACAGGATGGGTTGCCTTGTGGAACCACTTAGGCTTCCAGTCTTCGCCGGCGGCCTCACGCTTCCGTCGAGTTGCGCGCTGCTTTTCTTCGACCCGGTTCTTCTCGGTCGCGGCGAAGTCATACTCTCCATCCTCCATGGCGCGCTGGTCCGGTCGCAGTCGGGTATCGGTGGGCGGTATGTGCGGTCGCAAGCTGTCCGGGAGAGCGTTGAGCGTTACGACGAAGGGTGTGAGATTGAATGGGATACCCTGTGGTCGAGGATGGGCTTCCCAGACCAAGAAGGCCTGATGGCCAGTTTGACATCCCAGCCTTGCTTGATTGGTCTTGGCTTCGCCCACAGCTTCGTCCTCATAGCCTTCGGTGATGCGGGCGTAGATCTTGTCGTTCCATCGACCGCCGATACTCCACTTGGTCATGCCGTCGACTCCCACAACCTTGCCGAAGACCTGGTATGCCGAGCTGGCTTTCCATCCTCGTTGTTTGAACTCCAGCACGCAAACCTCTCCGGTGTTCCAATTCTTGATCTCCATTGACCCGTAGTTGTCCACCGTCGGGCTCCCCGTAATGATACCAACGACGGAACTGGTAACCTTCTTCCAGGTGTACAGCTCTGGGGGGCCACCGTTCGAGGGCCGTAGGCGAAGGAACCATGTACCCAACGGGTTGATATCGAATGATCTGCCGTAGAACTTCGACCTCACCGCGGATTCTCCCCAGTAGTCCCACCGAGCAGATTCGGCGTGGGCGGCGCCAACGGGAGGGTGATGGCTTACTTGCTCGATGAAGAATCGGTATCCTTTGTCAGGTCGGACGTACTCGTAAGTCTCGCCTAGTAGCGGGTTGAATGGTTTCGCGACACGACCGATGGTGCTGGCGTATTCTGAGGCGGCAAAGGCGGCAACATACACGAGTCGCTCGGTCGAGTCCGGGCGATCGGCCGCGATATCCAGGAGATCGGCATATTCCATATCTTCGGCGACACGTTGCAGAAGAGACGTTGGTTCGTTGAAGGACACCGGCAAAGTCATCTTCGTCATATCTTTACCAATCATCGATTTGAGAATGCTCCAAAGCGAGATCTTGGGACGGTCGTCTGCATCCATCTTCAGCTTCTCGCGCACACCATCTTCGTAACCGGCGTAGGATGGGATGATCTCCATCTGCTTGCATTCCCGTTCATCTAACTTTGAGAACGGCTCCTGTTCCTGTTCTGGTTTACCCAGCGGGACTTGGACGGGCGGAGGACTTAGCAGGGGAGGCTCAACAACTTCAACGATTCCGGCATCAATAGCATCAAAGAACTCCTCGTCATCGCCTGATTCCGAGTCTGAGAGGTCTGTGAATTGCGCAATGAGGGACTTTCTTCTGTTGCCCTCTCGAGAGAATGACTTCCTTCGCGATCGGTCTCTCACTGTAGGTTGGCCTTCTGGTCGGAAGGCCGACTGGTCCTCAACAGCCTCCGCAAACTGAACGTGATCTGTCGACTCATGGGGAACCACGGAGCCTGGTCGGGTGACTGGCCTAGACTGGCCTTCGAGGGCCTCCTTCAGCGCCCGCTTCGTTCGCTTGCGCTTCTCTTCTGACTCAGCGATTGATCGCTTCAGATCCTCATGCTCAAATGCGATCTTGGCCATACTCTCTTCCCACATTCTGCGAGCATCGGCATCTCTCTCCAGACGATACTGCCAGTAAGCATCGCGATCCCGAGATATTTTCAACAGATCTGTCACCAATCCATTCAAACTACTGACGGCAGTCTGGTAGGTGGCAAGTGCCTGCGAAACATCTTCGTCAGACAAGGTCGTGTCGGGATGAGATGACTGGCGAGCCATCAGAGCCTCGGAGACTCGAGACAGAAGGTCAAGTTGCAGCTTGGCTGACTGTGCAGTTATATTCAAAGCATCTTTGCTTCCTGGCTGGTGAAATTCATGACTGCTGGCATCATCGCCATCGCCATCCTCGTCCGCATCAATGGTCGCAGTTGCAGCATTAGTAGGCATACGTTGGAGGTCATCGCCAACAATACTTGGATCGTTCGAATCGTACATTGAACCACCATCTACGTCAGTGCGTAGAGTCACTCTAGATGACCCTCCTGCGACTCCTAGCGATGAAGCAGGCTGTTTCGATCGGCTGCTCGCCACTGCCACACTGAGTTGGTCAGACGACTCGACCCTGACGTGGCGTAAAGTGTCGGCATCCAGGTTCCGTCTCTTTTCCTCTTCTCGGGCCTCATCCTTTGCGTATTGAATGGCATTGTTGAGCGCCCAGAACCATCTCTTGGCTTCAACAACGTGATTGGCTTTCAAATGGTACTTGACAGAGGATTTTCCGTGAATCTCGAATCTTGTTTTGTCTTGCGCGTCCATGTGCAGTCGCGCAATGCGCATGTTGATGGCCCCGCGGCAAGCAGAACCGGCATCGTCCTGGTGCTTGTAATAGCTCAGGACCCCTTCTTCAAGGACGAACCAGCGCAACTTGTAGCCACTTGTATAGTTTGTCCACTTCTTGAGGTATCCCTTCATTTCGCGCGCATCTTTGGTGGTATCATTGGCACCGGCGGAGGACCTGAACTGTGAGGGATGATTCCCGAGAATCGCCTTCTCTTGAATCCCTCTTTGGGCAGCTGCCGCAGCAGGCGACTTCTTTAAAATTGCCCTGGTTCTGTCGTCTTTCGTGACGTCCTGTGGGAGTTTACCTTTGCGATCTCTCCTGAACGGATCTGCGCCGTGTAGGAGAAGGATTTGTGCCAGTTGGAGGTCGCGCTTGCGGGCCGCCTCATGCAGAAGTGTTCCTCCGGTCTGGACCGTCAGAAGGTCGGTTGGAAGCTCCAGGGCGTTGACATCAAGGGTGCCTTCGACACGAGGCTCCACCAGGAGAGCTTCCAGGTGTTTATAATCACCCTGCGCCAGCGCAGCGTGCATTTCTTTGATTTTATCATCCAGGAAAATTGACCGGGCAAGCTGGAGTTGTTGAAATATCTCTGGAGTCCGAGCCAGATCTATTGGCAGCTTCCCTTGCCTGTTGGGTAATGAATCGTTGATACCGGGTTGGTCAAGCAGGTCTTTCACAACAGGCGCCCGTCCCAATTGCGCGGCCAAATGTAGGGCCGTATTTCCTTCCCTGTCCTGAGCGTTGATATCTAGGCCCTTTCCTTCTCTTACTACTTGTTCCACCACATAAGGCTCGGCGCACTGTACCGACAAATGCAGTATTGTGGTTCCTGGTATCGGTTGGGGGTTGCTCGGGGAAGGTATGGACTCGGTGATGGCCTTCGAGATGGCGGAGGCATCTTTACTTCGTAGAACTTCGAATACGCGGAACGTTCGCACCGAATCTTCTATGGAGCTGCTATGGCCTGGAGACAAGCCCGAGGGAACCTTGTGGGCCAGATCTGGACTCGACGAGAGTTCGCTGCCGGGGTCCATCGTCATCTGAGATGTCCTCGTAATCGAGGGAGTCAGAGGTGCAATACGAGGGGCGTCTGATGGCGCCGCTTGGACTGGAGATGCCGTGGTAGAGAATGGCCCGGTGGAGTTGGCGGCGTTCACAGGCGATTCGGTATCGGAGCCAGTGTCTCGCGGAAGAGTGTCACTGCGCAACAGGTTCAGCACTCGAGAGCTCTTGGACCGTCTGTGCATTGGCGTTTCGGACATGGCAGCAAGTGGCCCGGGAGGGGATGAAGGACTTATGTCGGGGCACAAAGAGGGAGAATCAAGGCGACAATAGCCTGCAGGGGGCTCGAACTCACAGAAGTTAGTAATGCCGGATTGATCTGAACTGCTGGGGAGGAGTGATGCTCGTTCACCCCGCCGCCCATCCGCGTATTGATTGGTGCAGCGGCAATTGCGAAAGGACGATCCGCCAAACGCCAACTCCGATGACGATGGGGATAAAGATAAAGACGCTGGTGGGAGAAGTAGCACCCTACGGAGTACTTGAAGGTCGATGCTACGGAGGAGAGACGTCTACTAGGTACAAGGCGCAGACAATAATAATGTCGTCGTCATTCTGTACGCTGCTCGACGCCTTACTGGACTCGTCGCGGGCAGCCTGAACAACCTTGGCCAGGCGAATGACAGCTGGGACCCAGAAAACACACTGCGCAGGTGGGCTGGTAGGCTAGTCCTCCGTACGTACATGGAGTATTGTAATGGCCCACAGAGGCTCAGCTCAACCTTGTTGTCTTCATCGCTTACAAGCTCCAACGGGTGTGACAAATTTGCACGATCCTAGGGGCATCAAAAACAAAGAGAGCCACGCGTGCGGAAGACCCTGCACCCAGTCATGTAATCTTTACTATGTCTGTCTGTCAAAGTCCGCCACGGCTTTCTGCGCATACCAAAAAATCCTTATCCAAGCAGATCGTCCAACCCGTTGCCCAGTGGTGTGCTGGGTTTCCCGGGAGTTGACGCAGTATTAGCAGCCGGAGCTGCCACACCAGGCGTGGATGTTGGGCCTGCTGGTGCCACTGCTCCCCAGATTCCTGCTTGGCTCTTTGCTTTGGCCATACTCGCCAAATCCGGACCCTTTGGAGGCCCGCCCGTGGTCTTGACACCTGCTTTACTACTCGCCGTGCTCCAGAGCGATCCGAACACATCGCCACCACTGCTCGACCCCTGTTTCGATGCTGGCTTGCCCAGGGAGGCAGCAGATGTAGAAGACGTGTATGAAGGAGCTGCTGGAGTCGCAGGGGCCTGAGAGTGAGTGGCCATGGGAACAGAAGTGAAGTAGTTGGGTCCCGTAGACTTGTAAGCGCCTGTCTGTTGAGGAGTGGTTGTTGCTGTCTGCGTAAGCGGCGGAGAGAAAGTCGACGGGCCTGGTGACATTATAGACGAAGACGCGGACGGAGCAGGGGATGCGGTGGCAAAGATGTTGTTGAAACCTGCTGTCTGGCCAGGAGCCACAGGCTTCGGAGCCGCAAATTGTGTAGCAGATGTGGTAGTGGAAGTGGTTGGTGGAGGAACAAAACCAGCCAAAGGATTTGGCACTGCCTGTGTTGTCGGAGGGGTGGCCGATTGAAAGTCGTCGAAGTCATCGTCGTCATTTGCAGCGCTACTCTGCAATGTCCCAAAGTCGCCGAGGCTGTTGGAGCTAGCAGCTGACGGTTTGCCGTTCGATGTCGTGGTCGTGGTCGATGGTTCGTTGCCAAAATCAAAGAGGTCCTGTTCCGGCTCTTTGGGCTTCGGCGATTCTCGTTTCGGTGCAGTCGTCCGGGTGGCAGTGCTCCTTGCAGGCCTTGCCGACTTTGTAGGCTCCGCGTCGTCAGCCTCGTCGTACTCCTCGAACTGGTCCGCATGACGTTGGGTGCCAGAATAGTCGCTCTCACGGCCGCCAAAACCACCGCCATCGCCATAGACTTCTCCTTGGTAGGCACCAAATCCACCAGTGTCGCTCCCAAACCCGCCGTACCGGCTGCTGCTCGAGAAGCCTCCGCCCAAACCAGGACCGCCTTCTACACCGCCGTATTTGTTCCTGTTGACTCGGGCTTTCTTTCTTTCTGTTCGGATGGCGTCGACATCACTTAACAGCTTGACCAGCTCGGCGGACCGGTTCCGCACATTAACACCTTGGTCTTTGCCATTTGGGTCGATATAGTAGAATTGCCGGAGCATTCGCAGGAGGGAGAGATGCGACCTGGCATCATCGATGACTCGCTCTGAACCGTGTTTGCAGAGATACTCTAAGAGTTGCAGTGCCTGCATCTGCGTGAGCGATATTGGATGATTGGCAAGGGACCATGTAGTTTACTTTGTATATCTGCCTCCATTCCTCCGCGGTCTTGTCTGTGAAACGCTTGTAGATCATCGGCATGATTTCGTTTAGTTGTTGACTGCCTAGGTTAGCGGGAAGAGCTCAACCGATGGGCAAGGCGAAGGCGAACTAGTTGTTGGTGCCCTGAGCGATCTCTTGCATCAGAGTAGCAGAGGCGCCCCAAGGATCTCCATTCGTGGCTTCGCGAACCTGCGATACGTGTGAGGATTTGTTGAGAGGAGAGGAGGGGGTCAGGGAATGGAGAGGACCTTCGCTTCCATCTCGGTCAGGTTCATGACAGCTTCACGACTAGTCAGCGGTAATTCCACAAACTTGAACCCGAGCAAAGCCATACCATTTTGGACCTTGCGTACACCGGCCTTGAGGTCGTAAAGCGTCAGGCTGCTGACCTGGCTCTTGAGGTTTTCGAAATCCATCCTCGCTGATGGACACAGTGGGCGGTGGGAGGTGGGAGGTGCGGCCCCAGGACCTGAAAGAGAGAGGGGAGATCTCAGCGAGTCCTGAGACTACCAACCAGGGTGACGGCCTTCTGATGGCGACAGTACTGTAGACGAATGTCTGAGATGGCTTGGAGACAAAATGAGCGCAGTTTGGGATGCAGTTCAACCGTCGTCCTACATATTACAGTACTTGGATTGTTTGGGTTGGCGGGAGCGCAGGGCCAAGGGCTTAAGGCCAGGCTCTCAGGCCAAATGCAGTTCCGTGAGTACCGTGGCTGCGACAGCGAATCACAGCCAGCCAGCCCCTCTTAGGTTTGAAGCCCCTGTTTCTCCTATTCCCTATTTCGTGGACTCTCTGGCTGTCATACACGTTGCCTTTCCACCTTTACTCGCAATGTCCACGGCAGACAGACAGACAGACAGCTGCCGTGCCTCGTGTGCCGCCTTTGCTCTGACGGGACCGGGACCGGGACCGCGGTCCCGCATGGGATCCTATCTTCTCAACCGCACGTCAAGAGCGGCCCTTTAAAAGGGTGTTTCTCTTGGTAAGCCGTCCATCTACCACAGTACGAAGACACGAAAAAGATGGTACACCTGATCCAGGTGCTCGAGCATGAGTGGACCATACTCTATCTAGAACAAGTTCAAGCCTGGAGGTTCTTCTATCTACCTAGGTATCCCCCTTCCAACCCTTGCACCCCTAGGCTACTACCATAGGGAGACATAGGTGCCAATCCGCCGCCATAGAGGCCGACGGTAGTACTCGTCTAGCCTCTTTATCTCGTCGGCACTGAGTACATGGCGCCCTCTGACTAGATCGGCCGTGGCAACATCTTGCCATTTCGTGCGCATGATGATCTTGTATGCTACTGTGAAGACGACAATCACGATAAGACCAATGGTGTATTGGAAAAAGTTGTTGGCCGTGAAGCCCGCACCACCCTGGAAAAAGAGAGAGCATCTCATTAGCATTCTATCGAATGAGTGAGACTCGGGGCAGGACAGCGTCAAACCCTTACCAGAGGCGAGATGGCTGCATACAGCAAGCAAACCAGCAGCATGAGGCACACAATCAACAAGTATGCCGGAGCCAGAGGCCAGGCGATCGATTGCCAGCTGTAGGTCTGGTCGAAGATCCTGTCGCCCTGTGCACGTAGAGCCTGGTGGAAGCGGTAATTGCTCACGGCGATGATGGCCCAGTTGCAGAAGAACGACGCACTGGTGATGGAGATGAACCAGTTCAACGCAGTCGTTCCACCTCCTGTGGTATCCCAGGGTCGTCAGCTTCCAAAGCCTGCTCTCACAGATGCAATCAACCCGGAAAAGGGAGGTCCAACTCACCACTAAGACTCATATAACTGAAGACAATGGCAACAAGAGCGGTGATTGCCAGGGCCCATCGGGGCCGACCCCGACTGTCACACTTGCCCAAGAAGGAGGGGATCAGACCCTGAAGAGCCATGGTGCGGATCATTCGGGAGGGGAGATAGATGGATTCCAAAGCAATTGCCACGACACCGATGATGATGCAGGCGTTGATCAGGTCGGGGAGGCCCTTGATGCCCGCCTCAGTGACCGCGATGACAAAGGGCGATGCGGCGGCGCCGGACCCGCCTAGAAGGTGAGGGTCGTCGCTGGGAACGAGCAAGCCGATGAAGATGACGCACACAATGTACATGAATCCCGTCCGGAAGGGCACCAGGGTCGCTGCGTGTGCCATGGAGTAACGCGGTGACTTGGCCTCGCCGCCCATGACGCCGATGAAGACTTGGTCTCCCACTGCCCAAATGGCCAACAAAGCGCAGTTTGCGAATCCCTGGAGACACCAGACACGTACAGTATTAGCCGGCTGTTTTCAGGGAGAGGGAGAGAGGGAGGGAGAGAGGGAGAGAGGGAGAGAGGGAGAGAGGGAGAGAGGGAGAGAGGGAGAGAGGGAGAGAGGGAGAGAGGGAGAGAGGGAGAGAGGGAGCTCAACTCACCCCGAATCCATTCTGGAAGGCCAACCCATTTGTCCAGTAGCTGCCGTCATGTACCGAACCAGTCGAGCCTGCACCGCCAATGAGGGCCAGGGAGAGTACGACGATGAGCAAGAAGAGGATGATCTTGACCATGGAGCCAAAGGATTGCAGCCACGCGAACGCCTTGTTGGGGAGGAAGAAGACGACGAGGCAGATGACCAGAAAGATGGTTACTGGCGGTGTCATTAACAATCAGCAAAGGTTGCTTCTACGAGTAGGTGAGCCAATATTGACCCAAAGGGAGACCTACTCCACGCAGCCTCTGGCACGGCTCCTTCGGCCCAGTAGTTGACCAAGATGACGAAGAATCCGGCTTCCGAGGCAAACACTGCCACCCAACCTGTTGAAATTGGTCAATATGGAGAGGGAGAGGGAGAGGGAGAGGGGGAGGGAGAGGGGGATAGAGACCGACGGAATATAACGAAAAGCTATGAAGTCATGAAACTCACCCAACCATTCAGCAAAGCCTGCTCCAAACGCCAGAGCAGGGTCAACCCATCGCCCAGCATAGTCGACATAGTTGCCGGAGGTGGGAAAGGCGATTGTCATTTCCCCCAAGGTCTGGAGATTGGCCCAGACACCGCTGCAGACCATCAAGTAGGCAAAAAACATGGTGCCGGGCCCGCCGCTCGCCAGAGCCTTGCCGGTGGCGATGAAGAGTCCACTGCCGACATTCGAGCCCAACGAGATGATCTAGACATGGCTTCGGCGTTAATGGGTGGGAACGGAGCTGGCACCAAGACCGACAGCGCACCGGTTGGTGACAAGAACCAAGAACCAAGAAAGAGAAAACATACATGGATTTGTCGTGGTGTAAAGCTCCGGTGAAGCTGGCCAAACCCGTGCTCGATCGATTCGGTTTCGCCTTCACTGTGGTCCAACGAGCTGGCCGTCGATTCCAAAGCACCCGTCTTCTCCTGGGCACCGGCGCCCTTTTCCTCTCCAGAGCCAATTGTCGTGTCGGGCATGGTTGTTGGCGCTGAAGTTGAAGTTGGGATTGGGAATGGGGGTAAGGGCTGGCAGCCACTACTGCAACCGTCTGATACAGACTGGACCAAGTCGATCTAGAAATTCAGTATGATTGATTGATTGATGATTCAACACCGACCAAGGAAGCAAGGATCCATGTCCAAGTCAAGTCCTTCTCGTTCATATAAGTACCTAATGATAGATATATCCCTGGTGCGAAGGGCAGGCAGGCGTTCCGCTGGACGCAGAGGTATCTTAGATACATATCTCCCATCATCGCCGCCACGAATAGAGACGGGTTCCCCGTATCTCTGCTGGATATCCGTACTCCGTAGACGAACGGATAGAGTCAACCATTGATACAATATTGGTAGATATGAGATATGATAAGGCTTTCCATCCCATCGGGATCCACATGCCACATCCATGAGCCAGCCGGACTTTCTGTCCGCATCCTGACTTGCCGCATAATTTATAAATGGAATAGACGAATAGACGCTCGCGGATTTATCGTGGATCCTTAGGTACTATCCATCGTTGTTGGCGAGGGCCAAGCCCAAGCCAGTTCCCAAACTAGAGGTCAGAGATCAGAGGTCAGAAGTCAGAGGTCAGGAGACTCATTGCTATACGGACACTCATTCCTCACGACTCATTGCTGGCACTGGCACTGGTGGTAGGACTGTAGGACGCCTAGGGGCATGAAACCAGCTCGACGGAAACATACCAAGATTTGCTTGTATATATAATGTATATATCTCTCTCTCTATCCATTTTAAGGCCTTGAGAGCATCCTCTCAGTACAGATACAGTAGTAAAGCTTCAGGGAGCCCCGTGAAAAGGCGCCTTGTATAAATACGATCATAGTAAGTGACAAAGGGTACAGGAGTGTCGTGATTCGTGAAAGGCCGTATCTCCAGACTCCAAGGTTCATTACCGGTGGCGACCGTTGGCGAGCGTCAGCAATAGGGGTATACTGTAAGTGGTTTCCACGGATTTATCAATCAATCGGATTCTCAACTGAGCACCAGTTTGTCCAGCGTCCTGCTCTCCTTGAGCACTTGAGACCAAGGCAGGTTTCGATCATTTGCCAGCTCTCGCGCATCCCAGACCTGCTGCACAGCTTGGCCTGCGACTTCGAACATGCGAATGCCCGTCTGGGCCGTTTCGGCGGTGAACCAGGCTGAGATGCGACGTCGGCTCTTCGGATCCATTGCTTCACACCCGGCAATGAATCCGGGCCAGCAGAGATTCGAGGACGGATCTAGGGACTGTCGCTTATATTCGGCATATCGGAGTAAATGCTCGATTGTCTTCTCGGCGAACTGCTGTAAGAACAGTGTGTCGACGTTCCGAACACATCGGTAGAAGTAGATCAGGAGGGCCGCGTGTAGGGCTTCCCTGAAATGGTATAACAAGGCTTCACACAGTGGCGGTCTCTGGCCATTCTGATTCTGATCAAGATTCAGATTCATACCTGACTCAGACTCGGACTCGGCATCAGGCCTCGAGATTGTCAAGTGGCAGTTCGAGCAGTGTGCAGTATTAGTCCTAGCAGTGTTTTGGCTGGGACCAGGCATAGGCATGTCAATGTCATTCTTCCAGCCACAGATGTCCGTCTCCAGCTGACTGACTTTGACCGAAAATGGATCGTGGTCGACGTGGCCTGATCTAGCTTGCTCTTGCTTGAGCCGTTGAACTTCTTGGGTCAGAACTGTGGCGCGCGATATGAGGAGGAACAAGGATTCGGGCACCGAGTAGATCTGCTCGAAGATGGATTTGTTGGCTCCACAAGAGTGGCATACTCGAGGTTGATCACCCGTCTGCCTCGTGGCGGTGGAATCGGAGTGTTCCTCTGCTTGGAGCAGCTCTGTCCACAGGCCGGCGTTCTGGCTCGCGAGCATTGAAGCACTTGCTCTTGCACTTGCGCTTTCGCCGTCACCCGACCCTCTGAGATGCCCGTTTAACATGGCCCCAGGGGCGCTGTGGCCGAAGATGCCGATGCTCGCCTGCAAGGTGCGAAGATATAGGAACGTGCTGTGCAGCATTCGCACACCCACAGATTTGCGGATCTTGTCGACGCCATATAAGGCAATCAAGCGCTCAATGTCGCGCAGATAGGCATATGCTTCGTCCATCTCTCCACTGACAACCTGTTTGGCACACGACACTCGGTTAGCTAAGGATATGTTGATAGCAACAAGAGCCCAGAGATGCTGGAAGTGGCCCAGGCGACAGACTTACACTTATCGTCACCATGCTCAACAAGGCGACCAGTACATCCTTATAGTCTTCCTCTTTCTTGCCGGACGAAATATTGCGTAGGCATGACTTGAGTCGACTCTTGGCCCGCACTCGGTAGCGGTCACCCAGAACTCTCCATAGGGGACCAGCCACCGCGTTCGTCCTCGGTCGTAGGATATCAAGATGGAAGGCACTTGCGCCCAAGACGGCGAAAGTCAAAGCCAATCTCGCATTGCCTCCGTCCCCCCTGACCATCACCTCCCCCAGTGTCTCATGGACTTTGGGAATGTGGAGGGTCTCCCAGGGAGACTTTGCTCGAATCCGGACAGGAACAAAGTATGGCACCAATGTATGCTGATAGCGATCTAGTAGGAGTCGTATGGAGTCGAAGTCGAGATCAGAGACGTCGGGGCTGTAGGTGATGGGCATTGGCATGGGCGGGCTGGGAGAAAACATGTCTGCACTCGTCAACATCGCCGACAAGATAGGGTCTTTCCCCTGGAATGATGCATGGGAAGGCAGCTGCCAGTTGTTGTCGTCGTGATCCATCTCGATCATAGGCCCTTCATGATAAGAAAGCTCCCACGCCTGCTGGTCATCCATTGGTACAGGATCTAGATCATTCAGGGCGGCCTCCATGGAGAAGGCGCCCAACATTTGACCAGTCGAAGGAGTGTCCCAGGACCGGTCAGCAATGGACTTGACATTCTGGACTGTGACTGTGAGGCAGTCTGCTGCTGCAGTTTGATGTCGAAACACGCCAAAGGACCCCAGGTTGAAGGTCTTGTCCCCCTCGAGGTCTCTACTGTGTGTCTCGAGATCGGCCAGCAACTCCTCCACCGAAGTATGCAAGGTGGAAGACAAGATCTGAGCAATGTACCGAGCACGCTCATGTTCTTGGAGATCACCAATCAGCACCTCAATAAGGAATGACTGCGCGTAAGCCAGCAACGAAGCTATTCGACCTACCTGTTAGAAGAGGTGGACCTCTGGCGCCAGCTTCATAGTCCTGATGCTCGTGCACAGCTGTTGGACTGCCTAGGGAAGGCCCGATGACTCTCGTGGGCAGCCAGGTGATGTCTGCAGAGACCGTTGGTGTCGTGCATTGCCGGTCCAGCCTCGAGCAGGTGGAACACCGCGGATGGAGGCGGTCGCACTTGACCTTCCGCGAACGACATGTCAAACAGGCCTTTGTGCGGGACATGACCGCTTAGAGGGCCCCTGGGCCCTTGTGGAGGAGGAGTCGGGGTCGGTCAATCAAGGGGACTTCATAGCAGAAGACTCTCTGGACTTGGGCATTTTGACCATAGATGTCGACCGGAAAGATACAGTGGCACAGGAGAAACTCAAGGCCGAGATAGCGATTAGCAGGCACTTATGGAATCAGGCACAAAGGTCAGATAGACGGATAACGCTCACCAATAGTGTAGTGTGGCTTCTGGCCCTGATCCATGAGGCCTCGAGATAAGGCAAATGGACGCCGAAATCCGCGAGGGCGACGATACGACAGCCAGGATCTAAGTCCTAGTCCAGCATTGACATGAGAATAGATACTCTGGGCCGGGGCACATCAGCCTCACGTCTTCAGTCTCGTAGATCAGGGTGATTTGAGCCCATCTTTGAGCCCATCTTATCTTTTCTCCGCCGCGACCATGGCCATCAAAGTCCCAACCGTGCAGCGGATTGAGCGATCCGATGTCGACGGCATCATCAATGCCATTGCCAAAGATGGCTGCTGTATCGTGAAGAACTTCACCGATGCCGCCACGGTGGCCCAGGTCGAGGCCGAAACACGTCCCTACCTCGACGCTGACGTTCCCTGGAAGGTGAGCCTCTCTTCTCGTCTAAAGTTACTGTGTACTCGGCTCGAGGAGGATCTTCTGGCCGACTCACCTTCCTGTAGGGCGATTTGTTTCCTCCCGAAACCCGGCGATGTGCCAACCTAGCTGGGCGGAGTGAAACCGTGCGGGAGAAATGGCTGGTTGACCCCTTGATTCGGGCCTGTAACGCCAGATTCGTGGACAAGACAACTTCCAACTTCTACGGCGAGACCAAACATACATACACCAGCGAGGCTGTCTGTACCATTGCAGTCACGCTCGAAATCGGCCCGGGTGGGAAGGCCCAACGCCTGCACCGCGACGACAAGAACTATCACGTCGACCATCCCGACCAGACCAAGACAGGCTACCAGTTCGGCACCGATGTGGAAATGGCCTTCATGATCCCTGGGGTCAAAACGACGGTCGAGAATGGGGCAACGCTGGCCATTCCAGGAAGCCATCTTTGGGGTTCCGACCGGGAGCCAAAGGTGGAGGAGGCCATCTATGCCGAAATGGACGTCGGCGACTGCTGGATCATGCTCGGCGGGCTGTACCATGCCGGCGGAGCGAATAGAACGCGAGATCAGAGACGAAACGTCCACGGCCTGTTCTTCGCCAGAGGTTTTTTGCGGCAAGAGGAGAACATTTACCTGGCCAACTCGGCTGAGGACGTCCTGTCTTGGAGCCCGGCGGCTCAGAAGGCCCTGGGTTATACTCTGTCGAGTCCGAACATAGGGTTCGTCGGATTCGTGCCACCTCTGCAATATCTGAGAGGTGTGCCGGCGGAAGCCTTGGGTGACTTTGACCCATCTCAAGAGAAGCAGACGTAGATTAGAAATATTAAGAAACGACCTGGACAAGTGGCAGTACTACCCACACCACCACTGGCAAGCAAGGCTGAACCAACAAGGCTGAGCCAAAGTCACTGGGCGTTTCCGAACCAGGAAGAGATCAGAATGGGTCTTCAGCCTAGGCAGTAAGGTGCCCGTCATACAATAGAGGTCCGTCCAACTGTTAAAGGAAGAAGTATCTGTTAGCTGGCTAGGAGGAAGGTGGCTACGTGTCCCTGGTACAGAAACTCCTAGCAAAACTTGACCAGGATGACACCAGGTGAATTCCGAGAGAGCTGGCCGCTATCAACGATCGTGTTGCTTCTGAGGTCAATAACATATAATGTCCTTCCATGGCTGATGTGGGACGAGGCCTGTCTCTTTCCCGTGCTGCCCACAAGATCGCATGCCTGTCCAGCATCGGCATTTATCCAACGTAAAAAGTGTCTACTTTCAAATCGTTTTCAAGCATTCGACAACCCAGTCGCCGGTAACCCGCAAGTTGGCAATGGCCCATTTCACTTCCCAAGAAAAACTCTCCATCATCGGTGGAAATACCGGATCTCAATCGACCGGAAGGTGACATATGTGACAAAGGCAAAGCAAAAGGCCAGCTCAAATCCAATATCACCACCATATCCAATGCCAATCAGCTTGCCGATGGGGCCGATAAACCATACTTGCGCCATCCCCATGACAGCTCCCAACACCCCGAAACAGAAGGCCCCCAAGGCCGCAATTGATGGGGGGAGATATTTGGGTTGGTCGTAGTGTGCGGGCGTGTAGCCGCCGAAGCCGTGCCTGAAGATGAAGTGCTCCGGCAGGGCGATCGCCTCGTAGATGGCGAGCCAGTAGCCAATCACCAGCATGAAGTCCTCGAGCACATCCTCGAAGTGGCTATACCCCGGAATGGCGATGGCGCAGTATATGATGGTCCCGACAAGTGTCCACAAGAAACGCGGGACCTTCTGGGCGTAATGGGTGAGGATTTGGAGCGAGAAAGTCAGGCTGTAGATGTTGGGGCAGTTGTTGCCGACAATCGAAAGGGCGAGGATGACAAGGCAGAATTTGCCGAACCCGCCCAACGGGGGCACGAGGACTTGGTGGAGCAGGCCGCCGACAGCGTCGCTATGATATGCTGCAGCGTAGGCCGGGTCATTGACGATGGCAGTGGCGATGGCCAGTCCGAGCATCTCCGTAAACCAAAGGGGGAAGATCAGCCCGACGAAGACGTACAAGAAGACCTTGCGGCGGCTGGTGTTGACGGGCTGGTAGCAGGTGTAATCACTGGCGTACGAAGACCACCCAGTTGCAAAGCCAAAGACGGAGGCGGCAAAGGAGAGAATCGAGCCGGTCTCGCCCTCGCCGGAACCCATTGGCAAGTTCTCAAAGGAGCCATGGTGCGCAAACTCGCCCAGCACAATCAAAAAGATGATGAAGCACGGCACCCAGCTGATCATCTCGTACATGTGCACCACCTTGTAGCCGAACAGAGTGATGAGGAAAGTACACGCCGCGATAATTATAATGCCTGCATACCCAGGGACATTGGGGTTGACTGCGTGCAGCAGCTGGGCGCCCACAATGACGTTCACCGAAGACCAGCCCAGACAGGCGAGACAATTGAAGATGGCGATGACTTTGACCCCCCAGTATCCAAACCAAAATCGGCTGAGAATCATTTGTCGCATACCAAATCTCGGGCCGAAAGTCGAAAAGAAGCACACTGGCATGATGCCAAGGAGGTTGATGAAGATGATCACGAGGCAAGAGTCGACAAAGCCCAAGGAGAAGACTGGCACGGCCAGGACACCAATGGCAAAGGACGAGACGACCATGTTTGCTGCCAGCCACTGTTTCAAGAGAGTTAGCTACGGGAATTGTCGTTGCTTGAGGGAAAGAAGGGCATCATACCATCGTGCCGACTTTCAAGGTGCTCTTGTCTGTCCGCTCATCTTCAGGGACACGTTCTATTCCTCTTTGTTCCACACCAAACCGCCCTGCCAGCCGTTGCAGTTTGGAGTAAAGGGAGTCACCGGTCACGAAGGACTCTCCAGGGACAGCACCTGTTTGATCTGGGATGATGCTGGAGCGGTGCTTTTCGTCTGTGCGGTTGTATTGATACTCGACGTCATACGCCACCTTCTCGGAGGAAGCCATCTTTGCGAGCCTTTGCTCTGAAGGTACCGCGAGCTGCGTAGGATGCAGGGCTGGAGAAACCTTGTAGCTAAAGTGAAGGATGATTCCAGAATACTTCCCACTTCCCAGATGCGACAGGAGATCGCAAATGATATAACATTTTGGCATCGGAGGACGCCATGATGGAAGGCCGCTTGTTGACGATGGGCCTCGATCTACCCGAACTATGGCTGGTGTTGAAGCGCGCCAGGGAGCGCGCCAGTGGCGTGGAGAGATAAGAAACCCAGCAATGAAAAGCTGGTGTCTGAACGGGCTGGCTCAAGGTGGCCGGCTGCAAATGCCAATCGCGGCGAATCCCCGACTGTCTCCACAGAGTATGTATTTTTCGAGCATCATCAGCGATGTCAGCGACCAGTGCTCTCTTCCACAGGTGCGTTTGCTTGTCGACGCTGACTGGTCGGAGTTCGCCTGGCTGACAGGGGGGTCTGCACGACCCTGAGGGGGGCTCGGGGTCCTCCAGTCCTCTGTACGAATACGGAGTCTAGTACCAGGGAGGAGGAGGCCATCGGCAGCCTTCAAATGTCCCTTGAACCCACATGGTCCAAAACAAGCGACCGGGACAAGCTGCAGGATGAGCTTGAGGAAAGCTTGAGGGTTCCCTAGGGCCTCTAGATGGTAGATAGAGTCAAAGGGACCTGCCGCAGGACCCCCAAAGGAGGGTCTGATCGCTGCTCGAACAAGGGGGGCCCCGTTAGCCCATGCCCCAGGCGGCCTCAGGGTGGTAGCATGTCCGTTGTAACGTAGATAAGCAGCCTCCTCTTGTCCAATTCCATCCCGTCATTTGTGTTGGTCACGGCTGGTGACGGCCTGGCTTCCCCTGCTACTCGTAGGCCCTGGCCGATATCGTCGTCTCAGGCTGCCGTTGATTCGACAGGGACTCTCGTCTAGGACAGCGTCGATCTATCAGGTCCGGATCTTCGTACATCAGCGAAGGATGGCGTCAGATCTGACCTCAGCTGGGCCTCCTTTATCTCGTTCCGAAGGGCAGAAGCATCAAGATCTGGTCAAACGGGGACTGCCAACTGGGTGCTCGGAGCATCAAGTGCTGGAGAATGCGGAGTTCGCCCGATGCCGTCACTTCAACGCCACTAGACCTAAGAAGTCGTACATTGTACGGGGTACAGAGTACATCAAGGAATGTCAGAACAAATAAATCTACCCAAGTGTAGCCGGCCCAAAGAACCTGAATACGAATTCCCTGCGCGGACCTTGCAGCCCGAGCACTCAGCTGGACTGCCATTCCACTTCCATGGCCCCGAGGAGATCGTGCGCGAGGCCGGAAGGAGCGGTTACAGACGAGTTTGGGAAACCTGCGAAAGGTGCTAGAGTTGATCACAGTCAAGCCCGTGATCTGCTGCCTGGGGAATGTCGACGCTGGACAATAGTAATGTCTAAATGCTCGTGGGCTTCACAGGACCATGGCCATGTTTGGATCCAAGTTTTCGCCTGTAAGAGAACAACAACAGACATTCCGTCTAAATTCATACCCTGCGCCGCCGAGTCCAGACAAGATAATAAAAGCCAGGAAATCCAGAGAGCACCTTTGCATAGCGTCTATATGCCTCCTCCCAGCGACTCCGCGCCTGACAGGTCGTTAGAATGCACGTTGGTAAAGTTGTAAGGAAATTCCACGATGCCATCCAGCATCCAATTCAGCGGATCGAAGACATCGTAACTGGCTTGATCGTAGTCCAGGCTGAAATCGTCCACCATTCCCGTTGCCATCCCTGCCATCCCTGGAACAATGGCAGAGCTCGATAGCATGGGATCACCCACTGTACCATCCGGGTCAACGTCCGAAGCAGGAACAACAATCTGGTTGTCGGTTTGCTGAAGCTTGGTGCTGCTGTCCCTTACTGTGCGACGTTGAGAAGTCAGTAATGTACGGATACTTTGGTAGAAATGGATCTTGCTTACAGTCAGAAGGTTTTCCGCCTTTGAAGTGGAAGTTCCGGCGCCAGCGCCACACAGAGTCAAAGACCAGCGACATGGACATTCGGCACTTGACCTTGAGCTGAAGGCTGTCATCGATGTCGCCCTCACCGATATTGATGCGATTCGGCTCCACCCGTACTTTTCCGCTTTTCCAGACCTGCGCCAGGACTTCTGCCAGTCTCTCGGCAAGGTCATTTTCAGCTACACTCATACTCCTCAACGCCCACACTGTCCTAGAAAGCAGTCCAGATGCACCATTGATGTCAAGTTCATGCTCGCTGAGGAAATTATGCATTAGCTTCAGCAGGGAGAAGCCTGCCGCCAACATCATGTGAAAGATGTAATTGGTCGCGTGTGATAAAGAAAGACCATGCTGGTAGGATGACGGAAGATTCACGCTCAGACTGGACTCTAAGCTCAGACACGTCTCCAGGAACTCGGTCGTGGCGTGGTATAACTTCAGCATGTCTGCCCGGTATGATGGAAGCGATGGAGGGGAGAAAAAGGCACTAATCCTCATGTGCAGCGCAGCCGCTTTCAGGTAGATTTTCGTGATCGGAGAGTTGTCTTTGCGCAGCTTATCTTCGAGCTCTCCCAGGTCATGCGTCAAGAAGGACACAAACGTGGGCCGCTCCAGGTCCGTTGCCAGTCCAACTGGATCATGTGGATTCATGTACAACGTCCTAGAAACCTTGTCGACGAACTTTTCAATGAGCAGGCGGTTGAGGATTGGTGCTGGCAATTCGTAGTTCGGGTTGGTCTCGATCGGTTTGGGACCTAGAGTCCAGTCGTAAATTGTAAGCGGAGGCTGGCCATATGCCGTGCATATTCTCTGAGCAACGATATTACAGACGCTCCACACCACGACTCTGTCCTGCAGCTCGACCTCCCGGAGTTCGACTCGGAGTTTGCTGAAGTCCTGCGTGTGGGTAGGCCGGTGGAGGCCAAGTTGCAGAGCTATCTGCATCATGATTCCGCATATCGTAAATGTCGGGTCTGTAGACGTACTGCTCGTCGGTAGAGGCCACGCACACAGCAACACCAGCGCTTTAACAACATGGTAGTTTTGTGGAACCTCAGCAATCGTCGACCATAGCAGCCGAGTCAGTGGCCCTGTAAGAGCATTGAAGAGCCCGGGGTCGGCCGTATAGTGTCGAGATCCTACAGTTACGATGGTCCAGAACAGCAATGGGGATCTCGAGAAATATTCCTCCGGGGTTCGGTCGGGGTTGAGGAAGGGTAGGAAGGGATGATGCAAGGTGAAGAAGCGTTGGAAGATCTCCTGCACTCGGTCCAGAGTCAAGGTCACCTCCTCCAGACGCTTGGATATTGGCCGCCCTGGACTCTTCTCGAAGGCAGCGCCTCGCAGGTCTAAAAGTCCTGCTGCAGCTGCGTCCTGGGTGAAGGAGCCAGTCCCCGGTTGTGAAAAGTTTATGTTGTTGTTCTGTAGCGCAGCATTGGCCAGAGCCCCCGAGCGTTGTCGCGCCACCTGTTTACGAAGCTCAATGATCTCGCGCTCCATCTCTGCATTCCGCGATCTCTTGCCAACGCGTTTGAAGTTATCTTCGATCTTACAATCGAGCGAGAGTCGCTTGCAGCGACTGCAGGTCTGAAAGGGCTCTTGGACGACATCGCAGCGCAGCTAGAACCACTGTTAGCAAAGGTGGACATGAGTCTTGAGACTGAAAGCAGATGCTCGTAGCACACTGCGCGACCGGGCTGTCGCTCGAGACGTTCGGGAACTGAAGGTGAAGACGGAGGAGCATTTAGGGCTACAGAATAAGTCGGGGAGGATGAGAAAGATGAGGAAGGGTCCTCCGCGACGACGACGAAGCATCTGCAAGCTGTTCATCGCTCACCTTCTGCTGTCGGCATTCATTGCAAGCCCTCTTCACGGGCCTGCGCCGTGAATCGCGATGCCCATCGCCGTTCTGATCGGGTGACTCAGTACTGGCAGGCGAGCTCTCGAGGCCAGCAAAGGACGCATTTCTCTTGTGGCCCTGGATCGGACTGGTGAGAGCAGAACCAGGACCATCCGCGTCATTGACCGCCGATGTAGAAGCCAGCGTGAAGTCGTCGTGCAAGCCAGGGCTGTAGTCTGGCGCTCCCCAGCCTGCCATCAGGCCGATATCGCAGTCTCCGACTGCTGTCGAGGGGGAGTGGTAGAGAGCTGATGACTTGGCATGATCTGATAAGATAAAACTTCGCTGATGGCCAGCCGCAGCTGAGGAGAAGAACGAAATATCCGAGGTCATTCTTCTGATCTCTCAGCCAGACAATGCTGGGGGTTGATCTGTCGGAGAGCTGATATGGCGCCCACGGAGTCGAGAGCCAAGTTGAAAGGTCCCTTACAGAAGCCAAAAATCTCTTCCAATGCCATGGAATCAAGACGCGCTACAAACTCTATCCACTTCGCTAGACAACAACCTCACAACCAGCGAGGTGAGGCATATGACTCACCATCTACACAGCAGTGCCATATGCTGATCGTCGATACAGTGATCGTCTTTGATTCCAGCATCACTCCTGAACCGTTTCTAGACTCGGTTGGATTGGAAAATCTAAGAAAGCGACAACAGATGGAGCAAAAGGCATCAGGCTCAGCCCGATAAAACGAGATTCGACACCGCTGTCCACTGTCTCGTTACATGGCCATCACCTTCTGGATGCGGTCTAATCGTACATTTCGTCAAATCATCCAAATCATCCAGATCATCCAAATCAATCATTAGTCGTAAGGACATCAGATCATGAACGGCCTTCCTGCTCGTTCCCCTCGCGACTGAGTGAATAAACAAAACGCTGCAAAACGCGCAAATCTCCCAACGAAAACGAATCTCAGCCACCAGGGCAGGGTGAATGTGGAAAATCATGCTGTTACCTCTTTCGGCGCCATTCGCTTCAGGACGTTCTCGACAGACTCGTGTTGCTTGCTGGAAAGCGGGAGTCCCCCCGTGAAATGACATTGGGCCCGATGCTTCGCCTCAACTCCGCCCTCCTCTTTTCTCGTTTTTCCTCCTCCCGTCGTTCTTTGGCTCGTAACAGACGGTCCTGGATTTCTTTCATTCCGATCAAATGGAACCGGAATCCAAACCCATGCGACTTATGAAGCCGGCGGGTGGCCCGTAGCTTCGCGAGGCTGCTATGGCTTGATTTGTTGACGATGCCTCGCTTCTGCTGTCGACGTTCAGATATCCTCCTGACCAGTGCAAAAGGGCCCGTGAACACAGTGCGATCCTGGGACAGACCGAGAGAATTGTTTACAATGCCTCGGCCGACAGGTCGGTCCTGTTCCAATTCGGCCTGAGCAAAGTCAATGTCGTCCCAGAAGGCACGAGGACGCCAAAATGGATGCAGTTTGCCATCAAGCTCTTGATCGGCTTTCCGATTGTGAGCATTCTTGAGGCTTAAATTACGAGACAAAGAGCCAACGAACGACTCCGAGCGCCGATGGGTCTTTACCCGACGCCTCGAAGATCCGAGTCGGTTGATGGTCTGCGGCCCATCGAGCGCAAGTTCTTTGTCATGCTCATCGCCCGGGGTAGGTGGGATTACCTTGAACTGTGGTGGCTTAGGAGGGCGTCGTGGGTTTCGCAGAGGCGACTCCACCTCTTTTGCATGCATATTTTGTCTTTGTACCTCTCGCACAGCTTTTGACTCCTGCACAGAAAATGGCTCTATCAACTGGAGAGAATGATTGTTGTGAGGGAAGAAGTTTATGGCCTTTGCTTCATTAATCTCAGGTGATGCCGATTGGAACGACGGTAGCGAAAAGGGTGTTTCCAAAAGTGAGGGTCGGAGAGCAGCCCACTCTCCGGTGCCTGGGATGGCCAGGCCTAGCGCCTTTCCATCGTGGTCAGGGGTGCCCAAAAGGGGACCTGGCAAGGAAGCCCGTCGGTCTGCTGTCGCTCCAAACGATCCACGGGCCAATGTAGTTCTCTTCGCTGCATTTGAAACGTGAGACGGGTCATCCAGATCCCAATCGCGCAAATTTTGCACCAGACGTTCAGATTCCATTCTATCCAATGTTTTGCGCAGATCCTTCTCGGCTTGCTGTCGTTGCACACGCAGGTTATCAGACGTGATTGAATTCGCTCGGGAGGTAGTTTTTGACGTGGGTGCGGAGAGGGATGAACTCCGAGCGGGGATTGAAGGCTCCAGGCCCAGTCCCCTTCCACGCTCGAGAGACTCAGAGAATGCCCTCTTGTGTTGCCAAGAAGATGGAGGGTTGTCAGAAGTTCTGCGCGAGTGAGATTGTCCGGATCCGGTCTCAAGCGACTGCCTGTGACTGCTATTGTGAGATGATGGCAAGGACGACCTTCTTTCAGGGATAACTGCTACCCGTATAACCTCGGTCTTGGGGAGAGCTGCGCTGGAGGCTAGACTATACGACCTCGAAACCGCAGACCCAAAACTCCACCGATCTTGATTGCTCAGCCTCGCCTTCTTGTGTACGAGGCGCCGCGGAGAGTCCGGGTTCGAAATCATGGAAGTTCGGTGTGAAGCGGGTAGCGGTGAACTAACAGCCCGTAATGATTCATGCTTGTTCACATGACGGAGTGTTGTTGTCCTCCTCGGAAGTCGATTCTGCTCGATAACAAATGCTCCGATGGTAGATGTAGCCGAAACTGCGGAGAGTCGCCGATTTTCCTCCCGGGTAATCTCAGGGTTCTCTGGCGCGTCACCCTCAATTGAGACGGAATTATTCCAGCCAATAATGTTGGCAAATTTTTCAGTCGACGCAGAAAGGTCTTGCCGCTGTGCCTCGAGAAGTCTGTATCGAAGACTTTGGTCTCGCCTTAGGCTGTGTGAAGCTGCGTTTGCCCCAGGTCGAGCTGTGATTTCGCTTTTGACTGGGATCTCGCCCGGACTTGCATCATGGTGTGGCGGAGCTGTCTCCTGTTGGGCCTCACCAGTCGGTGTAGATGCATGACTTAAGGGCTGAGGACTTGCGTGAAATCTGGCAGTGTCATTTCCGTTCACCATCAGAGCTGCTTTGGAGTCGTCTGTTTCTGCGGACTGTTGATGGTCAAACTGGTCTGGCAACAGGCTAACTGACGCAGCCTTGTCATCATAAGCATTGATCAACGGCGATCGGGGTAAGCCACTCCGCCTCAACCGATGCTCGGTCAGACCAGAGTTGGAGCCTGGTGTGGGTGGATGCTGAGATCTACTTTCGGGGTTTCGTGAATATGTGTCGGAATCATGGTCGGACTCTATGTCTTCACGGGCCGTTCTGAAGGACTCGGCCCCAGTCGAAGTGATCGATGGTTGCGTGCCCAAAAAAGGACGCACCAAAGGCGTGTTCCTTTCTCGAGGAGGAGTATTATCAGGCGTAGGCGGGCTGTTTTGATTTATGGGAGTAACCAAGGTTGATCTGAACAGAGCCGTATCCGAGATACTCTCGTTGACAGCATGCGGAATATCCCCATTGCTCGCTCCGGGCGGCGTAGGAGGCAGCTGTGGAGATGTAGGAAGGACCGTGGATACGGTGCCAGCCGAGTGTTTTTGGAACTCTGGGTCTGGAGGACTTTGGGCTGAAATACAATAGAGAGATCGTAGATTGGGCGAGGCACCTTTCGAATCCTTTCGATAGGGCAGAGCTTTCGAGATCGAGGCGGGCGACTCTGCACCGGGAAATTTGGGCGGTCCCACGATCGTATATTCAATGGTCCTCCCCATCGCAGAAAACAATGATCATGTATGAATGAGCTCAGTAATCCTTTCTCTTCATTGCGACCGAAACCACTGCGGCGAACCGAGGATAAGGTTTTCGCCGGGAGATCGAGGTGGTTCAGAGTGGTCGTGAAGGAGATAGCCGGCAGTAAAAGAAGCGCGTCGAGGCTTGAGGCTACAGAGCGTGGAAAATATATCGGGTACGTGACGCGAAGTGTAACAGAGCCGAGGGGCGTGGTGCGCAGACCTCAGAGTGGTCCGGTCGAGATGGGCTGGAGATGCCAAAGGTCGACGCAGCGGTACAGGTATTGGCGACAACTCGCAGCACAGAGATAGACGGACTGTCGAAGCATAGACTCGTCCTTTCCTCTAATCTCTCCAGGCGAGAAACGGGGTACGTAGATGGTTGAGATGATGTTCGAAAGTGAGTGGCTGGTGTCGACAAGCGCCGGTAATGATCTCAGTTCGTTTGATGCAGTTTTCCGGCTCAAGGCCGGTTACGGGCAAAACGCAGGGGTATGACAGCAAGGTTGCAACTATGCTCGGGATTAGACATGAAATGATATATCAGAGATGCCAGGTGTGATGGAACTTGACTGCGGGTGCTGGGGGAGTCAGAAGGAAGAGAGCTGCATACGGAGTACATCAAGGATGTAGGGCGAGTCAGCCAACTGCACTGCGGTGGCTGCGCAGTGCGAAGCTGTAGGAAGGAGTTTCAGTCTGACGGGCGGGAGCACGCCTTGTATGGGTACGGCCTAGTATGAAAGACCGGACAGTTTGAGTCGTCTGACCGGCATACAGTATTTCTCCCTAATCAGTTGGCGCATGCTTTCCACCTTGGCTTGAGAGCGTCACAATTCCCCTAGCTAGTTTGATATCATCCATTGGAATCCAGTCTGCATCTCGCTCAGCCGGTCACAGCCAGATTGTGCACTATCGAGTCCTACCTCCTGAGGGCGACTCCGGTTCCCAGTCTCCTCCGCAATTGAGTTGACAAGGCTGTGACAGGTAATTTCTCCATCCGGCATCCGCCATCCGGCCCTTCCCACCACCACCAACCCGCCTTTTCTACACGCGGCGGACAGTGCACGCGACGAACGATAGCCCCACGCGACGGGAGATCAGCTCCCCCCCTCCTCTCTCTCTCTCTCTCTCTCTCTCTCTCTCTCTCGTAAGAACAAGTTCCTCTCAAATATCTCTGGGCAACCCTCAACTCTCCCATCAGGTGACAAGGGAGTGCTAAGGGGCCGTCTTTGCAACTGGGATGTTGCTTCGACAACTTCCAATCACAATTCTTCTGGTTTCCACATTCCATGTCCTGTCCCCTTTTAGTCGCAGCCTGAGGGGACTGCGCAGGGCCCAAAAACAACAAGAGAATGAACGGACCAGCTGAAGGTGAGATCTGTCAGACATCAAGCCATCCACCTGCCAGTGAAAGCGCGAGCCATATTCCCCTCCCCGCCGCCTGCTTCTTCCCCTTTACATTTCTTACAAAATCTACCAAGTTGCCCGTGGTTCGTTCTGCGTTCTGCGTTCTGCATCGCAAACCATGGCGACAAAATCACCCATTCTCGGATTACTTCTCCTTTTCGCAGTCCCACGCGTTCTCACATCTCCCATTTCACAAATCAGGACACCGGATGTCGGTGTGCTGTCGTTCGCAGAACTCGCCCAACAGACCTTTCGCCAGATCCTCGAGCTGGGCTTTCTCCGGGGAGTTCTCGCCTCCCTGATGGTCCTGGGTTGTCTTGTATGCCTACTCATCTGCATTTTATCCGGGCTGGCAACATACCTTCGCCGAAACGAGACGCAGTTATGGGACAAGCCGGATGGTATCCAACAGCACAGCGCACAGGAGAAGATGCAGATCTACTCAAGGGATGAAGGATCCAGCCAGTTTCCTGAACAGACACGCCATCTTCGTCGACCCAAATCTCGAAGTCGCATAATTCAATACCTCTTCAGACACCACTTCTCTCCAGTAGCCAAAATTAACATACGTACGTCGTCTTCTCTCCGAAAGGCTACCAGTCTACCACTACCGCCGTCCTCCTCGTCCCGAAGTCCTGGGACCACGTCCTCACCCCCATCTCCATCAACGCCTCTGCGTTCGGCACTTTCGAAATCGCCACCTCCACCTCGCCGCTTTTCAAAAGCACAGTTCTTCCTATTCAGAACAGCGAGGTCGAGCCTAAGCCCGAGTCCGAAGTCAGTGCGATGGGCAGATCAGCTCCAGGTTGCTGTCATGGCAGATATAGAGATGAACATCCAGTCTCTGGACCCCGAATTCGAGACGGACATTGGGTTGAGAAGAGCTGCAAACGATGACATCGACTACGACTTCAATATCATGTCTACCATTGCGGCAGTTGAGAGCTGAATACTCGTGCTTCTAACCCTGCTATGCTGTATTTTCCAACTTTGTCTCACCAACCCGGTTTTTGATACCACTTTTCCTGAGCATGTTTTACCTAGTGTGACTAGATTGGTCTTGTTATTTTTTCTCGGCAATGGCGCATATGCCAGCATCAGATGGTGGGGAGGGATTATTTCAATGCGGCTTATTACCTATGAATTAGGGTCTGTTATGAACCATGACCGTTACTTGCAACGCAGAAGACGAGAAATGCGACCTTGGTCTGAATGTTTGATTACATTAACTCTATTTCATTATTTTGCAGTGCTATGTGCACTCGTAAACTAATACTGCCGTAGATGGCTATAGTAGGCATCTTAGATCAACCGTCCAATCCATACAATGCCCATCGGCGCCATGCCATGCCATATGAATAATACCCAAGCATGCTATGCATTCAAAATGAACCGACCCATATTGTCTGACAGTATCCCTGAAATGCTTCAAATTCGAATGTAGACTTCGTAAAGGAGCGTAGATGGAGTGTAAATCATCTCCTCTCACATACTTGCGCCGGCTGATCAGAATCTCCTGACTTTGGCCCAAGACGTGGGGGTATAGCTGCCAGTTCCGGTAGAGGTAGCGGTGCTAGTTGTGGTGGTTGGACCCGTGCTCTGGGATGTTGAGCTGGTGTCCCAAGTCCAAGTACTGGCTGGCGAGGTGCTCGCGCCGCTAGTGGTGCTGGTCTTAGTCCAAGAACCTGTAGAGGTTGAGGTGATGGTGCTGTTAGAACCCTTGCTGGTAGATGTCAGCACCGAGGTCGTGGTTGTGGGTTTTGAAGTCCAGGCAGAGGTGGTGGAATTGTGTCCCTTGGTGGTAGATGGAGAAGCTGTGGTGGTCACAACGCTGCTGGTTGTAAGCGTGACAGGAGTAGGAGTAGGTTGTGTTGGGATGGCGATTGTCACAACGTAGCCCCAGACATCAGTGTAGGTGATGGTCTGGCATTTATGGCACTGGTCTGGTGGGTAGTAAGTTCCCGAGCCACCCTGGGCAGGTTTGGTGACGGTGACGGTGACAGTCTTGGTACCAACAGCAGGGCAGCCCGAAGGAATAACGGTAACAGGGGCAGGAGCCGGTGTGGTGGTTGGTTTCGCTGGAACAGGTGCTGGGGACCAGTGTGTGGTTACTGGATAGCACGAGGTAGTAGTCCAGATATCAGTTGTCAGCCACGTAGAATAGTACGTTGTGTGTCCCTGAGTCGCAACTGGAGTCGAGCAGGGAACAAAGTTTGTTTTGGTGATCCACTCAGTCGTGGTATAGGTGGTCCAGGTCTCTGTGGGGGCTGGGGTTGTGGTTGTAGAGACCAACGTAGTGGTGGTGGAATTGGCGTGCGGCTTTGTGTGCGGTGAGGTGCTGCAAGGGGTGGATGAGGTTGGAGAAGTACTGGAGGTGGTGGTCACCCCAGACGTTGTTGTGGAACACGGCTTAGTCGACAAAGAGCTAGAGAAAGCGGAGCTTAATGAGGTGCTGGTCCAGGCCGTAGTCGTATTGGCACTAGACGATGTTGTTTGTGATGAGGGCGACCATGAGGAGGTTGTAGTTGAGATAGAGGTCGTGGTAGTGGTACATGGGGTAGTGCTGTTCCGGAGATAGCCCTCGGGATATGGATATGCCCACGAGGAACCGGCGAGGGCAGCAAGGAACAGTGGCACTGAAGCGTGCATGTGTTTTTGATGGGGCGATGAACGAGTGCTGATATTCAAATCAAAAAGGAGGATCTGTGAGATGAATGTCCAGGCCAAGCGAGTGTGTTCAAAGTGATAGCGAGTGTCTTTTGTGATTGTTTGGTATTGTGCTGAAGTATAGGAAAACAATGTGCCATAACAGTAGGAAACGAGAGTTACTTATACCTGGGAGTGGCGTGCCTGCGTGAGATGTGAGTATCCCAGAATGGTATACTACGTCAAAGGTAGCATCGAGTGCGTGGCGCCGTGGAGAGAGCGTCGGTCAGTCTGTTGCCTGTGGCGAATGGGGGGTAGTAAGACAGAAGGCTGTGCCTTGCATGGTGCCTTGCATGATGGTAAGGTAGCGTGAGGCACCGAAGATACGAGGTGGTAGAAAGACAAGGAGCGGCGGTGGAGGAAAATGGCGCAGGGAGCAGCAGGTTGAGCTGAGCGACTGCGCCTTAGCCGTCGAGGCCGGCTGCGACTCGCTGCTTTTGCGAGGCCTAAGGAGCCACTCGTACCATTGGTCGCCACGGTTTATTAATAGTAGTGCTGGTTACACCTAGGCGACACCCAAAGACTCCCGTCTCTTCCACACCTCATACCACGTTCGATGACCACTTCTCGCCTTCGGTACGGAGTACGGATACTACCTGGTAGTATGAGATGTATTCTTCTAGTCCTGAAGACGACCCAGATCTGGTCCCGAGACCACGTTCCCCACCCATTTTCCCAACCCTGTCCTTGGCCTGTTCTTGGCCAGGTCCTGGATCTGAAAGCTCCTAGACGAGGCTCAACACTTGAGGCTACTCGTATTTTACAGTTCAAGGCAAGTTGCCGGAAAAGTTCCCGCCGAATTTGGCGGTTGCAGCCGCCGCTTTTGGAGGTGGGTGCTCCCTCGGAGCCAAGGACGCCGACCCTTGTCTTCCCTCATCCCTCATCCCTCATCGCAGACTTGTCCCCTCTCATGCTGGCTTCAGTGAGACCAGGAACGGTCCCCTTCAGAAACAACGGGACTGTTCATTCACCAAAACAATGGGTGCCTTCACTGCCCCGAATATGGTGCCTCAAGGACGCGTAAGAAGGATCACAATGGATCTTCTCTCACTCCTCCCCAGAAAGAGCGCCTACTCTAGGGGTTAGGAATATAACTGAGATTGACTACCGACTGACCCTGTGGGTGTCAGTCCATACCTATATATCTGTGTAATGACTGTGTTCCGTAGTGTACTGCGGCGGACTGCAACAGTCCGATGGAGTCCATCGCAGTATGATGGTCACGTGCTGTCTCGGTCACGTGTAACCCTCTCAGCCTTGCCAACGAGGCTGCTTGGCTCGCTCAACCTTCCATACCAGGGTCCCAGGTGGCCCGCAAAAACGTCCCCTCGTAACATGCCGTTCCCTCTGCATCAGTGCGTAGGCTGCATTCTTGCAAAGACGATGTCCTCGACAATCCGGTAAATCAGATTCCGTGTAGAAATTGCTCCAAGTCCTAACAGTCATAGAGCAATTCGAACTATCCTCTTATTCGGGCGGTGCAGCTTAGGCTTCACTGGTCAGACCCCAGAGTCATTCTGAAGTATAGTAGCATTGTCGCATGCCGGATAGGATCCGTTGACTTCTCCGGGCCAGTAGTTTTTGCAGTCATAAGCCCATGAATTCCAGTTTGAGCAGAGTCGATTGGCCACCGAGAGTGCTGTGGAGTTTCCTGGTGGCCAAATGTCATTGGCATCGGCCTGTCGCTCTAGGATTTGGAGACTCAGTCCCCCAGAGGCGTGGAACCTGTTCAATGCTCGTGTCAGCAAACAAATTCCCTGACCTCATTGATCACCGAAAACTTACGCAATGTGACAGTGTATTAACCAAGCACCTGGATTGTCGGTTTTGAAGGCGATGACAGCATAGCCCTTCGGAGGTAGGAGTACAACATCACGCCTCACGGGACCAATATAGGGCGCCTTCCAAGGTTGTACATCAAAGGTTGCGTTAGCTTCGTATTCAAGGATCGCAAAATCGTGACCGTGCAGATGGATCTGGAACACCTGAGTCAATATGGTCTGTTTAACAATTTGAGGTGTTGCTTACTGGGTGTCCGCCGCCTTGCAGAACAAGATAGACCTGTGGTGACCAGGTCAGAATCAAAAATGTCTAACAGATCGCTGCGCAACTCAAGCACTGTGGAAGAGAGCGTCAACATACAAAGTCGTCGTCTGTATAGCTCTCAGGCACAACCACCCAACCGACCGGCCAAGCATCTGCGGTGTTGTCGAGATTTAGGAATGTAGGGTTGCCGTAAGTAGTTTGAAAGGGTGTGAAATCAGCATTGGGAGATCGCTGAAAGTTAACAAATGCCGCCGCATATTGCGGTGTGTTCCCTGGAGAATTGAATTCCACGTTGAATAGTTCCCCGCCCTGGCCAAGTGACCCGCTCAAACCGTTCTGAGGAGCGGTGACAGTCCAATTGTATGCGGTCTGCAGGCTCCCAGAAAGGCTGTCGTAACAATCTGTCAATTCTGCAATGTCTGGCCAAGTACTGCTAGTTGGTTCACTAGTGCTGTTGGTGTACCGCAGTATCCCAGTCCGTTCGTAACCGGTAATTGAGCCCTTGATATCGTCAAAACATCCCGAGGTGTTGGTTCGTATCCAGTAATTGCCATTTGGTTCTATCGGATTGGCTGCACCGAGAGTAGCCGGCTGCGCCTCAACGATGATGTGGTATCTTTGACCGATAGCGACCAATATTGACGTGACGTTTTTAGGTAGCACTGGGACAAAATCTGCTTCGACAACCACTAGATAATGGTTGTCAATAGAAAAAGTAATTTCTGTAGCGTAGGATGTGTTGATAATTCGCAACAGATATCGCCTTGCACCTGTTTGGTTGTTTGGACTTGTCGAATTGAAAGTCATCTCGAAACCTTTGGGTATTGTAGAACTATTGAATCCTGGTGGATCCGAAGGAATGTTATGTCCATAAAAGCGCGTGATGTTACCGGTTCCGTCCAAAAGGATTGTTGGATCGGCCTTGGGACTGATTTGGAACTCGGCTTGAAAGGCACTGTCATGAACTTTTGGGTGCATGTTAGCATTACCGAAAAACTTCCGAAATACAAGAATACCAGCAGAGACGAGAAAGAGGATGAAAGCCAGAAAATGGACGTACGCCAGTCCGATGTGATCAAAGGTGATATGGCTGTATCGTAGGACATGGTTGTGGGGCCATGGAGTGTCTGTATCTAGTTAGATTGAGGTACAAATCTCCATGTAATTCGATAATAGAACAGGAGCTGCGAGGATGCAGTTAGACAATAGTTGGAAGTGAGGGAGATTTACTATGGGTCCTTGTAGTCCATCAGCATATTGTACTGAGTAATGACTGTGATACCAGGAGCTGCCGTATTGCATGGCCTTCCAGACGTAGCTGAAACTATCGCCAGGTGCGATGGGACATTGTGTAATCCCATTGACGCCATCCATATGCATAGTTTTCCACTGGCGAATACCATGCCAATGAATGCTGGTTCCGTTGAAAGTCATCTTGTTCACGACGGTGACATTGACAGTATCTCCCCAGCAAGCCTCAAGCAATGGACCAGGAAATGTGCCATTGAACATTTTTGCGTCCGTGAAGTCGAGACCGTCGGCGTTGATTGTGTTATTCTCCGTCACGTACAAGGTATAGTTGCGGGTGATACCGATCGGTGTCAATGCGGGATCTTCATAGTCTGTAGTAACATCCAGTTGTTCCCCATTTACAGTGTTTTTGAGCCAGCATCCAGGAATAGTGGTAGAGCAGTCGATCCAGTTCGGACCCATTGCCGAGTAGTCGCAATGAAATCCTTGGATATTGGAGCCTGGCGGCGAAAAAATTGGTCGCGGTCGATTAGCATTTGGAAGGTCGATTGACACCGGAAATTTGCCCCCAATGGGCTGTTGATAACCTTCATGATTGTTGAAAGGGGAGAGGGTGATCCAATGGCCAATAGTGACGACTGTCGTCCAAAAACGTGCAAAGATACCCATTCTGCTGCAGCTCAACTATATCTGAATAGCAATGTGGACAGGAAAGGCTGGATGGAAGAAGTTTGCTCGGTCGATGAACTTGCGCGCTGGGAGGGAAATATGGTATGTGAGTCTTTCGACAGGACTGCACACTGATCTGCCCCTGCAGCTAGCTGCAGTGTTTGTGACATACCTACCCATGCATGTCTTTCAGCTACACCAGCGACCGATGGCATCAATGCATGCCTGTCAGTTACGCCACAGATTGAGGACATCCGTCCACCCCAACACATCTGGTCGCGGAATCGGCAACAGGGGTAGCCAGAGCGGGAAGCTGCCATCATGGAAACCCGCACACAATAGAAGTCAAGCAGCTACCAGGTAATAACCGCTTGCAACAAAGTCGTAATGGTGGTCAGCGAGAACAAGCCAGAAAGCTGAAGATCGTGAAGCATTATCGGCAGCAGTGTACTCAGTACTCAGGGTTCGGAGCTGCTCACTCTTGAGATCCACTCAATTCTGAGACTGGATTCAACCATTCGGTCTGGAGAGTTGCCTACATATGCTTGAAAAAGGTAGCTGACGAAACCAACCCCCTGCAGCTCATCAAAGCTGAACACGTTCAGGCAGCCACCTCCATCCGACCCCGCCGCAAACTCGCGAACTTGCACCAAACACCGGCTCAGGCCTGCCGCAGCAGAGTAAGCTAGAAAGGGCGACCCAAAATGGTAAGCGGAAAGCGGGGGGCCTGATCACCCCGCCATCTGAAGCACGACAAGGTGCGTCAAGGCGAACAGAGGGGAGAAGGAAAACACAAGGTAGAAGGGAAGGCGAGAGTTGCGATGGGAGACGTACGAAGTATCCGTAGTTCTTACAGCTGTCAAAAGCGGCGGCGCGCCCAGAACGCGGCCATACCCGAAGCGGCACGACCGCCTACCGTAACTTTACCTTACCGTTGTTACCATACGGCGTACGGAGTACAGTGTCAGTGCGATGATCGTCCCGCAGAGCCTGGGCAAGGCTCCTAATATAAGGCTACCTAGCTGACACGGCGCTACCCGCAACCAGCCTGTTGTTTTTGCCCTACATCTGTACTCCGTACAGGCTACGACACTTCTGTGCAGTCAGCTGCTCTCCAGGATGTGCGCAGGTTGTCCCCTGGTAATTATACTGACTTCCTGGAAGGGTACTCCCTACACTGACGCCATCCAGCCATGGCGAACAATATACGCACGTTAGACTGTGCCGAAATTTGATGACTCGCTTGTCTCACCTTAGGAACACGAAAACCCGCAAGGTATCTACTGATCGTGTTCCTATTCCTGGCTGCTGTAGCCTGCTTTCTAACTGCCCAGCAACATGATTAATATCGTCTTCTGACTCAACTTGGTGGGAAGTCTTCGGGGCACCCTCAAGGTGACAGTAACCTGACGGCAACATGTACCAAAAATACCTGAGACACAATGCTCTATTTGTCTACGGAGGTCATTTTCCAGTGCACTCGGCCCTCTTGGCATTGACACCCTCGAGCGGTATCGTGCCTGACGGATATCGTGATGGATGTCCTGGCGAAGTGCGTTTGCATATCAATGGAATCTTACGACACTCTAAACGAGTCATCGAGTTTCTTTTTCCGCTTCTTGCCCTGCTAGCTTATCCCAAAATTCGTGGCTCTTGATTCTCTATTTGTCTTCTCGAATATCCTGGTCTTACCATACGGCATCAGAATCGAAAGGATTACCCTCTGGCTCACGTCATCTGACAGCTTTTGTAGGATGTGACAGATGTCTCTTCCACTGTCCGGGATAAGCTGGATTCTTGGGTTGGGCTGCTCGCACATCGTTCGGCTCGAGGACAGGAGTAAGGAATTCAGGTTCGATGCACCCTGTATCCTTCATACAAGAAGTATAAAACACCGGGGGCGTGAAGCAGACGCCGTTGTCTTGCAGGCGACCCCCTTAGCGTGCTCATGCGTTTGTCAAGCCGCCATATGAGGAGTGGCAGCATGCAACATCGGCGTCTGTGGGGAGATGAACAAAGGAGGTGTTCATCATCTAGCATTCCCGCCCTGGCCATCCTGGAGGGAGATGGCACTTCCCCTGCTTACCCCGAAGCTGAAGGTGCTCAATGGATCGGCGGCATCGAAGACCAAATGTTCTCAGCCGAGCAGAAGTCCTGGCAAAGCACGTCAGCACCAGCTTGAACGCGCAACATAGCTAATAAAATGCAGCAAGTGACATCAGATATTGTTGAGAAGATATTTCGGCTGGTTCTTTTAGGCATTGCAATCAAGGAGTCCAGGGTTGAAACACAATAGTTCTACCACTGGACAAGAATGCTTCTCTGGCCCCAGCTGCCTCATCACATAAGAGGAGTTTTACGAGTCTAGGGCCACCAACCTGATTCTCACATGCATTGTTTGCATGTTGCATGAAGCATTCGTAACATTCATCCAGGCTACTGAGATTGGCGTTAGCAATTACAACCCCCACCAAATCAAGGATTCGAACGTACTTTCGTTATCCCTCGTCTCCGTCTCATCTCTTCCACCCTCCGCTTATCTTCCTCAAATTTTTTCAACATGTCATTTTGCTCTTCCTTCCTCTTGTTCCGCATTTGGAACCTGTAAAAATCCTCCAGGCTCTTGCTCTTTCCTTTGTGTTTCTCGGCAATCTCTCTGGCTTCCTCCACGCGAGTACTGCCTCTAGAGCCTCTCGTGACCATGACAAACCCGTCGTCATCGGGTAATTGGCGTTTCCGTGCGGTCTCACGGCTCCGGGCCTCCTCCATTTGTGCGTATGCAGTCATGAACCCGTTGACGGATCGGAGAACCTCCTTCCTTGAAGGGAATTGCAAGTGCTTGTGGTGTTCATATCTTGTCAGACCCAGTCGGGGTAGTTTGGACTCTGCACCCTGCCTCCAAGCAACTGACGCCCCCGATTTTGCCGCTCGTCTGGCGGCTTTCAGCGCGAGTTCCATACTCGGCTTATCGACAAATACCACGATAGCTGTTGAGCCACTCTGATGGATTTGATTGTCGAAAACATCTGGGAGAGAATACGTGTCCAATCCGGCCTCAAGTTCTTCGGCTGTCATCCGTTTGCGTTTGCGGCTCGATCTCGAAGCGGAAGAAGGTCTATCCTGTACATTATCTGTAAAATGCACCTTTTCAACACGGCCTCCCTCAAGTTGTGTTGTCAGAAGATGCTTCAGAGATGCGATCGTCGTGGAAATTGGTATGTTTACCAGGAATAGAGACCTGGGCGCATCCTCGTTCGGGGCTTGGGGATCATGAGGCTTTAGGTAGAGGTAGTGAGTGGCTTCTTGGTGGAATGCCCCTGTAGCCTGAAGCCTTAGTGGTAAGGCCACAAATCCTCCCAGCTCTCGAGGCGGCTTTCCCATTGTCACCAGTGTTGGACTGGGTAGGGATGATGTAGTTCCAGATCTGCAATCTTGCGATCTTCTGTAACTTTTTGTCGCAGGCCGGGGATAACGACCAGGCTTGGCATGCTCGGTGTCGATACGGCCCGTGGCCACCTGGAAGGGTGTGGCCGGAATATGGTTTATCCGCTCCGAAACCTCGCTGCGTACTCCGTAATCAGTACTCCTCCGTACCGGCTCTCTATTATTCACCCTGCTCTGTCGAACGCTTCGTTACTCTGTGGTAGGAGAAGTATATAAATGGCATAGAGAGCCACGGCAGAAAGTACCAGGCGCCCGATGTACTCCGTTCAATGTATTTCTATCCATAAACAGTTCGGATATATGTACACAGCTTCTTTCCACCGAATTGTTGGTCCATGATCTTCAATGACTCTGGTATGGGGGCAATGGGCAATCTGTTTCGCGGACGAGATTTCGGACGAAACTCAACACCTGGTCACTGCAGGATCTCGAAAACCATGACTAGGTACGCAGGATCGTTTCTATTGTGGATTGTGGACTGGGTGCGGATACCGTGTACGGAGTACGGTCCGTCAAGAGTTTTCTTTTTGCCTCCTAAACGGAACCTTGCCATTACGATAGGTTAATTGAGTCGATATCTGGTAAAGAGGGCATTCTGTTATCTGTGGCAAGGCTAGGAAATTCTCCCTTTCGAGATTGATTCGCGACCACTGGCATACGTCATGTACGAAGTAACGAGTGAGGCCCCTTGATACAACCATGTACTCTCAAGGGCGCAGAGCTTCTAGAGCCGGTTCGAAGGTGAGGGCATTGATTGAGGCGTGCCTCACTGGTCAAACAATATTGGATCCCATGTCGGATACAGCCGCAACTCGAAGAGAATACGAGTACGGGTATAGTGCACATGAAAGCCTGGTTCGGGTCAAAAAGTCACCGGTCGTCCTAAACTCTTCGTGGAATTATGGAGTGGTATCCTCGTAATTACGGAGTAAGTTTCCTCCGAGACTTTTCCCTTTATTCCCGGCAGTCGTTATATAGTCTATATACAACATGATCACGTAGACAGGAGGCTTGTCATTGTTACCTTGACCTTTCATTCCACCTGCGCCACCACTGCTCATCTGTGCATTGCTTGTTCAGGTCGGTCAATCAATAATCAGTCAACAAATCCATTCACCCTATCTCCAGCCATCCCTCCTCGATCACCATGTCCGAAACCCACGTAGCGGCAGTTCTTGAGGCTGTTGGACAACCCCTCAGCTTGAAGACCCTTCCAATTCCCCAAGCGGTCACAGGCTCGGCGACCGTCAGGGTTCTGGCAACAGCGCTCTCACCCAACAGTAAAGACGTATTCTCCGGCTGCTTTGGGCCGCTAGGTGTTCGTACACCCGTCACTCCTTCTGCCGCCTGCATTGGCCGCATCCACAGCGTCGGTCCGGATGCCACCTCCTTGAAGCCTGGTCAGCTCGTCTTCACAGACTTCTGGACGCCATCCAGAGATGACCCAGACAACAGTATTCTGGCGGGCTACATGGGCGGGGCCGATCAACTCGAAGCAGTCTGGAATCAGGGCACTTTCGCCCAGTATGCCTCGGTGCCACTGGAGCGTGTCTGGTCTCTGAACGAATCTCTGCTTTGCGACTCTCAGAAATATACACCGGCAGAGCTTGTGTACCTGGGAAACCTCTGTATCGCCTTCGCTGGACTCCTCGACATTAATGTCCGCCCCGGAGACAGTGTGATCGCCGCTCCCGCGACGGGCACGTTCGGCGGCGCTGCGGTTCATGCGGCGATAGCGCTCGGTGCGAGGGTGATCGCCTGTGGACGTAATGAGCAGATGTTGGCCCGAATGGCCGATGCGTTCGGTCCGTCCGGCCGTCTGACCACAGTGACGCTGAGCGGCAACGTCGAAATTGATACCACTGCAATCAAATCGGCCGCCGGAGGAAAAGGCGCGGATAAATATATCGACTTCAGCCCGCCACGAGCTCAAGGTACGACTCATCTCGTCTCATGTATCTCGGCTCTGCGCTCCAACGCCAAAGCCTCTCTGATGGGCACTATATTCGGCAACGTGGAAATACCCTACTACCCTCTCATCAAAAACAACATCAGCATCCAGGGCCGTCTTATGTTCGAGAGACATCATGTAGATCAAGTCTTGAAGCTGTTGGAGTCCGGCCATCTAAGTCTTGGTAACAGGCCGAATAGTGGGATGAGGATCCAGACTTTCAAGCTACCAGATATCGACAAGGCTATTGACGAGGCGGCCAAGGTTCGCGGATGGGGGGAGTATATAGTCATAGAGCCATGATCGAGCGTGGATCTCTCCGAGTCTCACATGCGGCAGGCCTCCAAGCATTAAGCAACGGACGAGAGAGGAATCAGGCTCCAAAGTGTAGTGTGCAGAGTCCACAAACAGAGCTCAGAAAAGAATGATGAATGGATTCAAGGCGAGGGATACAGCAGCTTTCGGTAGCGGTGGTAAGCTGAGCACCTCTGAGTAGCCCAACTTATAGCGTCCTGGTGCTTGGCATACTAAATCCGGCGCAGTCATGTCATAGCTCTCAAGTTCAACTCGGACCCGAGTGACGGATGCACGCTTTCCACGACTAACCTTCATTCCTCGTAACATTTCAGCATGCGGACCAGTGCCCTACGTGTGGCATCGTCGCGGTCACACGCCCTACGGCTTCACTCATCTGTGGGACGCTTGGCGGAGCCTGCGTTTCGCCAGCTAACCACCACCGCATGGCGGCCTGCTACAGCTTTACCCATCACAGCTGCCGGACCACCTCCCAGTGCTCCCGTGCCGACTTCATCACAATATGGCGACCGAGTGGGGGAACGACGCAGAAAAGCGGAAATGCTTCGGCAAGGCAAGGAACTCCGGGCCAGTGAACCGGGAAAATCAAGCCCACTGAAGCGGCGATTTTGGAAGGAAGTCCACGTTAAAGAAGTACCCGAGGGATATCAAGTATTCCTGGATTCGAGACCTGTACGGACACCGGCGAAGTCCATTCTCACCATCCCACCATCCAAACCGCATCTTGCACATGCAATAGCCATTGAGTGGGACATGTTGGAGTCAGTGCAACAAGCCCTCAAAAACCACAATATCCCTATGACTTCAATCGTGGCGCGGGCACAGGACATAATCGAGGCCGAGGCACGGGGCGTAACGAAGAATCGAGACGAGATCATTTCTGTGATGCTGCGGTATCTAGATACTGATACATTATTGTGCTGGGCTCCCGAGCAGGCTGCGCACGATGCTGGCCAGCTTGAAATGCACTCCAGCCGCACGGAGTCGTTACGAGACATCCAGATCAGAACAGCAAAGCCGATTATAAGCTTTCTCACCACGTCCATCTGGCCGGGCGTGGAGCTAAAGCCTGCGCTGGAGAACGGGAGTATTATGCCAACTAAACAATCCGAAATGACACGAAGCGTTATCAAAGGCTGGATTTCTGGTCTTCCAGCTTACGAGCTCGCGGCTCTTGAACGAGCAGTGCTCGCTGGAAAGAGTCTGCTGGTTGGCACAAGACTATTGATTGAGTGGAGCGAGGAATTCCGGGATCTGCAACGCAGCAGTGATAAGCGGTTTGGTATTGAAGAGGCGGCCGAGGCAGCCACCCTCGAGGTCCGATGGCAAACTGGTATGTGGGGAGAAGTTGAGGACACTCACGACGTGGAGAATGAAGATATCAGAAGACAGCTAGGAAGTGCAATCTTGCTCATAAGTGGGAAGCGGTAGATGTCTTCCTGGCTGCATGCACGTATCTCACATCGACCGGGACATGCCTTCCCAGGCACCAATGGAGAAGTTTGGCGCATGCATCGCTCACCACAGACGAGTCGATAGGCAAATTGTCCAACGTCCACTGGCCTATCTATTTTCATGATGATCCGTTTGTAGCTTGTCCCTTGAGAAACTGACAGTTGCTTCCAGGACCATTAGTCGTAGGCACAAGACAGTCCAATCTCGCTCTTCAAATCCTCTTCTACCAGAGGGAGTGCAATCTCCAGCCATGGAGAGGGTCTAGCTACAAGCCGCGAAGATTCAGATCTCCGGATCCCTAGATCCCAAGATCCCAAGATCCCCGTCGCAGCCGCCACGAGTCCAGTGATGGATAGGCCCGATTTGGGAGCATCTAGGAGGGTGGTCGAACATTAGCCACAGATGACGTCGGAGGGCTTAGGAGGCCCTAAGGCTGCAGAAGGACTTGTAGCGTCCAGCTGGGCAGACCTGTGCTGGCTGTGCTAGCTGTGCTGGCACTGGTGAAAGATGACATGGGGGTATTCGGAGTCCCTGCATGCAACGAGAGCGGAGGGACTGAGCACCGTTGCGACCGGCAAAGTAAGGTGAGGAGGGCTCTGATGCTGTATCCTTTCGATTCGATTCTTTGATCTACAAAAGGAACCTCATGCTTCACTCGAAGCTGAAACAGTGCACAACTACAAGGCAGCCTGTCCGCTGCTGCTACTCATTCCAGTCAGATTTGCTATCATTTCTTCGAACAACTCGACGAGACAAGAGTGATCTATCGCCCAGCTTCGATTGCGAGGAGCGGAAACCGACGACATGATGAGGATCCCGCTGTTCAAGCGCTTCGTTATAGCTTGTCTCAACATCCTCTTCCCACCCTTGGCGGTCTTACTCATCTGCGGGCCAAACGAAGACCTCCTCTTCAACTGCCTCATGTTCCTCCTAGCGGTCATTCCTTCCCACGTGCACGGCTTCTATATCTCTCTGACCTACTTCAATCGCAAGCGCAAAGTACGCAACGGCATGTACCCAGGGAAGCCAAAGCACCTGATCTGGAGCGACAAGGTGAACAATGGGGGCGCGAGCAGGAGGGAAACCGAGAGATTGAAGCAACAAACAGAAAACGGCAAGCTGGGCAGGATGGTTAGCCGCCGGACTGCTAGTACGACGATCAAGAACGGTCGTGAACCAACCCGTGTGGAAGACTGGGATGACGGGTACAGGGAAGATGCCATTTCGCCGTCGACAAGCAGAATGCGGTCGGGGAGGGTCGGTCGAAGCAACACGAGGGAAAGGTACTACGAGAATCAGGACCATTATAGGTAAAGACTGATGTCTGTGGTGCCTAGTGAGGTTCCTCCATCGGGTCAGCATTAGACTGGGTCAATGACAAGAAACCACATATCTTAGGAATATCTGATGAGAAGTCTTGTGTGAGGGTGGCCTGGACCTGAGGCTTTGAATAATATTTGTTAGCTCAGGAATTGACTTGCCAACACTTGTATTCTTCCCTCCTACCACTCCCGACATGCAGGTAACTCATCAACGTTTAATCTCCATCTAACCAGACCAGGGAGGCTCGTCTCTTGGCTCAATCTTCGTATGCAGTGGCAGGGCGCCACTAACCGATGTAGGATGAAGTGGTGGCACAGCCCCCCATCCAAGACAACTGTCTGCCTTGTTACTATGGCTTGATATGTGACAGCCCTGCGTGAGCCCTCCCTTCGCCGCGACCCTGACGTTCTTTCTCTTCTTCACCTCGGATTCCTCTGCCCGTCAGCGGTCTGCCCGGAAAGGTGAGCAAAGATGGCAGAAGTTGGTCTTGTGGCTTCAGTGTTTGGGATCGCCTCTCTCGGCGCATCAGTCTCTAAAGCGCTATTCGACCTAGGCTATACGATGCGCTATGCTCATGAACAGATCGATGAAATCGCAGGCGAAGTTACGACCTTCACAAGCATCATCAGGCAACTAGGAGCGGTGTTGAAGGCGCAGAAGGGCTTCTTCACCGACGAGGCTGAGAAGATGGTCGTATCATCCATGAGCGACTGCAAGAGACTATTCAGGTCCATCCGACGACAAATCAAGCGGAAGGAGAAGAGCCTGGTGGCATTCCGCTGGCTGTTCAGGAAGACAAAGGCCGAAGAGCTGAAGAGAAGAATGGACGCCCTGAGAGGTCTGCTGGGATTGATGCTGCAGGTGATGCAAATCGGCAGGAAGGTCGAGTCCGAGTGAGTGCCGGTCACATCATCCTGGGAGACAGCATCCTAATTTCAGAAATAGCAATATCCTCCCCGACGCTCTTTCCGAGCTCAGAGAGCAAGTGAAAATGCTCAAGAACGAAGTTCTGGCCTATCATCGCAGTTTACCCAAGCTACAGGAGGCCGAGAGAAGTCTTCAGGTCTTGACACGACCACCCAAAACAGAGAGAGACCATCAGCAGCATGATTCGTCTCCGCCTAGTGTTCAGCATCCGTATTGGTATCCAGGATATATTTCGCCGGACTCGGTTCCTACAGAAGTTGTTATCTTCGATGGCCCGCATCCACAGCAAGAAGGGTACGCGCAGCCTCTTTTATCGGCTGATGAACATCATCCTAGCGAGTCGGACATATCAGAATCCGTGTCGGCGTCAGCAACAATGGAAGGAGAAAACGAAAAGCCCTCTGGCGCCACCCATACCGCAAGTTCCGGCGACGAGGCTGGGAAAAATGCCGCACCAAACGGACGAAGATCAAAGAACGAACATGCGTCTCGCGCACCAGCAAGATTGACCTACCGTGTATCTCAGAGGCTGATTACTTCCATGCCCTACAACCCCATGACGGCCATCAGTCTATCAGCCGCACCGGCGAGACCGACTGCTAGCAACACGCAGCTCCACAAGGGGCAAGAATCTAGGCCAAGTTCGCCGGACGATGAGGCAACAGACGCGCTCAAGCTATTGTTCGGCCAGTGGACGAAGGTAGATCCGCGGTTGATTGGCGATGTGCTGGATAGGGACAGGCCTGGGAAACGACCAACAACGATAACAGTGTGAGTCGAAGTCTTGTAGCGTCACAAACCATCTGATTAAAGATTTAGTGACTCTCTATCCCAAGACTCGGATGATGAAAGCGAGAGTTCGGTCGAAAGCGAATCCCCCCGGGCTTCTTCAAGATCCAGGAGCCGGCATCGCCCATACCCATGGCCGCGACATCATGACCATCCTCGTCAGATATCAGAAGACCAGCCCGCGGCGGTCGGATGGGGGACCGACGGCCCCCTATATCTAGGACCAACTCGGAATCGAGACGCCTGGCTACCGCCCCTGTCCGAAGAGCCACCCCTCGCAAAAGTCCTCGCAACCTGTAACGCACGCTTCGTCTGGATGCACCGCAACTCCCAAGTCTTGACATATTTCGCGGATACCCAGATCTGTATGCGATATCGTCTGAAGCCGCCGAATGAAGTATATGCGTTACCGGAACGAACCGAAACGGTCCTTCCTAAGCAGTGGGTACTGAAGGAAGTGATTGAGCTGTTCGGGTTCGTGTGCAAGGAGGATGACGAAGTACACTGGGCAATTGACAAGGCGTTGACCTTTGTGAGTCTTTTGGTGAATTTGTACTCGTCAAAGGCGGATCTGGGAAGGTGGTAAGCTGACAGTGTTGTTTTCGCCGGCATAGGTCGAAGTCAGACAGCTCGTTGAGGTATCTTCCCACCTGATCGAAAAGAACATCCGCAAGAGAGCCTGTGAGAATATGGAGAACACCAGCGCAGGTCCGCCGAGGTATGAGAGCTCAAGAAAACCTTCACTGTTCACCTCTGTGCCGCATGATCCGGCCCCGAGGCAGGGCGCAGGACCTTTAGTCGCCGTATCCCATCCCGTCGACATGCAGTTGATGAGGGTTGGCCGCCACTCTCCACCGCACCCGGCGGATCCGCAGTTTCAATCGGAGGAAGAAGGCCCCGGAGACAGAGACAGAGACAAAGATCAGTATGGAGAGGAGACCTTGAGTGTTTTCAGCAGCCAAATCGGCTACAGCGACAGTCTGACGCTGTCGCTGTCGCAGTCGAACCACACCAACCAAGGCGGTGATAGCAGCAGCAGCGTATCTCGGCTGGCTGGTGAAAGGGATATCGAGACGGGGATCGAGAGCCGAAGGCACCGTGACCATGACCATGATCGTGAACGAGCACGAGGCTCGCTAGTGGGCCGGGGCAAACGACGCGAGCAACGAAAGACCAGGCGTCCGGACGTCGACGTGCAAAGTTCCAGTCAAACCCAGGCGACGGATCCGCGTGTTGGTCGACGGCGCCATCGGGACCGCAAGTACTCATAGGACACTGAGGCTTCTCAGGACTAAGGACGGCCTGGTCTTCCTTGAGGAGGCGGGCTCGGCTGGACCTCTCTGCTCACACGGGGCGTCTGGCTCTTGATACACATCGCGACGTATCTGATATCTGAGGAAAGGGGCGGATAGCCTGTTGCGATGTTGTATACCTCTAGGTATAGATCGTCGTGCTCAGTTTTGATCCACATGTACGGAGTACGGACTGTACATACAGGCTCGGCCCGCTGTCCCTACAGCCCCTCGATGGATCACAATATGTCTTTTGTATCAGACCCTGCAGTGCCTACTCTCTCTCTCTCTCGCGCGGCATGGGTGTGGCAATGCTCGGCATGATCAGCTTGAAGGTGGAAAGAATTCCCCCTTATAAGCATGGCTAAGGTATGTGGTATAAGGCAAAAGTTGAAGGAGTCCATTACGAAAGTCCATGCATACCATGGACAGAAATAGTTAATTCATATTCGCTTCACTTCAATCTAGACCCCGAATCGTGGTGCTAGTAGCAAGGTCTTCAATGACCTAAAGTTCTCCGTTCTCCAGACCCAGGGGGAATATTGCTCTTGCGGTTCGTCAAACACATCGATCATAACAAGGCATTACAGAATATTCGGGACACAAAATATTCTAGTTCCAGCCGTTTACTTCTTTACCTCTGTCGTGATACCAATACAGGCAGCCCGGCCGTAACCAACATCAACTAATGTCTGTGCTCGGAGCTTCTTTCTCCTTTGAAGGCCGCACTGTGCTGTGTATTGTTGTACCTGTGACATCCTCAGGTTTTCCTGGTAAAGGATATGGGCTGAAGTCTCGACTGCTGGTGCTGAAATTCGACTGAACGGATGGGTGTTTCTCATGTTTCTCAGCTGGGTCGCCACTGCCGTGACTCGGTTTGATGCCATTATGCAAGGGGAAATCGTGGTTGGTAGGCACAGGTGTATTCGACGAACTCGGGTCGGCGGAGGCCGGGCTGGTCAGGTCCATACTTCCATCGTCCAGAGTCACCGAGTTGAGCCCATGAAGGCCACCTTCAATATCCCTCACCAGCCGCACAAACTCCTCGGGAACAAGTCCACTTTCCCCGGTCCTAGGATCTTCGGCTACTAACCAACCTTGGCCGTGTCGATAGGAGACCAGGATTATTTGTCCTTCTTTCAAAGGCAGTTCATTCTGATGCTCGCTTTCAAAGTCGAACAATGCGACAGCCTTGCCATGCATTTCCTCATCTGGACTAGCAATGGTAAAGGAATAATCCTTGGAGAATCGCGCGTCATCGTCAGCCTCGGAGTAATCGTCGCCAGAAAACGGTTCCTCTGCGTTGTATGGTGACTGCGTACCCTGCACCGGGCCTGTAGAGTGCGTGTCCCCGTTTTGCGGTCGCGGTGGGAATAACAGCACATTATTCTCGTAGGTATCCACCGCCTCGCCAGGTCCATCACCGTCGTCTTGATGACCGCTGGCTTCGACTAAAGTGCCCCGGTTGGCACCTGCGGCACCGGGAGACCTTCCTCGTTCGTTAGATTTATGTTTTTTATGCCGGCTCGTAGTTACAACGGGCGACTGAATGTCTTCGTCCTCGCTGTAGGGTGGCCCGCCATCCTGGAATGTCATCGCTGGAAGTCGATCACGGCCCCATGAGCTCGTACTCGCTTCGGATATCCACGGAGGTGTCGCAGACCAGTTGACTCTCGAGTCTTCCCAGGAGGAAATCGCGGGATCCGACAACCTTCTTGACTCGCTGGCGGGCGTCGACAGCCCTGACTGATGCGGAGGAGGTCCGTAATGTAAAGGATGGGTGGATAAATACGCAAAATCGCGCACGAGGGTGTATGAGAGGTTTGAGTGAAAGGCGGGAAAGACGTGCGAGGTAGGTCGGGATGGAGGCTGGTATGAAGCCTTTGAATGGGTAGAAAAGGTAGACATGCGCCTCTCAACATATGAGGTAGGCCTCTGAGAGCTTGGGCGCCGCGGTGTGGGTGTCGCTGTAATTAAAGGAGGTAGAGAGGGAGGGTGGGTTGCTGCCGCCGCCAACGGCGGCGACATTGTAGGTGGCGATGCTGTGATAGTCGCCATCTCCCACCGTACACGGGTGAAGTGTGCCAACCACCAAAACAGCACAGTATCGATTGCGGAGGAGAAGAGGAGGCGTCTGGACTCTTTTGAATGCGGATGCGCGGCTGCAGCCACGAGACAACCGTGGGCGGCTAGGGAGAGGCAGTGACAGCGGCTGCTGAAAAGGCCGTCGCAAGAAGCGAAATCTGGAGGTGAAGTGATGAGCACGGGGTCCCTGCGAAGAGGAAAGAGAGAAGACAAACTCGTTCGGGTCTTAAATCCAGGGACCTGAGATGGAATGAGTGTTGCGGGCTTACTGTCCAAAGTCGAAATTGAGAATGCGACGATCTAAATATAGGATAGGACGAACCCGAGTTGGAGAGGGCGCGAGTCTGGGGGGAGGAGCATTCACAGAAGGATTAGAAATTCACTGTCATGCGTCGACGCATGATAAATGAAGGAGGATTCGGCAAAAGACAATTGATATGTCCCAGGGACGGGGAGGGTTTGTTTACCAGTCATTGATAGTGAGCGGCGGCGAGGTCGAGATGGCAAGTGAGTTGAGGCCTAAGCCTCAGGCCAGCTTTTTGCGGTGAGACTGCGGACTGCGGTCAAGAGGGAGCGAAGCGCAGGCTCGGTTTGGCCGTTGTTGCTGGGTTGGCACGCCATGATTATTGGGCGCAGGCCCAAGGAGCCTGGGCGCAGGCGGGACGTAGAGGACACGCCTACCTGGATCAGGTTAAGCAGCAGAAATAGGCGGCCCTAAGTCACAATTTTGGCGGCAGGTACCTGGAACTTCAGCGCCTAGCAGTGGCTCTAGACTCTGACCGTCCTGTCGCGCTTGCCTGCAGGGCGGCTTGATTCGCAGCACCGCCAACCCCACCACAGCCGCCAGTGTTTCACCCCGGAGCCCAGGCTGTTATAGCACTTCTAAGTTCTCACAAACCCTGCTCGTCTAGAATCTGCATCAGTCGCTTTTTGCCCATCATTCGTCTCGGACACCTTCTCGAATCTCGAATCTCGAATCCCTAATCCTTGACCTCTCAGCCGCGCGCCCTTCCTGACGCGCTACCGAACATAGTAATTCCCGCATTTTCCAGAATAACGCCAGACAGATTCGAACAATTCGAGCAATGTAAGTCCTCTGCACATCCCAACTGGCACAGGCACCGGCACTGGCGTGCTGTTGCTTAACAACATGATGATCACAATATTGGAGCTGTCCTATTTTCCCATGCGGACATCCACAAAATACGCATTTATAACATCTGATTTCGTTTGGCCTTGTTGACATAACCTTCCGAGAAGACGTACTCTTCCTTGTCTGGAGCTATGGCTGACATGATACCTCCAGTAAACCGTTATGTTAACCCTACACCGATAACGCTTTTCGGCTTCCTCTTTTCATCATGTCAACTGACCCTCGACTCGCCCGGCTCCAAGCTCGAGCAAATACACCTCAGTCTGCGCCAGCCAAATCACAGCCACTACCTCAACCTCAACCCCAATCTCCACTACAATCGCAACCGCAACCGGAACCGGAACCGCAAACACAAACCCAACCTGCTTCTCCATCCCCAGCACCTGTAGAGACAGGGCACTCCAAATTAACTCCCCCAAGTTTAGATGGCAACGTCGACGTCGAGGCGCCAGTTACGGTGCCTGCTGACGCAGTCGCTGAAACAAGCGAAGTCCCCTTCAAGTTAAGATTCTGCACAGTCTGTGCCTCAAATAACAACCGGAGCATGGAAGCTCACCTGAGATTGTCGACTTCAGACCGTCACTACCCGGTCATCTCTTTCGGCACGGGTTCGTTTGTCCGATTACCTGGTCCGTCAATCTCCCAGCCACAGGTTTACAACTTCAACACCACCTCTTACTCGAAAATGTACGAGGAACTGAATGCACAAGATGCGAGGTTGTACCGGAACAATGGAATTTTGAATATGCTGGATCGGAATCGAAACATAAAGTGGGGCCCAGAGCGATTTCATGACTGGGTGGTTGGCGCGTCGAGGATGGATGCTTTGCAACGAGGGGACAAAGGCGCCGAGGGATCGGAAGGCGGTATTGTCGACGTGATCTTCACCTGTGAAGAGAGATGCTGGGACGCTGTGGTTGATAATCTGCTGGACCGAGGAGCACCTTTAAACCGACCTGTTCACGTGTTCAATATCGACATCAAGGATAACCATGAGGAGGCCCTTATAGGAGGAGGCGCAATTTTGGAATTGGCGGACCTACTTAACGACGCTGCCGCCGAAGAGCGGAAGCAGAACGGCACGAGGGGGTGGGAGAATGGAGGTGGTGCGGCCCGGGAGAGTTTCGATGAAAGAGTCCCTGATATTCTGGCCACCTGGCAGGAAAGATGGCCCAGCTTGCCGGCATTGTGGACGCTGTCGTGGTTCTAAGCCTGGCGTCAGATGTACTACTACCTTTTTGCGAAGGCGCTGGAGGAGTGGGAACGGTAACGAGTATGAAATGCAATTATGTGCTGGTTTGATTGTTTCTTCTAGCATTTCTAATTGGTGATGCCTCCTGGTCACGGCTGAAACTATAACTTGCTTGCTTGCTGTCTGTCATTTTCCTTCTGCTCTTTGAGCAATCTCTCTTTCTGCAAGACGTCCTTCTTCAACGCCACCTCTACCTCTCTAGGACCCTCTCTGCTGAACTTCACCAGAACCACGTAGTCGGAATCCCCCTTCAAATCGCTCGCCTTCAGTTCGGGCCCTGGCTTGTCCAAGGCAAGAACCGACCTTCCATCTTCGCGGCCGAACTGCAGACCGATCGGGCTGATGAACTTATCCTTCCAGGGCACCGGAGAACCCTCGTTCTCAATCATATGCCTCAGCCGCTCGCGCTTGGTCAGCACCTCGTCCCTGCTTTCCTCTCGGCCGTCGACCATGCCAGCGTCAAGAATGCCGGATATCAGATACAGCAAAAGAAACTGGGGCGGGAATAAGACGATCTCGCCGCTACGGGCGCGGGCCAGCCAGTCCTTCGCGCGGCGCCACTCCGGAGCCATAGTCTCGACCTCGTCGCCGGTGGCCCGGACGGAGGGGTTGCCGGCCTCCTCGAGCCCGACAAAGTAGATGTACATCTGGGTGGTGAAGCGCTTAGGCACATTGGGCGGCGTGACCCAGTGTGTGAAGGGGAGCAGACGGTCTGTGTCCAGCACGGCGTGCGGCGAGATGGACTGGAGCCACGCAGCGAAGGAGATCTGGGCGCCGTGGACGGCCTCGCGCCCGCTCTTGCGCTGGTCTCGCGCCACAGGCAACAAGGCCTGGGCATCCTGCGACGCGCGCGCCAGCAGAATCCCCGTCTCTTCGAACAACTCCCGAACCGCCCCCGTGCGGTATGCGATGCTGTCCAGATGCCGCTGGATGTCTGTTGGGGTGGACGCCACCTCGCCGTCTGCAGGCTCCAGATTCCCGCCGGGGAAGACGTGCGCTGAGGGAAACGCCGAAGACGTCTGTACGCGGTGAAGCAGCAATACCTCGTTCGAGGGCGATATCAGTATCACACTGGCACTGGGTGACGCGGGCTTCGGAGTTTTGTGGTCGCTGTATTCTCGCACTTGGAACTTGGAAGGAGGCGCCATGCTGCGGATATGCCGTCTGCGGCGACCACAGACCAGGACACCGTCTTGTATCTGGGTTGTCCGAGGCAGCTGGCTCTGACTCCGGCTGCTAGTATGGTGAGATCGTCTATATGTGCGCGACAAGTCGGTCGGATATGCGTGGTCTAGGTTTCTAAGAAGTGAGACCGCTCGTCTTAGAGTAGCAGTAGTAGGGGGGTTCAACGATATGGAAACGGAGGACAAAGGCAATACCTGCATTGCAGAACATGAGAAGTAAGCCGGAGGTGCGAAATCCACATGACCAGTACCTATGTAGATACTGTTTCCCCGGAGTGTGAGTACAGATGTATGTAAGATGGAATCGTTCGGTGGGCACCGTGCAACAAATCATATTCCCGCGCCGCGCAGAACCGAGCGCGCGCCGAGGTTCATCTCAACTACCCCGACAGTGACGACGCCTCATCTCATCTTTGTAATTCCAACACTGATGGCTGGAACAGAGTCCTCATCGAAATATTACACATATATCCATTGAACTTGCCCAATTCATGACAATCATTTACAGGAAATCATGATACTCCAGTCCGCATGTAACACTGGCCATCTCCAACGCCATCTCGCCGTGCTATCTATGACCGACTTGGTCCGAGATTCTTCAAGCATAGAGTTTCTTGTCGAAACTGTCAAGACCGTGAACGTTGCCTTCCGCTTGGGCACTGACTGATCGGAGCTCGAAGCGAACGTCGCCGCTCAAGACCTTCTCGCGAAGTTCGATTAGACTCTTTGCCCCGATGTCCTGGAGAGAGTGCTGGAGTCCGGCCAGCAAGTAGGGGACAAACTTGGTCACTGTGCCTCGATCGGGTACTGCACCAGACACGCCCTGAGCAACCAACAGGCTGTCACCCTCTGAGAAGTATCTTGCAGTGCCGGCATTACTGCCCTTGGAATTCTTGGCTCCACCGCCGGCCTTCCTGTCTTCCATGGCATCGATACTTCCCATTCCCCGGTAAGCCTTGACGAGCTTACCTTCACGGCTGACGAAGTAGTTGCCGGGGGACTCGGTGGTCCCGGCAAGGAGGCCGCCCATCATGATAGTAGACGCACCTATGGCGAGCCCCTTGACGATATGACCAACGTTTTGGATACCACCGTCAGCAATGCAGGGAACTCCAAAGCGGGATGCAAAAGAGGTCACAGCGAAGACCGAGGCTGCCTGAGGACGGCCGACAGCCATGACTTCTTGGGTAATGCATGCACTGCCGCTACCCATGCCAATTCTCAGGCCATCGGCACCTGCAGCAATGAGGTTTGCTGCTTGTTCGCGAGTCACTACATTTCCAGCAATGACATCGAGTTCCGGATATTTCTCCTTGACGTATTTGACCATTTCAATCTGGTAGATACTGTTTCCTTGGCTGCTGTCGAGGACCACAATGTCAAGGCCGGCGTCGACCAGTTTCTGCAGTCTGATCTTGTCATCTGGCCTAGTTCCAATAGCCGCTGCAGCAATGAGCTGTTTCGAATGAGGCAGCTTTGAGGCCAGGGGGAAGTTGAGGTTTTTAAGAAGATCTGAGCGTGAGAGTAGAGAAACAAGATTACCGTTGGTATCGACGATGGGCAGCTTGCCCTTTCTCGAATCGCGAAGGACTGCGTTGGCCTCGGCCAGAGTGGTGCCAGCAGGCGCAGTGATCAAGTCCTTCGACATGACCTCCGTGACCAGGTCATCGGATCGAGGATGGAACTGAATATCTCGAGTTGTAACAATGCCAATCAGCTTGGACTTGAGCTGGCCGTTTTCTGTGCGTGAAATTGGAATTTGTCAGCGGTTGAAAATTCAAAAGACCGGAGGAGAAAAAGTAGAATCGAGTGTTCTCAGACAGAAATCTCCATAGTTCCCCATTGCAAATTCATGCTGCGGATGAACGAAAGTTTAAAAGGGTAAATGGTTTGGACATCATTGAACAAGCAGTGTTGGAAATGCCAGGGAGAGACATACCGGTAACTGGAAAGCCTCCAAACCCCCATTTTTCTTTCAGCGCCTTTGCTTCTCCGACAGTGGTCTTCGGAGAGAGGACGACGGGCTCGGAGATGAAACCGTTCTCGTATCTCTTAACCTTGCGAACCATGTCTGCCTGGTCATCGGCGGTACAATTGTGATGAATGACCCCGAGTCCTCCCAGTAGGGCCATGTGAATGGCCATAGAATCTTCTGTTACGGTGTCCATAGGAGAGGAGAGGAGCGGAGTTTTGAGCGTGATGCGCTTGGTCACTGGGGAATCGAGAGTCACTTCGGAAGCAGCGAAGCCTGCGCGACAGGGTCAGGAAATGGTCGTCAGAAAGACGTTAATTGCGCAGCATACCAATGTATCCCGGCAGAATAAGGAAGTCATTATATGTCAGAGCCCCATTTTTGGCCGAATCCAGGAGAGTATGAACATCGAGGCCGTCCTTTTGAGACTGATACTCGGATTTGAGGACTTCAACGGCCTTGCGGTAGTCGAGTTTTTCGACGTTGCCGTGGACTGAAAGGCCATTGCCGGCGACATCTCCGTTTGCGATAGGCATTTTGGCAATCTTTCTCTCTCGTAAATGAAATGATTCTGCAACAGATCCTGGCATGCACGATCTGCTGGGGTCAAAGGTGACCGGGAGAAGAGAAAAAAGGTTCAGGAAAAAGTCGTGATCCTATGAAACTTTTTTGCAGGCCGGGAGCGGGGGATTGCGCTAAGGCTTAGGGGCTCTTGGCGTCGACGCGGTCAGGCACAAGCTGGACGCGAGAACTCAAGATGGTACCTTACCACACCAGTACGGAGTACAGAGACTCCGTACAGGGCGTAATTAATCGGGCGATAACAATGGGTGCAGAGGCCGCAGTCAGGGCTGCGCACCCCCATGAGTGAAGCTCTTGCGTCGGGCAAATCTCCCTCTAGTGTGTGCCTCACACTGCTTTCAAGGTCAACCCTCCTGCGGAGATGCTCATGATAACGCAGCCATGGACTTTGCATCCCATGATTTGAATAGCTGGCCAGCTTGATGCTGGGTTCGTTGCCGTATCCTTGCCAGGTCGCGTGTCTCAGCCTATCATCGTACCGGCTGCTGGTAGTCTCGACCAGTTGCCCGCTGGTTGGTGAAGCGTACTATCCCTTTTCTGGCCAATGTAAACACTCGGACCCTCTCAATGTTAGTAGTTACAACAGTAATAGGTAGGGCTTCTACTGCACCGCTGAGATATTGTTGTCCACGACTTGCATGTAGGACGGCGCCGACTTTGCTTGCTCTTTTCTACTTGTTGCTTTCGCTCTCGCCCGTCTCTTGCCTGCAAGATCTTCTCATCCATCTTCTCTGCTACACAGCAGCGCTGTCTCTCCCACCCTCTCCATGTCAGCTTAAACATCACACGTTCGAGAATGCGACGCAAGCCCCGATCACGACACGAACAAAATCTCCTGTATCTCGATTCTGTACCTGAGACATCGGAATGTCGCACTACACACTCCGCAGAGCACACGCAGACAATCACTACGCTCTACCCCAACGGCAAGCGTCAACTACTTCAACAGTATCATCAGCCTATTCCGCCGCATCCAGTGCATATCTTCCGAGTCGAACCAGCACGGTGACCTCAACTAACTCCAGCGTCTACTCAACAGGCGGGCCGGGGCACAAGAGGGGAATCAGTGACGCTGGTGGAATGACTCCTACGCGGACATACGGCGGCCACAGCAGTGCCGAAAACAGCCCCGACAATCCCTATCGACATATTCGCCAAAGCTTGAGGGCTCTTCCACAGCCCCCGTCTCCGAAGGCGACACCGAATGCCCGACGACCCAGTGGCCATCATGCTCGGGCTCATACTGTCGATCGCTTCCCTCAAAACTACTCCGAAGACCCAACCATGGAAAAACATTTGCATGAGCACCATAACGAGATGAACCCATCGAGGCCACACCTGCATCATGCTCTCACAAGCCCCCATGCCACAACGTTCAAAGCACCAGATATAGAAGAGCTGCAAAAGTCTTCCACATCGCATCTAAGAACATTGTCAAGATTTGCCAAGGATGGCGACGCCGAAGAATTCGGGATTGCTGCTGCTGGCCATTCTGTTGTTGGACTACACAATCGGAGACAGTTGAAACGCACCGACCCTGTGGCCCAGGGCGGTCGCACGATAGCTAAGAGCTACGGCTGGGGCGAGAGAAACTGGATGGACAAACAGCGACAGTTTCTCCAGGCTTACGAATATCTCTGCCACGTGGGAGAAGCTAAAGAATGGATCGAGGACATTATCAGCAAACCTATCCCTCCAGTTGTTGAACTGGAAGAGGCACTGCGCAACGGTGTGACTTTGGCGGAGATTGTTCAAGCATTCCACCCTGACCAGACGCTGAGAATTTTTCGCCATCCGAAATTGCAATACAAGCACTCCGACAACATTGTCTTGTTCTTCCGCTTCCTTGAAGAAGTTGGCCTACCAGACCTTTTCCGTTTCGAACTCATCGATCTATATGAGAAGAAGAACATTCCCAAAGTCATCTATTGCATCCATGCCCTGTCGTGGCTCCTCTACCGTAAGGGAATGGTCGACTTCCGGATTGGAAATCTGGTGGGCCAGCTCGAGTTTGAGCATCACGAACTGGAACAAACCCAGCGTGGCCTCGACAAAGCAGGCGTTAGTATGCCTAGCTTTTCAGGGATGGGTGCGAGCTTCGGCGCTGAGCCGGAGCCGGAGCCAGTTGAGAAAGAAGAAGATCGAATCGACCGAGAACTGCATGAACAGGAAGCAGTCATCCTGGACTTCCAGAACCAGATCCGAGGTGCTCTAGTCAGGCTACGATTGGGAACCATGATGCAACAGCTTTGGGACTCGGAGGAATCCTTGATAGAGCTTCAATCCCACATCCGTGCTGACTGGGCAAGGCAGATCCTGGGCTACCGGCTTGATATGCAGCGTTTCGCGACACGCCTCCAAGCCGTGGCTCGAGGGTTCATAGAACGTTCTAATCGACGAAGAAAAGAAGAGCAGTGGAGGGGAAGTGAAAAAGATGTTCTGAAGCTTCAAAGTCTGTTCAGAGCTGGTAAGGCCCGGACTGAATCTCGAACGTTGAAGTCCCAAATTCGAACACATGACGCCGGCATCCGCAGCCTTCAAGCTGCTATTCGGGGTGCCCTATCGAGGCGAGACGCATTCGATCAGTACGAAGCCACGAGAACGGTAGAAAATGAAGTCGTCGTTTTGCAGGCCAAGATCAGAGGTATGCTTGCACGGGCTCGAGTTCAGAGAACCCGTGCAACCTTGGAACGACAAACCCAGGCTATTACACACATCCAAGCCTGTGTGCGCTCAATGCTCACCAGAATCTCCCAGGATAGACTTCGGAACGCGCTCCATGACTTCTCTGTCAAATGGACTACCTTGCAGGCTGTGGCTCGGGCCGGTTTGGTTCGACAGGAGCTCGCCAGGCTGATGCAGAAACTCCAGTCCCAATCTGCATCAGTTAGCCGATTTCAAGCCATTCTCAGAGGTGCAAACACGAGAGAGGCTTACAGCTCGCTCAGGCTCTCCTTGTTGAGACAGTCAACAGCGACCATTCCAGTCCAAGCTGCGATTCGAAGCTTTCTCCTGCGCAGCCGCCTGAAGTGTCAAAAAGTCCAGTTGGCTCGATACACAAGTCAAGTTGTGCAACTACAGGCGATGTCTCGAGGTGCAATCCTGCGGCTACAGACTGCCGAGACACTTAGTAAACTGGACAGCCACCAAGACCAGGTGGTGCACTTACAAGCGTGCGCTCGTGCCATGCTCTGTCGGATTACCGTCGCTGATCTGCTCGGCGACTTGGATGAGCACCAGGCAGCCATAATCCAGTTGCAGGCCTTTATCAGAGCCACAGCTATACGCTCCCGATTCGCAGAAAAGAGACGACACTTCAAAGAGAATATGGACAAGGTGGTCAAAATCCAAAGCGTGGTCCGAGCGAAGATTCAAGGCAAGGCCTACAAAAGCCTTACTTCGGGCAAAAACCCGCCGGTTGGGACTTTAAAGGGATTTGTGCACCTCTTGAATGACAGCGACTTCGACTTCGAAGAAGAAATCGAGTTTGAGCGCCTTCGCAAGACTGTGGTCCAGCACGTCCGGCAAAATGAGCTTGCAGATCAATACATCACCCAGCTCGACATCAAGATCGCGCTGTTGGTTAAGAATAAAATCACCTTGGACGAAGTGGTCAAGCACCAAAGACATTTTGGTGGCCACGTTGGGGCACTTCTGCCGAACTCTGACATTGCTTCGAAGGATCCATTTGACTTGAAAGCTCTCAACAAGACGTCCCGTCGAAAGCTTGAGCACTACCAGGAACTGTTCTTCTTGCTTCAAACACAACCCCAGTATCTGTCGAGATTGTTTAGGCGTATCAGAGAGCAAGCCACAGCTGAAAAGGAGTGCGACCGCATCAAACACCTTGTCATGGGACTATTCGGCTATGCGCAGAAACGACGAGAGGAATACTATCTTGTGAAACTGATTGTCAGGTCTATCAAGGAGGAGGTTGATTGCTCTTTGTCCCTGCAAGACTATTTGAGAACGAACTCATTTTCAAACAAGCTTTTTGCAGCTTACAGCAGATCTGCTCGAGACCGCAAATTCCTCAGAGATGTTTTGGGCCCGTTGGTCAAGGAGAACATCATCGACAATACCACCCTAGACCTGGAGAGTGATCCTCTTCAAATCTACCTGTCCGCCATTAACAATGAGGAACTCAGGACTGGTCGTCGGAGCCAGAGAGATCCTAATGTGCCCAGAGAGGTGGCCATTCGAGATCCCGAAACACGGTCAACGTTTATTGCACATATGCAAGATCTTCGAGATATCACCGACCAATTTTTCCTCTGTCTCGAAGACTATCTACACCGAATGCCGTTTGGTGTCCGCTTTATTGTTCAGCAGACGCAGGAATATCTTGTGGCCCGTTTCCCTGGCGAAGATGCCGATTTTGTGCTCCAGCTGGTAGGACAATGGCTCTGGCGCGGTTACCTACAACCTGCGCTTGTGGAGCCGGAGAAGTTTGGTGTTGCTGATCGGGCATTGACCCAAGAACAAAAAAGGAATCTTGGGGAAATCGCCAAAGTGTTGAACCAGGCAGCCTCGGGGCGTGAATTCGGCGGCGATAATGTCTATCTTCAGCCGTTGAATAACTATATTCGCGAGGCTACTGGGCGGTTCCGGACGCTCTGGAGTCATGGTGGGTTCCTTGCCCTCTCACGAAATCTTGACTTTGCTGACTGGCTGGCAGTTGTCTCCATACCAACTGCGGAAGAACATTATGACATTGACGAATTCAACGACCTCTATGCTAAGACCAAACCGACTCTGTACGTCAAAATGTCCGACATCTTTTCGATTCACAAGTTGCTGTCCCAAGAAATCAGTACTCTCTGTCCCAGTCAGGACGATGTTCTTCGGGATATCCTCAGGGAGCTGGGTAGCGCCCAAAGCAATGAGAGCGAGCTCCGTGGAGTTAGCTCCGGCGAGATCAGCCTGACGTTGACTCCCAAATTGCTTAGCGTCGAGGACCCTGACTCCGAGGTCAAGGCTCTTTTCACGGAGACAAAGCGATGCGTACTTTATATCATTCGTGTGCAGTCCGGGGCCAACTTGCTCGAGATACTGGTCAAGCCGATTTCTCAAGAAGACGAGGACAAGTGGGAAGTTTTAGTGCAAGAAGAGCTTCATCCAGGTAGCAAGCGCCATGGGGCGTACGCGGATGGCAGCAGCCATCTCGACATCAGCGCCCTATCGTACCGCGACCTCAAGCGGATTGCCTTGGAAAATGTTTTGCACCTCGAATCAATGGGTCGTCTGACGCGGACAAATCATTACCAAGACCTTCTCAACGCCATTGCCGTCGATATCCGTACGAAACACCGCAGAAGACTCCAGCGCCAGCGAGAGTTGGAAAATGTTCGAACCACACTGGCGCGTTTGAATGAGCAAGCTGTGTACCTCGAACAGCAGCTCAAGACGTACAACGACTACATTGAGCAAGCGATGGTGACTCTCCAGAACAAGAAGGGAAAGAAACGATTTGTCATGCCCTTCACGAAGCAATGGGACCACGAGAGAGAACTCCAACGCTCCGGACGCTCGTTCAAGTTTGGATCATACAAGTATTCGGCACGTACGCTTGCAGACAAGGGTGTTCTTGTGCATTGGCGTGGATACAATGAGCGACAATGGGACCGGGTAGACCTGACCATTTCTTCCAACGAAGTGGGAGTGTTCACCATCGATGGAAGCTCCGGCAACATGATGATTCCTGGAGCGAATGCACAGGTACCGCTGGACGACCTCTTGCAAGCACAATTCAACAACACGCAATTTCTGGAGTTCTTTGAAGGAGCGCTTCGGGTCAACGTCAACTTATTCTTGCATCTGATCATGAAGAAATTTTATAATGAATGAGCGACGAATCAAGGACTATGCATAGCGGACAGGCAGGGAAAGGAAGGGGGGGGGGGGGGGGTCTTTTCCAAGGACCTGAAGTGGTTGGTCTACTAGTTGGACAAGAAATTGGGAGGTGCTTGGACAAGGTGCCTGCGCGAGTGTGTGGTATGCTACAGTAGTTGCATTATGATGGAAGCTAGAAATAGCATGATAGAAGGCACTACAGTAGTCCTCGCATAGGTATGCTTCAGGAAAAGAGAGGACATGCAAGATGTCGTTAGATTGAACATGGCTGCACCGACATGTCTGCTTCGATATAAGAGTTCCCGGATCGCGTGTATTGACTACACTACGGAGTACATGCACAGAGTACGGATACATACCCATATGATTGCCTCCAGCTGGGAGTCCCCAACGACCGTCGAGATTCGAAAGAAGTGACGTTCTGGGCGTCCAATCAGCCACTTACAATACTGGTAATACTACTCCTTATTTAGTCGACTTCCGAATCAAGAATATTTATTACCACATCGTCACAATGCACTACCCAGGTTCTTTAGAGCGGTCGGGGGGTCCTGACCTGATTTGCTGTCAAAGAAACATCCTAACTCGGCCCCCTTGCTACATAAGCCTGCGGAGAGGATGTGTTGACACAGCTTCACGTAACTCACGGGAATGTGGGTGAAGAGTTATATGCTCCATTCCCCATTATGGACGTGGGTGGAAGCAAGGGATACCGCTGCAGGAAGATGGTGCTGTAAAAGATGTATTCATCCACCACGTTACGATTAATGACCATCGGCCCTGACGGAAGAGATAAGGAGTTTCTGAACAAGCCGGTTAATGACTCAAGGCGAAGCTCGGCTGCGGCACGCGCGGCGCGAGATCTTAACATCGCGCATGTTACAGGCGACCGGCCATGAATGATGGGGACGGAGATTGCTGGCGTGTCAGGGGGCGTTCAGGCTGGTGACCCTTACAAGATGACGACAATACGACAAGACACGAAAAAGCACAAATTCTGGGGTGGAAAAAGGGTATCTTAAAACACCCGAGGAAGTGTAGGTACATCTTTGCTGCTGACTACTCCGTACACAGCCGGAGGAAAAGGGATAGAAGAAGTCCTGCCATAGTGTTGCAACAAAGTGACGTATTTTCAGCATGCCCTGACCACGGCATCATGTTGGGACCTCAGGACACGAGGCTTCGGGAAGAGAGCGCCCATGCTGGTGGTGTTCGTGTTTGACCATTGCTGTCGGGTGTTGGCGTTGAACAAGGACCCCCTTGCTTGGGTTAGACAAGATGATCTGCGATGTGGCCAAGGGGTAGTCAGGTTTTTGAACTCTCCCCCACCAGGCCATTCCACAAATGTCTGTGCACATTGGTCATGCTCATGCTCATTCTTGGAAGAGGCTGCGCGCCTCAAGCAGACGGCGCGGTCGATCCTGGTGTGATACCACGTCGGAAAGGCTGACGAGCATGAGACGTGGGTTTGGGGGTGGGATGGCAAGTGGTCAAAAAGACAGGGTGAGCCGGATGGGCTCTGCTTCTCTGATGGGTCGAGAAGAGAGGATCAATCGCCTCGCGATCCAGAGACAGGAGGAAAGTCATTCCTTTCGTTCCATGTTGTATACGGAGTACACGTACCAGGCTCAACACCGTCCCGTCCATACTTGAATATATCAACCGCACACACTCTTTAAAGGACTATCCCAGTCACTAGCAGCACTGCGACGCTCGCTATTCGTTCATTGATAATCATCACACCATGTCTCGATTGGGATACCCTTCAACAGCCACCGCAACGCCCATCGACAGCTGGTCATCGTACTTCGACTTGTGGAAGTGCGAAGACAGCGAGATGGCTGCCGTGGAGCCGGTGATATTGGACCAGTACGCGGAACTACACCCGGAGAGTCTGCAGGTCAAGTTTAACCCGAACTTTGAGCTGGACTGGGAAATGGACTATTTGCAAGACAGCTGCTCGCCGTTGCCACGACTGCCGACGCTTGCAAGCGGGAAATTGGACGACGTACACCAGGCTCGTCCTCGACAAGGGCTGCGACAAGGCCACAATGCTAATCGTGCGTACGAGTACTCGTATCGAATGGTTGGCCGGCCGGATGACGTTGATACCGAAATGGAGATGGAGATGGAGATGGAGACTGATGAGACGGAGTGGATGAAGAGGCAGACGCAGACACCACCACAGTCACACTGGCAGACGGCTGGCACCAAGCTTCCCACGATAACCCGGGCGCGATCCCTGCGGCGGCCTCGGGCGACACGAGCGGTGCCGTCACGCCTGCTGATGATAGGCGACCTCGCCTGGAGCCAGACCCTGGAACTCGCAAAAACAGGCACCGATCTGCCTGCCTGTCACGATGCTGTAAGTGCTGCCGTGCCTAAGCCCCGTCGCCCAGTTCCCACCCCACCACCGACATCATCGCTGGCATCATCGCCCGCGTCTGCATCATCATCCTTTCTTGCTCTCGTCAGTGCACGGCGCAGCATTATTGCCATCCTTCCAACGTCGTCATGCCTCACTCTTGACACCACTATTCTGCTGCGCATGCGCTCAAGCAACTACTGCTGCACTACCTGCCTACTATTTCCTATTTCCTCCTTTCTTGTCGCCTCTATCTCTGTGGTTTGTTGCCCGTTGGCACCACTGTACCTCACGCCACCCCCCCATACCGGATACTACTATTCCTGTCTCCCAACTCCAGCTACTGCAACTCCAGCTACTGCAACTGCAGCTACAAACATCACACTGTACCAAGCACACTATCTCCTCTCTCCCCTTCTTCGGATAGTCGACAGCGGATGAACTCCACTGCTGCACCTATTCTGTCGCTTATTCATCTTCACCTCTGCACCTAAGAAGATCTCGACCAGTCTGGGGCCTGCCACGCCTGGCGCTATTTGCTGTAGTGCCCTCCTACGACGTGCTGACCTTACTTCCCTACACCCGCCCAACCCGCCGACCGGGCCTTACCCAAAACAACTTTTCCTATCTTCAGATCTCCCACCATCAATCACCACTTCCACCTCATTTGTCATCTGCTGGATTGAACTGCGCCTGGTCTTCCGTGGCCATCGTCCGCCTCTTCAAGCCCTCTGTTCCTCTCGATAGCCTTCGCGCCTTCTCGGCCTCAGCTAAAATGAGCACGATACAGAACCTCAAAAACTTTATACGTCATGGCAAGCAGGCCAGAGTCGCAGACCCTCCACGCGACCAACCTACGACCAACCTCTCTCCTGTACATGCTCAACAACAGAAATACAATGCTGGCATAAGTGAGCCTGCAATCGCCCATCGGCAACCACAGCACTACGCCCAACCCCATGCCGGCGAGTATTCCGCCGCCGCCGTAGACAACCGCAATGCTGCCGCTCAGGCCGGCGGTGCCGCAGCGCATGCCGCAGGCAAGCATCAAAAGATTCAAGCCGAGATCGAGGCTCTGGTGGCCGAAGAAAGAGAACAGGCCAACAAGATGCCCAAATATCCTGGTCTGGAAAGATACATTTTGTTGGAGAAGATGGGCGACGGAGCGTTCAGCAACGTCTACAAGGCTCGAGACACCAAGACCGGCGACGATGTTGCGATCAAAGTCGTCCGAAAGTTCGAAATGAACTCGAATCAGGTATGCTAGAAGTCATGGAGCATTGCCAGCTCTTGATCGCCCTGTTTCCTTTCTCTTTGTGGTATTACCTGTTCCAGCCTCCCGTGCGTTTGGGTTTACTCTCTCGTCCCCCTCTTCAACTATTGAAAGATGTCAAACCAACTTTATACTCTAACCTAGGGCGATGCTCACCTTCATCCGAACTTCAAGAAGCAACCAAAGGGCGTGGAGGTGCGCATATCCAGTCTATTGCTCAGCCCCTACCTTCTCCTTGTATCGTCGATTTTGCTCTTGACAGATTAGTCCTTCTGTGCTCAATCAGAGGCTGACCATTCTCCTAGCGAGCCAATATTCTGAAAGAGGTGCAGATCATGCGCCAACTGGACCATCCTAATATCGTCAGACTCATTGATTTTTCTGAATCACGGCAATATTACTACATCGTCCTTGAGCTTTGCCCTGGCGGTGAATTATTCCATCAAATCGTTCGCCTGACATACTTCAGCGAAGATCTAAGCCGCCACGTCATCACACAAGTCGCCCAAGCACTACGCTACCTGCATGAAGAGTGTGGCGTCGTCCATCGGTATGCCCCGTGCCTGTGCGAATCGCAGTGGCTCTAAGCTAACATCTGCGTCAGAGATATCAAGCCAGAGAACCTTCTATTCTATCCCACACCTTTTATTCCCACTCGTAATCCAAAACCGAAAGGACCAGACGAAGAGGACAAGGCGGACGAAGGCGAATTCATCCCCGGGGTCGGTGCTGGCGGCATTGGCCGCATCAAAATTGCCGATTTCGGTCTTTCTAAGGTGATCTGGGATTCGCAAACCATGACACCGTGCGGCACCGTCGGCTACACGGCCCCCGAGATAGTCAAGGATGAGCGATACAGCAAATCTGTCGACATGTGGGCGCTTGGCTGTGTCCTCTACACGCTGCTTTGCGGTTTCCCTCCCTTTTACGACGAATCGATACAAGTCTTGACAGAAAAGGTCGCTCGTGGTCAATACACTTTCCTCTCTCCTTGGTGGGACGACATTTCGAAACCTGCCCAAGACTTGGTCTCACACCTATTAACTGTCAATCCGGAGAAACGCTACACGATCGATGAATTCCTGGCACATCCTTGGATCCGCAACACTACAGAACCCACCTATGCCGCCGCCGATGCTCCTCCTTTGGCCACTCCCCTGGCTGTGAGACAAAAGCAATGGATACAGGCAGGCAATCTCCCCGCGGATGCCTACACGCTAGCAACGCCTGGAACTCCTGGCAGACGAGCCGACTTCCGTTCTCCCGGCGCTCTTAACCTACGTGAGGTCTTTGACGTGGGCTATGCTGTCCACCGACAAGAAGAGGAAGCTAAGAGACGGAAGAATTTCAAGCAAGGATACCGGGGCGCGGGCATACCTGGTGGTCTAAATCCATTGACCGAAGACGATGACATTGAGGACGAGGAGTACGATGCAGAAATCTCGAGCAAAGTCCCCAAGGCACAACAACCCACCGATGTTTCGAGTATGGAAACCAAGATGCGCCAGACCAACCTGGGAACACAGCCGTCCGCCGCGGCACAGGCCCGGACAGCGGCAGCCCCCGCTCGAAGTCAACACCACAATCAGCAGCAAGAGAAAGGTTATGGTCAGCACAGTGCCTCGGTTGCGGCAGCAGCCAGGCAAAGCGTCGGACGGCGGAACAAGCAACCATTTGAACTCAGCCTGGACAATTCCACGCTCTTAGGAAGGAGGAATAAGGTGGCAGCGGTTCCTCAAGTGCCGACTTCGAAATTGAGAGAAGAGCTGAGCGTCCGATGAACACTAGGTACAATGAGCGTGCCGGATTTCTTGACAGGGCAATAGGGAATGGGACACATGGGCTTGACACAGTTTCCGGGTCAGTCGTCTAGATTGCAGACTAACTTGAGAAGCATGTACGCAGCTTGTGTTGTTTGGGAACTACTTGTGTTAATTCGGCATCATGGGCACAACCCATGCAGAATGACAGGAAGCCAGGCGTGAAGGCGGGAACAATTTGATGAGGTTAGTGGCTAGAAACATGAAGTTGACGATCTTTCTCCAAGCGAAAGACTCCAGGTTCTCGGATTGTAGAAGCACGATCTTGAAACGAATACGTGTTGACATGCACCGATGATGGGCTACAACTCACTTGATATCGCGTTGCCCCGCGTTGACTGTACAGACACCCAGGGTAGGTACGCAGTACTCCGTACATGCGGAGAATGCGTATGGCCTGATAGGTACGGTATCTACCAAGCCTGGAAGCGGAGGTGGTACGATGTACGAAGGTATAGCTCAGCCCTCAATCTTTTCTTCCCTCTTCCCTGCTGTGTGTCCGTCACCTTCGTACATAGGTGCGAGGATTGCGACATCGGGCATCCCCCACCACCCACCACCCCCAATCCTTCTCTTTCCCGTCGCCTGCCTGCGCCACCGACAGTGACAGCCCTCCCCTCGCCCTCGTACTCGCACTCGCGGACTTGACCGCAGCTCGCCCTTTTTTCCCCAAACGTACTCCGTACACACGCTCTTCAAATTTCAAATGTGGTTGTTCGAAAGATGATGCGGTGCCCTCTCTTCCAGCGTGTTGCCCCTTTTCCCTGACGCAGGCCAGGCCGTTTTCGAGAAACGTTGTATTTCCTTCAAATAGCCCTCCTCTGGCCCACATCCTGCCTACAGTCCTTACTGCAACTAACTACACATCAGGGAGCGAAGGTCACCAGGATCTACGCGTGCCTCACCGTTTCACTTCTACTTGATCTTTCAGTCCATGGTCTTCCACCAAGCTGTTCAGCCGTCACACGGAACTTCCCTGAGGTCACCTCAGGACGCAAGCCGTCTCGACCAAGGCGTCCCTCATCACGAGCAACCGCTACGACCATTGGATAGGACCAGACCCTCTCTGGATTCCGAGAAACACTCATGGGACGAAGACACTAAGCAGACACTTAACGTCCTAGCCACGCCAGGGGACCTCAAGGAGAAATCGTCGACTGCGGAAGGGTCTTCAATCCCTCATCGCCCCGCCCCCGGATCACGGCAAAACACCGCCCTTTCAATTGCGGCCGCACCGTTCACGTCGTACTGCTGTGATCTCGAACGCGCTCACAGCCATGGGCCCTCTGGTTCCACGCATTTCCGGCGCTCGTCTTCTTCCACTTCTGCTTCCACCCTAGCTGACGTGCCGAGTCACCTCGCCAATGTCAGCCGGGTCTCGACCGATGCTTACGGCAACTCGTATCCGGAAGGAGGACGTGAGGCATGGCTTTGTGTGCTCGGGTCCTTCTGCGGTCTCATGTCCGCTTTGGGGTAAGTGGTCTTTCCAATCGAGGTCTGATGAACCATCCGCTGACATGGAATAGTATGATGAACACTCTAGGGACATATCAAGCGTACCTGTCCACGCATCAACTGCGGGATCACACGGAGAGTACGATCGGGTGGATCTTTGGCATTTACGCCTTCCTGTCATTCTTTTGCGGGATCCAGATCGGCCCTATCTTCGACGCGAAGGGACCGCGGTGGCTCGTCTTGAGCGGGTCAGTGCTCATGCTCGCCACACATTTGCTGATGGGAATTTGCCATCAGTACTGGCAATTCTTAATCGTCATCGGCATCGTGGGTGGGCTAGGCACTTCTCTCGTCTTTACCCCATCCGTCGCGTCCCTGGGGCACTTTTTCTTCCGCAAGAGAGGGCAAACCACCGGCCTAGCGGCTGCCGGAGGGTCTTTGGGCGGGATCGTCTTCCCACTGGCACTGCAGGCCCTCTTCCCCAAGATCGGTTGGGCGTGGTCGACCCGGGTCTGTGGACTCATCAACTTGGTCTTACTGATCGTTGCCAACCTCTTCATCAAATCCCGACTGCCAGCCCGCAAGGCTACCAAGGAAAATATCCTGCCCGACTTCCGCATCTTCAGAGATCCCGTGTTTGCCTTGACCACCTCCGGGGTATTTTTCGTCGAATGGGGTCTTTTCATTCCTTTGACGTACCTGAGCAGCTACGCCTTGAACCACGGCGTGTCGACAAACTTTTCCTACCAGCTGATAGCCGTCCTAAACGTCGGGTCCTGCTTTGGACGGTATCTCCCCGGGTTCGTGGCTGACAGACTTGGGAGATTCAATGCCATGGTGGTCACAATTTGCCTGTGTCTTGTTTCGACCCTGGCGCTGTGGCTGCCGGCTGGCGGGTCGGTGGCGCTGATGATTGTGTATGCCATTGTCTTTGGCTTCGCCTCGGGAACGGGTATCTCGTTGACGCCGGTGTGCGTTGGCCAGCTGTGCCGGGTCGAGAACTACGGACGATACTATGCGACCTGCTACACCCTGGTATCGTTCGGGTCGTTGACGGGGATCCCCATTGCGGGACAATTGGTCACCACGTGCAATGGGGAGTATTGGGGTCTCATCGTCTTTACAGCTTGCGCTTATGCAGCCGCAACGATATTATTGGCTACCGCAAGGGTGATGGGCGCTGGATGGGACCTGAGGAAGAACTTTTAAAGGGGCAGAGCCATAGGATAAAAGTGTGATTTAGGACTTTAGCATGTAATGGATTCAACGACGTTTCACAAGGGGGACGAGGAATATGACGGATCTGAGGCTCCTTTAGAATCCATTCTTCCGGTACATGTCGTCAAGCAACTCGTGCGTCTTTAAGGCATGCTCGAAATCGGGATACCACACCTCTTTTCCCTTCTGCGCGTCCAGCCCGGCAGCAAAGGCTTCGTAAAGCCTCCCGATGTTTCTCGCCGGAATCGGGAGGTGCTGGAACTCGTCAGGGTCGGCCTTGACTTCCAGCCAGTCCCCATCTTCTGATCGCCAGATGTTGGCCTCCCACTCATCATTCACCGTACCCGCATTGATCGACCAGGTCTTGAAGCGTTGGATGCGTATCTCCCCCTTGGAGCCAAAAATGCGCCACTCCAGGAAGGGCAGACGGGCATGATCGTTCGCCGTCTTTGCCCCTGGGGATATGGTGGCGGCGTTCTGCAGCTTGTATGTAAGGACCACGCCGGACTCCAGCACGGCGTCGAAGACGACTTGGTTCGGCACGTCATTCGGGCGCGCCTTTTCCACCACTTCTCTCGTGGCCGGGTCGACGACGTCGACTTCGGGGTATTGGTTGACGAGCAGGGATTGGTGGGACGATACCATGCCCAGGACTGTCGTGGATAGAACAAAACGCCCTCAAGTCAGCCGAGAAGATCAAGATTGCAATGCTGATCCCCGAGAACACTACTTGCTTACCTTCCGTGATGATTTCCAGAGCGTGCGGAAACGTAACCGTGACGGGATTCGATCCGACTTTCCTATCCAGCTGGTAGGTGAGATGACTCGGCACGGCCGAGCCACTGTATTCGGTGGTCTGTAGAAACGTGCTGCTTTCCAGCCGGCCGATGGCTCCGCGCGCAATCAGAGTTTTGATCTTGGTCAGGAGGGGCGTATATCCGAGCTGGATGCCGACCACGTTTCTGACGCCGCGGGCCCTGACTAGGTCCGTCAGTTCCCTGGATTTGGCATGGTTTGCTTCCATGGGCCATTCGACATAAACATCCTTCCCCGCCTTGATGCTGGGGATCAGGGCGCCGCCGTGCCGATCGGCGCGGACGCTACACACGACGAGATCAACATTCGGGTCGTTTGCGAGGTCTGGGAGGGTTTGGCATGTTATTGAAAGTACCTCCGGACGAGTGGTGTGTGTATGTTATCTCACTTACCCTCCGGTGTCCCGTAGGCTTTGACCCTGTCGGGATCCAGATCATACGCTCTGATGGCCTGGAGGGCCCTTTCCGTCGAACTGTTCTGTAGGGCGACCAGCTCGTATTTCGAGGATTGGCGTAGGTATGGCAAGTGAGCATGCGCCGCCCAGTTGGTTCCTGTCGGGATATCTGTGTACGGGGCATTGAGCCCGATAAGGCCCACCCGAATCTTTTGCTGCGAAGCCATGCCAGTGTTCAAGTTGGATGATCGAGATCGAGGGTGACGACGTCTGGACAAAGGAAGATCTCGATCGATGAGACTAGGTTATACTCATGCTGTATTCTATATACTGTATACTGTGTACAGCATATGAGAGCGCCATGGACCGGTTCGTTTGCGTGATCTCGTCGCTGACCAATGTCGTCCATATTCGCGGCCGTTTTCGAGTGAGTGAGCACAAGCCTAGGATAACTCCGTGCCTCTGTAGAGACGAGGTATCTAGGGGATTTCTCAATCTTCCATCCGAACCAGCGAGGATAATAAGAGGAAGTTGAGATGGCTATAAATCCAAATTAGTTATGGTATATGGTGTTGTCATTGAACGGCTGCGTGACAACTGTTGTATGATTGGGATCAAGAAACAAAACTTTCAATCGGCCACAATTCCTGGGAACCATCTTTGATCCGCGGACGTAGCTCATAGTCCTCCATCATCGCTAGTAATGTACCCATGGGCGCATGTGGATCATCATGAACCTTCCCATGTGAGGCTGACTTACTTGAGAAGATAAAATAGCATTTGACCCAAGATACGACTGACACAAGGAAGGTATCTGATATCAAGACGTGGCGCATACATGCACCGATCTACTGTAAGGGTTAGGGTTAGGGTTACAAGAGTTCACAGTCACGTGTAGATATCACGTGCTTTCACGTGACTATGTTGACCCCGGAACATATAAGCGTCTAACGAAATACGGAGTACGGAGTGCTTTTACTACTACTACCTCCTCACTCGGTTATGTAGCTGTATCCTTCCAGAGCCCCCTCTGAGCTCGAGATTTTCTTCTGCCACGTCCAGCCTCGCCAACCTGACCTCTTCACGCCCAAACAAGGACCGACGAGTACTACTTACCGCGCTGAAGGATCATGGCCACTCTTCTGTCGCCCTCTGCCAGCGGTCACGTGCGAGGCCGCAGCAATTCCGGCCAGACCAATCAGAACAGGGCCAGCCTCGAGACGTCCTGCCAGTGCGTATCAGATTCCGGCCTCGAAGGGAACAATTATTAAGAACAGGAGCGTCAGGGAGGGGCCAGCAGTGGGCATCTCCTTGCCTCGCCCTTTGATGAGTGGCACTTCGCTGTGCCTGGCTTCAACCGTGGCCAGTGCTGCGCGGAAGCTCACCAACACCAACACCACAGATCCCACAGCAACAACATGGATATACTGGCAAGGAGCATAGGGGGAAAACCAACAAATCATTGTTTCAGCCAAGAGATAACACTCGGTGGAGTCAATCAGATGCAGAAGAGTCGTTTGTCCGGCGGACCATCTTCCTATGGATCGAATGCCAGACAAGGCTGCAACTCCCGCCGACGACCATGCAAGCCATTAAATGCGTCGCAGACATCTTCCTATGCGGCATTGCTGTCCTCTAGGCCTTGAATGCGGTGGACACGGCCCATTGAAGCTGTCGCACTTCTCCTATCGTGCTGGACTCGGTGGATAGGGTCGTGGCCGGTTTTAATTCCGGCCACGATGATATATACACCTTCCCGTCCAGATTTTGTCAGAGAATCTGGAGCGAGAGTAGACACCAACACCGACACGAGCAACGGGCCATCAGCTGCCTTCTCCTGAACCAATCATGGCCTATCTCGGCGAGTCCCCACCTCTGCCACCTCTTTCCACCCTCTTCCCTCATATCCAGTGCGATGCCACGACCCTTCCTCGCTCTATTGACCCCTTCACCATCACCGCCGCAACAGGCTTTCTACCATGTCGTCCGCCTCTCCGGCGCCTGCCTGCACAATTCGACGCCGTCTCCAATGTTCTAGACGACATGCCCATAGTGAAAGCTGATGGTGCGCCTGGTCTGCTCGCGACCTTCAAGCTCGGGGCTTTGATCGACTCGGGGGTGTTGCCGGACCTGAGCTCTCACATCAACGACCTGCGCATCAAGGCTGGTACTGAGGATGCATACGATCTCGAGGCAATCACCGCCCTTTTCCGGGACTACAGTTTCCTTGCCAGCGCATATCTACTGGAGCCCTGCTGGGAGACATGGTCCAGGGACCACGATGCTGGCTATGGCCTGGGTCGAGCGGTCTTGCCACAGTGCATTGCGGCACCATTGGTTAGAGCAGCTGACATGTAAGTACCCTGACCGCTAATCTACTCCTTGTATTTGTCCTTGACTGGGAGGTCACGCTGTCAGGCCGTGCCTCCAATGAATCCATATACTTACATAATGGCTTCTTTAGCCTCGACCTCCCACCATTCATGTCGTACGCAGCTTCCTACGCCTTGTACAACTACTGGCTCGTCAATCCCAATGTTGGCGCCGGTGTGTACGAGAATATCCGCCTCATCCGTGCATTTGAGCGTGGACTCGACCCAGCCAGCTCCGAGGCCGGCTTCATCCTCACCCACGTGCACATGGTACAAGAAACCGGACCCTTGATCTCCGGCGCAGTCAGTCTCCTCTCGACGATAGAAGAATCCGCCAAAGATACGACCGCCGCCGTGGCTGCGTTCCAGACGATGCTGTCCGCCATGACACGCATCGAGGCCCACATGGAACAGATGTGGACGCACTCTCTTCCTAAAGACTACCTGTCCTACCGTACCTTCATCTTTGGCATCACGTCGCAATCCATGTTCCCGAACGGTGTGATCTATCAAGGTACCCGCTACGGAGACTCTAAGCCGCTCTATTTCCGCGGCGAGTCCGGGGCGAACGACAGTATTATCCCGTTGCTCGACCACCTGCTTGAGATCCCCATGCCGCAGAACCCGCTCACGGAGATCTTGCGGGATTTCCGATCGTACCGCCCCAAGCCGCACCGCGAGTTTCTGGCCTGGGTGATGAGCAAGAGCGCCGAGGTGGGCGTGAAGGCATACTGCACGGGCCACGGTCAACACGATGCCAACTCGGCTCTCCTGCCAACCCTCTACCTGAAGCTTCTCGACCATGTGCGCAGTTTCCGCTGGCGTCACTGGCTGTTTGCCCGGGAGTATATCATCAAGCGCTCCTCGCATCCAACGGCCACCGGCGGCAGCCCCATTGTTACATGGTTGCCCAATCAACTGTTCGCCGTCATGGACCTCATGGACAGCGTCTACCGAGACAGTGGACTGAAGGACGTCATTGACAAGGGAGACATTGAAACTGGGGAAGGCAAGGTTGTCAGCGAGATGATGGACAATATTGCAACGCAGAGAGAGAAACTGGACCGCGAGGTCAAGCGGTACTGCATCGAACGTGGTGCGTGAGAAAAGGGTGGATTGCATCTATGTATGTTCTATGGCCAGCCTCGCGCTCTTTATCGCCCACCAATAGCGTCTGTCGAACCGACATGGCTCGTCAGCCTGATGGAGGAGTGACAATGAATCACAATGATATGTACGGTGTATAAGTGCTGGTCATGTGCGGGTGAGGGTGATACTGTCACGCCAGATCAGAGCTGAGTGGCGTTGCCATGCAGAGACGTAGCCGTATTCACTTTCAGTGAATTGGCGGTGCTGTGAGGAATATAAAGTTCTCCTTTGCGACCGCGATTCGCGCTCTCTCTCTCTTCTTTCTTTCTTTCCTTTATCTGTTTTTTCTCCATCGCGATATCAATCATCTCATCGAATCTTTGCTTCATTGTCGGATCCCTTGTCCTCTTCCTCCTCCAAATCCAACTGTCGCGCTTCTCGTCGTCGTCGAGCATGGGTTTCTTCCTGCCACACAGGGGCACCTGCAGCAACGACACAACAGTGTCACATCAGTCCGATAGACCTTTTGCGCTACTGCACTGCAGACAAAGCAGTAGCCCTTCATAGGAACAGGTATAAGCATACCAAGAAGCACTCAGGTCTTGTCGTGAAGATCAGCACAATCATTGTAAGCGCTCACCTCACCTCACCTCGCCATATTCCAGATCATACCTAAGCTAATCAGCTAGACTAGGGATATCACTTTAAATCAAGCAAATCAACCCACCATGATTGACACCAACACTCCTTCAAGAGCTTTCCAACATGATTCTGCATATCGTTCAACTCCTTTGTCGGATTGAGCCCCCGATGGTCTGGACCGGTTGAGCTACATTGGCATCTGATGTAGCCATGAATGATGACAGCCTGCGGGCATCAGCAGAGCATCAGCAGAGCGTTCCCGCCGTCCGGTATACAAACAAAGATACTATGGTGGCGTGTCCCATCTCCAATGGATATCCGGTTGGTTCATCCTACCTCTTTCTCTCTTGGTCCATTTGGTCGTTGCTAACTAAACCCCAGTCACATTCGCCATCTCACCGGGTCGCCAGGCCGAGTTTCCAGGCGTGGTTACTGGAAACTCTTTGAAGTCTAGGTGGACGGGGGCGTTGGCGCTCCCCCACGGGGTCTCCTGTGCTGGCCTCCATTTCCCCGGTGACCTTCTCTACTTCCACTGCAGCGTCGGCGGATTGAGGCAAACGAGATGAAATCACAGGTACCGGAGATGGTCGAGAACTTCGTCAAGCGTGGCACAGGCAGGAAATGATTCGCCAATGATATGACATATCTGGTGGGAATAACCTTTCAGGCCCCTTCCGAGGCACGTCCTCGAGCCTTGCTTTTACAACTATCACAACAACAGACATCGACAGTTGGCAGCGGACAATTGTGACAAACGGGCTTTGCTCCTCAACAGGCCGATCATGGCCGAGGCTTCCAGGCAAGACCCAGACCCATGGAGAACGGGCCGTTCATGGGATGCAAGCACAGCAACCTAGATGCTCCCTACTGGAGCTACTCATGGGGGTTTGTCCTGCAAAGACACGGCTGCGAGGCTTCCCTAATCTCTCATCCACCGTGTCTCACAACTTCCAACTGCCTCCAACGCACAGGGGTTAAGCCTTATACTTTTCAACTTCCAAATGGCGCAACCCTCGGAGCCTCTGCACCCTAATCTTCAGCGCTCCGCGCCGCCGTTCCCAAGATCACCCGTGACTTATCGACCACGAAATCATATACCGATGCCATCTCGGCGTTGGTGTACATAAAGTATCCTGTTCTCAACATGGTGGTGGGGTCGGCCTGTTGCGATGAATAGCATGCTCCCTCAGTCCGCAAAGTGAGACACATTCACTGGCACTCCTCTAGCATGGTGGCTCGCCTGCTCGAGTGGTTGTGTCTGTCTTCACTTTTCAAGGGCCGGCTGAAGTTGGATGTGAAGGTGCTGGGCCGATTCCCCGTCACCACCAGGCAGAAATTCTGGCGACCTGACCACCATCCGTTTCACACACCCTTGAACCGCGCATTTCAGGCACGATCACCAACAACAACGAGTTCAGTGCCAGCGAGCTTTTTAGCAAAGCAGTACCCCAAGAACATGTCATCAGGCAATCTGTGGGACAGGGGCGCGTGGGTGCACCGCCCGGGTGTTGGCTTGCGGCATTACACCGCGGATGAGGTCGAGGCCTACATAGGACTCCTCATCCTGGCTCACGGCCATACCAATGCCACAGAAGCCTCCGACAACTTGGACCGTCCAGTCTCCTCCTTCCAAGCCACCAAGTCTAGGGCAGACAAGTTCCCTTTCGCGCAATCAGGTCCGAGCCAGGGCAGATCGACCAATGTCCTTGACGCCCTGCAGCGCCATGCACCGCCACCACCTGCATATCGTGCTCCTCAACAAGCGAGAGCAGGAATAAGACAAATTTTGGTGGGTGGTGGAAGCGACATAAGAGGGAGAGTTGCCGCATTGCCTAGATTGGTTAAGCAGTCCGCAGGAGCGGCGCAGAAGACAGGCCAGCAATACACAACCGACAGGAGCACACAAACACGAACAGAAACACGACTACCGGCAGCGTCGTCGACACTCGCACACATAGGAAAGGAGACAGGTGGAAGACACGGAATTGGAGGGGAGGTGGAGGAAGACAAGGATGCCGAAGTATCAAGCATGGCAGGGGAGGAGTGACCAGCATGCTCAGGGAGGGTATCTTGATCTTGGAATGGATAGACGGCTAAGGAGCCTTCCCTGATGCCATTTCAAGGTTTTCAGGTTTCAACTCAGCTGAAACCCAGCTGCTGGTGAGTCACCCTCTCTGACGCAGTCTTCGTCACTTGCCTTCGCCGGCGCCGCTATGATGTGCCTGGATGGGAGACCGATATCGACAGAGTTTTCGGCGGCCAAATTTGGGCAACGCCTGGAAAGTGGGCTCGAAGAAGCATGGTGTTGGCTCTCGTCCTAGAAGTCGGCGACAGCTGGAGGAGGCCAAGGCAGAAGAGGGCCTGGGGGAGTTTCCGGATGCAAAGTCACCGGAGGAGGAGAGGCTGGCGACCTTCATGATGTGCGCGTGGCAGACGAAAGCGAGCAAAGAGGACGCAGAGTATGAATTTAGAGCGTGCGTGTTGATGAGCAGGTTTGATCGAAAGGAGTGTTGTCTGGGGCAATGCGACAGAACGAGATATGCTGTATCTTGAGGAGAACTTTCATCTACACTGACTTTCCATCCTTGTTGCCTTTGTCCTTGGCTTTGCTTTTGCTTGCGACCAGAGACCTAACAATCAGCCAAACCCACCAGAGCGTTGTGGTCGCCCGGCTGGAGTTGTAGTCCTGATTACGATCGCCGATTTCGGCCATGGCGCAGACAAGGTCGGCCAGCTCCGTTTTCACCTTGTAGTGTAGGTAAGCGGCGGTCAAGTCGAGGCCATTGGTTATTCCGCCTGCAGAGCGTGACAAGATCAGCAAAGATACCGCTGTGACAGGAGAGACAGAAGCCAGAAACGGATGAGAAGGGCAGTGGGTGAGCTTCAAGAAGGAACTCGGAAGGGTGTAGTAGAAAGAAATTTAGGCACTGGCTAGATCGGCATCGCAATTGGCTTTTAAGAGTCAAAACCCGATGGCATGCTGGGTCGTGGCGGATAACCGTGTCCCAGAAGAGCAATGTTGTGAGGGAGGCATGAATTACCATGGCTAGAGCCAGGCCTGACCCGTGGGAAAGAAGCCTGGTGCGCCTCAAGATCTTCAACACGAAATAAACAGGATGGCAAGGAGGAAAGAAATACATACCAGAGCTCCAGAGACGGCCATCCCTTTCCCACCTCCTGTCCACGAATCTTGCGGCAGGAAACTTCTCCTTTAACTTCGGCAATAGTCCCCTCGGACCTGTAACCCGCTTTCCATCCAACAATCCTGCATATCCTGCGGGGAAACTGCCTGTACAGATGACTAAGATATCCGTCGCCTCGGCCTTTTGATGTGCTTGGATAAAGTCAAGCACGGCCTTGTTCGGGACAAGATTTGGGTCTGGACCAGGGATGAGCAATGTATCCAGCTGACCAGGCTGTACCGCCGGGGAGTCCAATGAGTCAGTCACTGGCAGTGTTGCGGAAGAGGTCATTTCGGCGTGGGTGTCTGGCCCGGAGGCGCTGATGTAGTGAATGGATACTTTGATGGCCAGATCGAGGAGCGGCTGCGGCAGACCGCATGATGTGAGGTAATCAGGACTGAGCATGCCAAAGACGTCAATGGCAGAGGCATCGAGAAGTTGAACAGGTGGGATGAGGAGGACACCGACGCGGAGGGAGGTCGCTTTGGGAGATGCTAAAGCCATGGGTGCGTGTTGATGGGCAGGTTGGTTGAAAGGAGTGTTTTCTTGATCAATGGGATAGAACGAGATATGCTGTATCTGTAGGAGAACTCGTCCTCTTATACGGAGTACTGTAGTAGCAGAATTGGGTTCGGCCGGTTGTCAATGCATTGCAATATATCCGTACCTTGAACGCCATCGTGGCAGAAAACACAGATGCCTTGGTCTAAGGCACGATACCTTTCCTGAAAAGGATACGACCTGACTTGTGTCTCCAACCAGCTGTATCAAGATTGTGCTCATTCCAGGCTGCAGCATTTCTGGGGGAATTTAACTCAGCCGCGCGCATTGTGATTGGCGGGCGACATCGGAGATAGAAGGTCTCGGCCACGCACGTTACGGGACTAGGGAGGGAAGAGGACAATGTAGAAGAGGGAGCTAGAGCTAGAGCTGGAGCTTCTCAAAGGGTACAACATGAGGCAAGTCTCATATATTGCAATGGCTTCCAGTCGGTGGGTGAAGGTGCCTGCAGTTGGTAGTGGTGAAGAATGAAGAATGAAGAATGTCCATGGCTGCGGGCGATGTTCCATGATGCCTATTCATAGCACGCCCTCCCCCAACGGCAGCTTTCCCGAGCGGACATTTGATTGTTGCAGTTCCGGCGCTTGTCCGCATGGGGCGGCATATACGGCATATACGGTGGGCGTCTTCCATTCCACCGCCAACTTCCAACTTGAAGCAGGGAAACTCAACCTCGCCTCGCCTCCGATTCCAACCACCGTCTTTTCTGCGCTCGCTCGCTCTCCATGATCTTCTCACGCCACTAGTGCTCCTTTCATTCACTCGCTTCTCCTCTGTTCTCTGCTATTTCTTTCCACCTGTCTGCTCGACTCTCCTAATATGCCCCAATTCTTGAGCATGCGCCGCTTCTCCCGCTCAAACTCCATCCACAACTCGCATGCTCCCCAGTCTCCACCGACTTCCTTCACACCGCCTCTCTCTCACGCCCCCATGTTGCCCAATGGCATATCTGGGTCTCAACAAGACTCTCAGTCAAGACCAGTCTCAGTCAACACCTCCTCCAGCTTCGATTTTGCAAACCGGCCACCAGCCCATTACCATACGACTGCGCTGCCTTCGAATGCCGTTGGCAACCTCTCGCGTACGGACCAGATCGTCTTGAGGCACTTCTGGGAGTCCAAGTATGCAGAGAACAAAGCTAGAGACCTGCATTTCGTGCGTCCCGGCCCCTTGACTCAGTCTTGGAGATGAACCCCCACTGACGGAAACCACAGCTGAAATTCCCATACTTCCCGCAATACCCTGGCCACCAAGATCTCATCCCATATTGTGAGATCTACCACTTGGTCAAGACCTCGCCAGGGGCCAAGATCCTCGGTCTGGGCAGTGCAAGTGGTGTCTACATCGGGTAAGTCTTCGGTGACGACCTGGCGTCGTGGCCGCATAGTCTGGCCCCTAATATGTGCCGCTTTTGTAATTCCAAACGGCTCCGCTCATACTTACTGCTATCCAGGTTCGAGCTCTTCTCCGGCTCACAACTCCACATCGACATGGACGATGCCTGGCATAACATTTCTCATCACCGTGTGAGCTTCAAGTCTTACGACAAGATGCTCAAGGATCCTGCCTCCGACGCTGCATTCAAGTCTTGGCCGAAGCCTCTGACCATCGAGTTTCTCGAGGAGCAGTATCAGCGTTGGATGCTAGATCTGACCAGCTTCTGCTGGGATACGGAGGAAGTGACAGAGTTGGGGGGTGGCACCGGGGGTGGGAGCGTCCAGAGCGATTTGAAAGACGACATGTTGTAGGTTCCGTCCACTATTACCAAACGGAAATAGGTGTGGAAAGCTCTCTTCATGTTGCTTGATGCAAGGAACCACAGTCCCCTACACCATGTCATTCCAGCTGATATTCCCCCCATCGCCAACTTATTGACCCCTGCGACGCCGACGCCTCTTCACATCGATCATTTGCCGACCTGACACCCGAGAGTTAACCCCAACATGCTTCAACACCACGACGACGGTCTCACTCCTGGCCAGCATACTCCACCGTGTTTTGACATCTACTCACCATCACTTTTGGTGCTCTCAAATGCCGAAGTCGGCTGGAAAGCAATAGTTTAATTTCAATTGGTCCTACATTCAATTCATTTCGCCCATAATCTCATGCACGCTGGATACGGTCCACCGCATGAGTCGATTCCAACTCGATCACACGCGCAACGTGCAACACTACACGGTCGGACGGGGCCGCTCCTCGGATACCGATGGACATAATTCTAATCAAACACACAAAAGTGACAACAGCTTGAACTCCCCACCAGATTGATCTGGTGGTGGGGAAAACTGACGACTAGCTACGATGAATGAGACATGAGCTCTTTTTCCTTACTCTCTTACACTACAAGGACTACTTGATGGAACACGATTGGAACAAAGATGAAACAGTGGTTGGGCTTATTCGCTTGAAATCCAGGACCCTCAAAAATAATTCGGGTACAGACATGAGCCTGATACATTGGCTGGTATGCCAATGTCCATGTAGTCAGCAACCTGTACTCGTGCATCATGCTCTCGTCTTCTGAGGGGGATGGGTTTCGGCGTCAGATACGTTTCTTTACTGCAGATAATGCTATGTCGGCGACCTGCACACCTCTTTCGGTGCTTACGTGTCTGTATTAGTATTATGCGTGGTTTCTTTCGGGTAGATACAGCTGCCTGGCTAAGTTGCCAATGCGACCGGACAACGATGTTGCGTTCCACCAGCTGGTAACCTCTTCATATGATCCTTGCCTTCCAGTCTGCCGTCCACTGTCTCGGCGGACTGCCTTATCCAGGCAGCAGGCATCAGACAGCAAGCCACAAAATGGCATGCGAGTGTTTACCACTTAGTATGCTATGCAAGCATCATACAGCTCCCAACGGCACAGGGAGAGGGCTGTTACTGGCAGGAAAAACGTTGCTGGGACTTTTCAGACCGTATCTTATCCCGCATCCAACTTGAATGTGACCTGCTCTTTCGCCCCGTCATGGGATTTCTCGGAAACATTTTAACGAGGCGTGGGTGGCCTCAGGGCAAGGACGAATAAGCACAACTCTCTCGAGCTTGACCAGCCTACAAAGCCGTAAGACTGGCCACGTTCCGAGAATGGTGAATTAGAATTGGGTCGAGCCGGGCCGGCTTGCTTCGCATTGGGCCTCACCGTGATTTTCCGGCCAATCTGACTTCACGGCCCGTCGACGTTTAGCTGGAGGCCACCTCCGATGCAGTCCGAAGAAGAAGGACTTCGAAGCCATAGAGCGACTTATCATCCAACATCCCATGCCTATGCGCCGGACGAAAGCCAACCAGAACGGGTAGCCCGATCCGGGAGCAGGACAAGGTATCTATCCTCATTTGCCACCGCAGCTGATAGGACGAGTTTTCAATGCTGTCGCGTCCACCTCCACGTGTGTGTAGATCCATCATCCAGGGAGGACGAGTACCGCCTTGAATTCCAGCCCAGTCACGAGCTCGCCAGGTACAAGGCGACCATTCTCGGGCGTTTCAGGCGGTGCAGGCGCCCTTGTCGAAGAGCGAGGTTGGTATCATGTTAGAATCAGGTGCCCGGCACGGCACGGCATGAATGAAATGACTTGCCTTCGTACCGTGCATTTCAGCCATTCCATCTTTCATTCCTGATCCTCAATGTGTCATACCCCGTTGAACTATAGGACTGCTGAGGATGCAGCAAGCTGTGCCTAAGCTTAAGCCTAAGCCTGCCACTGATATCCTAGTAATGATCGTCGTACTAGGTACTACGTGGGATGTCAGGGAGTGCAAAGGAGCTCGCTGTCAGCCGCCACGCCTTAGGCCTTGCTGTGGACCTTGCACCGATGTCATAGGCAAAGTGCCTTCTGGAAACTCCAAGATCCCTCGTAGCAACTGACCGGGCTACTAGTACTAGTAGTACGTACCGTGATGAGGCGTTTCATCCGGACCCTCACCCGGTCAGCCTCGTCGCCGCCAAGACTGCACGAGGCTGAGACCCGCAGCTGCTCGCTGGCCTTAGGCTTAGGAGGCCCGAGCCCGAGCGGACTCCGGACTCTACAAAAGCAGGATTCGACGACAGTGGGAGAGTGGAGACCCTTGAGGCCTAAGGCTTATACCGAGTACTCCGTACCGAGTAGTAATCTCGTCCCGACCCTGCTTAGCAGGAATGGGGCCAACGGGCACCTAACGGGGCTCCTAAGGCTCAGGGCCTAAGAGACGTCCGCTACACGGGGTCTGGAATGGTGGGTTTACTTTTTGGTACTGGTACGCATCGAGATCCATTTCATTTCATGTAATAATTAAATACACAGACTAATCCGTAACGGATACCAAACAGCAAAAAGGCAGCCACTTTGCCGTAAAAGGCATCAACTTAAAATCAACGTCAAATGTCTTACCTCTCCCTCTCCCTAGAGGGGTCATATGGATACAGCAGCATCAGACCAGTGACACAAGTACTGTCGCGCGCAACCCTTCCATCTTGTTTGCTGCACTGGAGCCATTGCCGCCAGGGGCAGGTAAGTTGCCGTCAAGACACGCAACGTGTGTTGGCGACAAGAACGTATTTCAGACCATGCCGGCTTCCGGAGCGGGACTGTTGGAGCGTGATCGTCTCCCAGTGGCAGCTTCGACTTCCTGTTTAAAGTAATGTCGAAAGATGGGCATCGACTCCCGTGCAATCTTACCACAGTTCTTCACTTTGACATTATGTTCTATGGTGAACACTTTGTCAAACCGAATACGGCTGGCCGCGTCCAGTTTCTGGCCTGGATCTGTCTTTTCGACAGCGATAGGCCGTTTGCTCATCTTTGGCTCGCTCGGCAGCTGTGTCGGCTTGGTATCAGCCATGTGGATAATGGCATGAGCCTCGATGTCGACTTGGTGGAAATTGTGCCGGCCCACCCCCTTCCCTTGGTACGTGCTGACCGGAACGGCCCAACAGAAACCACGGCACTCTCTGACGACCGCGAAGCGCCGGATTTCACTAAAGACTTTCTCGCCCTGGCCATGGGAAGCGGCGGTGCGCTGCTGTCTCACGCGTCCCTTTCCAGCAGTGGCATTCGTGTGCCATACCATGAGAAAGAGCCTGCCCAAGCTAAACCACCTACTATCCCTTAGACGCAATCCAGAGAGATGCTGGACAGCTAGGCTCTCGTTGCCTTGCTCTGCATTATGGAGAGAGGGAGTATGGAAGCTGTTGCGCTGCCCTTGGCGGCTCGGTCCTCCAGATAATGTAACGGCGGACACGGCGTAAAGTTCAGTCGACATTTGGTCGCTGGCTTGAGTGCGTTGATGCTGACTCTGCGCCATCTGTTGCACGTGGCCCATCAACTGTTGAAATGTAGTATCCTCCTGGTTTCGGCGGTCTTTGGCCACCAGACTACGGAGGAAATCTGCTTGCGCATCTTGTCCTGTCAGGATGTTAAATTCTCTGACAAGGAAGTAGATCCTGCTAAGTGCCTGACTCAGGTAAGGATGCCCTTCCCTCTGCCATTTGATGGCCTCCAGAAGGAACAGGTATTCTGGGACTGCGAACACTTCTCGATTGGCGGCCAGATTGTTGGCGGGCTCCCCATCATAGGCCCAGCTGGACAGAGTTTGGAAAACATCCTCAGTCAAGAAGATTGTTGTACTTGTAGTAGACGCCACCTCGGAAGCCCGATGGGCTCGTGAATATCTGTCTCCCTCCTCCTCCTCGTTTTCTTTATCATTTTTTTTGTTGTCACGAGCTTTGCCCTTTCCCTTTTTGCCCTCATCAGATTCATGGGTCTCGTCGCCATCTCCGTGAGCGATCTTGCTATCATGTTTACGTGCAGGTCCCTGTGTATGATCCTTCGGGACCCTGGAGCTTTGAGGGATACCATATTCATCCTGCGCTGTCTCCCGCTTCTTCGAGGGCCTAGTGGTCGCTCCCGCATTTGGAGGGTCAGAAACCTGGCCTGCCTTCCGGGGCCTCTCTCTATAGGAAAGAGGCGGTGACATGCCGACCGATCGAGATAAAGCAAGACTTCTCTTCTCTCTCGTCAGAAGTGCGTGAGCTGGTGCTGAGTTGCGGCTTGACAAACCGTATCAAGGACTCTGAGCAAGAATGTCACTGCACGCTTGTAAAGAAGTCGAAATGGCCGGGCTTCTCTAGACCGGTGCCAATGCTGTAGGACACAGGCTGCTAAGCGGTAGACAAGAAAGCCAGCCAGACACCAGTCCAAGGTTAGAAGACAACCTGATAGCTGCAATTCAAACTCTGACATACTTTATAACATCCAATGCCATGAGGGGTCCATGGACAAGATTCCGCCTCCGTAATTCGCGGCTTGCGGCTCTGCAGAGCTTACCCGCAGGCGATGGCGTCGCCATGTGGAGGTTGGCAGATGGATTCGCCTCGACATATGCCGCTCATGTGTAGTTCCGGGGGGATTGGATGCTATCAGAGACCACCGAGGGCCTCCTCAGCCGTTTAGTGCGCCGGCACCGATGCTGGCGAGCATGTGCCCAACGTATGCACCAGCCATGAAGCCAAACTATGATGCTTGCTGCTTCTCTAGCGCACGCAGGCCTGAGATAGCTGCTAGTGGCAAGAGACCAAGTTGAGACCAGGGAGGTAGCGTGATGCAGAGAGGGAGACAGGAAGTGTCCGTCCCGTCGTCACAGAGCAGTACCGAGTACCGACATTACAATGGAAATACCGTCAATGCTTCCGTCACGCCTTCCCTGCAGGTGCGCCGCCCGGGAATCACAGTCTCGATCCTTGTGGCGCCCGGCCTCTTGCAACCGGCGCGCCTCGTTTGTTTCCTCCCTTGTACCGACCTCAAAGGATGCCTACAGTACCGTTTGCACCCTTCTCTCTCTTGTTGGACTTGCCGCCTCTCGTCAGCATGAGCTTGCTTTTGAGGCGCCCTCGTAATGAGTCCATGGTACTGGCCCTCGTCTCGCAGCGACGTCGCCCCGTCAAAAGAAAAGTGAGTTTGGTAGCACAGGCCTGTTTGCGGATAATGGTTGACACTTCGACTACAGCTTGACAACACCACATCCGCCAGATTCCTCTACGCCGACAACACTGCCGGACACCCTACAAAATGTCACCATGGCGGAGCGGGAGTCCCCTCCCTCTTTTACGCCACTGCCGCCAGCCGCGGAAGATCGTGAGGCAGAGGACCAGTCTGATGCTAGTGTGAAGATGGACATTGAATCTCACCCTACGCCTGGGAGAGACCTCCACGGGGGAGCAGTGTCTGAAGAGCAGCCAGCTGGTGCTCCGACAACTTCGTCTCTGCAAGAACAACATATTGGGCACAACAGTTCGCCGGAAACAGTCTCGACAGGCTTTGCTGTTGATCTCGACGATGGAGTCTCTCCTGAGACTACACCCGCTGCAGACGCTCGTTCGCAGGCATTGCGCAGCAAGTGGAACCAGCTCTCAACGCTGGCAGATTCTTTCATCGGGAATTTGATAACCACGGGTGATAGTCGAAGAGACGCCCTGGATAAACGACGCGTTGCTCTAGAGAACATAAGCAGCTTCTTGAAGTGTAGTCAAGATCACACACATCCTCCCTTGCTTGAACTCGAGAAGTCGCTGTTGGTTCTTCAGGACAGGGAGCAAAAGTTGTATAAGATGGACGAAACCTTGATCGGACAAGGGGACGAACTTCAAACCCAAGCCTCCAAGATCTTCGGACCCGTCGCAAATGTCTCCTTCGAGATTCTGGACCAACAGGGCGTAGTTGTCCAGTCATCTGAGGATGACACAGATGAATCAACTTTCATGGAAGATGACATCCGGCTGGACAAAACCTCGGAAGCTCAACATTACCTGTCCAAGAAGGGAGATGTCGACCTCCTCAGAGAGAGCTTGATGGAACTGGAGGTGGAGCGGGTGTTGATTGCGGAGGACCAGACTCTTGAGGAAGAAGACCCTGGTCTTCTCGACAGCTTGGAATCCCGAGAGCAAGAACTGAGGCAGCAGCTCAAACTGGCCGAGAACGATCTAGACCAACTACATGACAAATTGCCCGAGAGAAAGGTGGACATACCCGAAGATCAACTGCGCCCCCTCGATGAGCGAACAGAGCCTGTCTCCGATCTGAGTCTGTCCACGCGTGGCTCGGTACATCAGGAGGGCCAAGAGACGCAGGAGCCAGCCTCTCGTCCCCGAGACAGTCTGCTCCAGATACTGGAAAGTGTGACCGACGAAAACCCCGTGCGGGCTAATACACTGGTGAATGCCTATCTCTACTATCAACTGAAATCGTCGCCAGAGGAACAACTGGCTTTCTCGAGAGCTGTGCAAGACGCTGTGCAGGACGGCGATCAACCTGTCGAGACTGATCCACAGTGCATTTCACTCGATCACTGGTTTACTGAAGAAGCGAAATCCAAGCCGAGTAAATCGAGAGTCAGGGGTATCTTTAGTCAGGACTCGAACGCATCGCACCTGGACTATTCTCACTTGACCCATGGGCAGAGCGAGCCTCACATGCTGCCTGCACAGTTTCTGACTTCCGACAATGTCCGCCGGCTCGACCAGTTCCTCAGAAATAAGGCTGCAGATGAGTACCCAAACTCAACCCGGTAAAGCTTTCTGCTTTTCTCTACTGGCAATACGACAGAGCGGCCAGCGAAGGGCTAAACTGATCGTCCACTAATTCGTCTAGTATAATATCTTTTCGGTTTGTTTTCTTCCATGCTAAAGACGTCTGAACATGAAACAGGGCTTTCAGAGCTGTACAATTGTGCTTGTGGACAATGACTGAGCTTGGAGTCTGTGCCAGTGGTGATGGTGCTGGTGGGCTCCTCCCTGAAACGCAAATCTTGGGCTTAGACCTGCGATTGGGACACTCGGTTGCGGACTGGCATGCAGAATGAATCCATCCTGTCTCATAGCTCAACTCATCGAGCGAAGTGTCTATTATCTCCGAAGATCATTGCAAGACCAGACATCCAAACGAGATCCTGGGCTCCCTCTGCGACCTCGAGTTTCTATGGATACCCAAATGGCCTATTTTCTATCATCCTGGAGTACTCCGTACTGAAAAGTCAAACGTGGCCGTTCCCTTAACCTGCGACGATACCGTAATATTGAAGTGTACTCCGTATTCTGTCCAACAATCCGCGACTGGCGCAAGAATCACGTCGAATCAACCTGCAGCCGAAGTATGCATGCCTGCGGCCTCGGCCTCGGAAACACGGCACGGGTTGGCCTCTCTCCAAAGCCCGCCTGCACCCTATCTATGTACACACGGGTGACGGGAATTTGAAACGCGACTGCAGACCCTGATAACAACAGCAGCTGATCGCTGGCAACACGACTGCACATGGATTACACAAGCTCATGTTGGAAGGAGTTGCTAATCGAAACCCGTGCACCACGACCGTAGACACAGCCCGGCCCTTGATCACGAGAACAGGGCAACAACAGCTCTGACCCGTCTCGACTCTGCAAGATGATTTGATCGAGCACGAAACCACCCCCACGCTTGAATGTTGCTTTCTTCCCGTTTCATGGTGCAGGAGCAACTTTGGCAATTCCCGCTGCACGGAGTACACATAGACAGTGATTACTGGACCATGGGTCATGGCGAGTTCGTGTTTCCCGTGCCCAGCGACGCCAGCACACCTCGAGTCTCGCACCACCAATCTCACTGCTTAATTGGATCTGTGCAGCCGCCAGCAATACACAGTACACTCGGAGTAAACTTCCTCACTCTACTTCAGGTACAGCCATAACTGGGGTATCCCGACCAGGCAAGTCATTCATCACTGCGTTTCCGGCCAATAGAACAGTGTTGGATGCCGTGCAGGAGAGCGAACGGGGACACCCGGTAGTACAGTGATTACTGCTTCTTGCTAGGTTGGCAGCCGTCACGCTGTCCGGGCGTGAAGCAGACGGAAACGACATGATTTAATAGGTAGTATGCATATCCGTACTTTGGTTCGCCCTAATTATTAATACTATCAATACTAAATACTGTTAGGAATGAGTAATTGGTATTGGTGGTGATTACATCAAAGCATACCTCACGTACTCGTAGGTAGTGAGGAACTCCACTCCACTCCGTACGGATACAATAAGATGATACCAGTACCGCGGGCGGTTAGAAGGACCGATCCGTGGCCTCGGGCCACCAGAACGGATACAGTGCTGCATTTGACCCACCAGATTCTCCACCTCTACAACGACATGTCTCCTCTTCCAAGGGCCTTCTGTCAGGACAGGATAGGACATTCGGCAGTAGTGACATGTGTAGGCAGACAGGACAGGACAGGACGGGACAGGCCGCGACAGCTGCCGAAGGGGTCGATGAGGCGAGGCGAGGCGGAACGAGGTGAAGTGAAACGGAACGAAATGACGAGTCAGCAGCCAGGCCCGGGACCTTAGGCTCAGAGACCTCGCGGAGATGTCGCTATCCGCTAAAGTTACACATTGTCACTAGTGCAGAGACTGGGGATTCATGGCACGAAACACGAAAGCGTGCCCTATCAGCCGCGCATTCTTTCCGGCATTTCCTGTTTTTCCCAGAGTAGTCCTTAGTCCGTACGCTGCTCCTGTCTGGTCTGCCATGGCAGCCGGGGACCGGACGCGATGCGGCTGAAAGGAAGACGAGAGGCACGTGCAGTTTGAGATGGCTGTACTCTGTACGTTTCCTCTGTACGCATGCAGTAGTCAGACTCTGAGTACTGAGCAGACTTACCTATTTCCCGTCGACGGCATGCGCACTAGCCACGTCCCCTTCGCCTGCATGGCGGAACTGCGTCACTGTCACAAGCACGCGCGTGTTTAAAGTATGCAGCATAGTTTTAACATGCCCAGGTTCACGGACTAATCAGCCCGTAGACCGTCCCTCTTCGCAGGGCCTTCCCGCTCTGGCTGCTGGTTGGGTTTAGAGTTTGGAGTCGTGGAAAGGTAAATGACAATGATATCAATCCGCCCAGGAGCGACCTGCCGCCCTATTCGCTGCTCTGGCTTTCATGTGTGCACAGCTTGACACTGTCAAATGTTGTTTGGCCATGGATTCATGGGATGGATTTCCTTTCTGTTCGAATTACCTTTAATTTTTGACATGACCCAGGCACCTGGCCACCTGGTCAGCTGCTGCTCAAAATAGGGGCCTTGGTTCTGCATGCATTTGGATAATAGCCTGGAACTTTCACTGGCATCCTTGTGTAGAGAAGGCCTAGTGGCTGTTGACCCTTGCTTCCACTATGGACCATTCTGTCCATACAATACGTTGATGAAGAGTAGATCCCACAGTCTACCTGACTCCCTGTCTAGGCTTGTAGGGTGTGATCATCCCACCACCAGAATCCACAAGGTCTAAATCAGTGACCCCCGCAATGAGGCTCTGCGGTGCGGAAAAACTGCTCTGGATTCCGCCGAGGCGGCTAGGGTAACACCTTTCCCGTCAGCGCTTGAGTGTTAGGGCGAGCGCCTGCTACCTTCCAGCTTTGGCTCGATTGAAAGGACTTCGTTTAGATGTTGCTTAGAAATATTCAAAGCATCGTAGTTCAAATTTGAGATCAACTAGCGTCGAGATCACAAAGTAAATAAAGAATGTCTCCTCAGCTAGACCAAAACATGATGAATAGCAAGCAGGAGCAAAACCCAATATTGATTGCTTCAAACGCGCAAAGTGCCAAGGTTGTCGCTCCCAGAGTCAATGAATATAGGAAAGTTGGCGGAATGATGCGGCCGTTTCATCGTAAATGTAAGTGTCGTCAAGGTTGTACTGGGAAAAGTCGTCAAGTGCCCACGGTGAGGCACTTGTGATCATAGATACCTCGGAAACGGATAGGTTCTCTTCCGGTATTTCTCGGGTAGGTTTGTTGCATCCACTCTGATATCTCAGACCATCAACAGAGAGGCAAGGTAGTTGGAACGTATTTGAGTGAAGACATGCGAACGTATTTTCGAGCTTGTTGGCTTCGCGGTGTGGAGAGCTCATGGATCGACCCGCGCTTCCTCACGCTTGACAGTGCTCAGGTAACATTGTTCTGGGTTTGATAGTAGCCCAATAAATATGGCAGGCTTTCTTTGGTGACCATCCCGACTTCCATTGACTTGACAGTATGCTCCACGGTGTGAGGACGAGAATAGCAGAGCCGGCTGGCTGGGTCTAGCCTCTGCCCACCTCTTACTTTCTGGACAGCGATACTCCGTTTGCTTGACTGTGGTTCGTCATCGAGCCATCTTGCTTCGGAATCTTCCATGTGAATGATTGAATGAGCTTCAACGTCTCTGGGGTTATTCCGCCCGAACTTCTTCAGACCTCTTGAGGCGTAAGTATTGATCTGAATGCAGACACAATGGCCATGGTCTTCTCGCACTACTACCATGCGGCGTGGTGTAGTGTATATCCGCTCTCCAAAGCGCCCGGTGCTGACGGGGATATTCTCACTCGTATAAGTGTTTCGAGAAGCGGCCTGGCCATTTCTAGGCGCGTCATTGTAGTTCTCGTGCCATAAGACCGTAAACACCCTTCCAACTTTGTAGAACGCTGACCTTTTGACAGTGTAGAGGGGGTTAAGTGTCGAGTCGTCGATGCTGACAGTTGCATCCCCTGACACCGAATATCTGGCAGGGCCTGGACGTCGTCCTCCCGGGACGTTTGATTGAGGAGGAGGGCGTACCGTTACCAATCCTTGAGGATTAGTCTCCGCCAAGTTGCCAGTCACAGTCTGCCGAGAGGCTTCTGAGATAGAAGGTTGCAAGGCTCTCGGTCTGACGTTGGGATCTGAGGGCTGTCGACTCCTGACCGGAAATTGTCGCTCCCTCGTAGCATAGTAGGCACTTGTCGAGAGAGCAGTAAACTGTTGTCTACGGTCTTCATCGTAAGGTCCATAATCCAGAGGACTTAGACCCTGTTGGGAGGTCAAAGACCGACGCGGAACGTTCTCACCAGACTGACGGCTAGCCTGAGCAGAGTGCGTGGAAGTGACCACGTAGTTTCGCGACGAACTGAACAGCAATTAGCATTGGATCAGGTACGAGAGGTGAAGACCTTACTCTTCGCGGGTTGGCAAAGGTCTCGAAGCTTGACTCCCGAACGTAGGGATACCATAAGCGGCGGTCGCGACGCCTGGGGGTGCCCGTGGGTTGATCGAGGGTGCTGGAGCTCTGCGCGGAGTGCGTTCGTCGCTACTGCCAATGAGCAAGTACATAGGCAGCCGGAGGCCGGTGAGGAATACCTAGTCTCAACAAACCTCTGTCGGTGACCGGTATTTTCCTGCTGCTCTTCATGCGGGTGTCCTGCCCCCATGTCAGTAACACAGGGTGTATGGTGCATATTGCAATGAAACCTCACGAGAGACTCTCAGAGACGGATGTTCGCCTCGAGCCGAGGGGCGTCTGTTTCGGTCTGACATGGCGATGTCACATCATGGAGATTGGAAGATGTCTGCTGTCAATGAGGCCGACTCAGGCTGCGAAGCAACGAGGGAAAGGGGTCCTCCTAAATAGAGGAATGCTGGACAGTGGACGGAGGTGTGGAGAGGCTCAGGCTCCATACTGTCGCCATGTGGACTGCCTGTTCTGAGCAAAGGCGGACGGGGGTTGCTAATGCTGCTGCATGGGCTCTCCAGGGTCTCGACTAGAGTCGGGTTGATCTGGTACATGAGGAGGTGGTGAGGGTTTCCAGGGTGCGATCTGGTTGCAACTGGGTGTTAGCAGCAGGTGCCAACCATAGGTCTAGGCCGTTTAGCTGATGAATATGGCAGAGGAGAGCGGGGGTTGAGCCCATGCCTAGCGGATGTGCTGTCTGGGTGAGACAGGCGCCTAAGCCTTAGGATCTACCCAGCCTAAGAGCCCGGCACCTGGTAGTGCATCTCACCCCTGTTATGCCTGTCACCCCGCCTAGAGCTCCAGCAATTATCCTCAGGTAATTATTACCTTAGGGACATTACCTACCTAGATACCACCAGTACTGTATTTACGGAGTATGTAATCGTCACAATGATACCTACTGGATGCCTCCTAGGTGCTTGCCTATAGGTGTGTTCTCCGTACACACCTGATTGTTTCGCCTACAGTACTGCACCCCCTGTACTCCGTACAACACCACCATCCTGCCCCTGGCCCCAACCTTGAACCATGGACAGCACACCACAAACTTGAATACTCACCAAGCAGCCCTGGACACGACGCTTGACTCTGTGATGAGTTGCCTTCCGTGTTCAGGCCCGATTGGCAAGGGAGACGCCACAACTTGTCACGCTCCTGGCCATGGCGCTGACCCTGGCCCAACTGACACGCGATTGACTGTATCTGCACACCTCCGTCCTTACTGGCATCCCTACCTAACGCGCGTCCGTGTCAATCACGCTTCCCGGTCTCGTCTCGTTTCGTTGCCGGCATGCTACGAGGTTGTTGTCAGCAGCCTGGGCTTGCAGTCTCTCGGCGAAGAGTTGAGTTAAATGTTCAACCCACCACAGTCTACAGGCTCCTTTTCCCAGACCCATCGTCCTGCTTTGAGCTGCACTCTCTTCACAGTCCTACTCTCCTCCCTCGGGTGCTGACTCGGTCTACGATTGTCACCCGCGTGCCCCTCTGGGTATGAATGTCGTCGGCATTCTCGCTCTTCACCGGCATTTGGCCCCTAAAGACATGGATCTCGCGTTGGCGCCAACCTGTTGAGGAAGTGTAAGCTCTATTATCTCTCTTTGTTTGCATCTTTGACTGCTAATACTTATAGTTCACTTTGCAGAACCTCGAAAGCCAATACAGACTCGTCCATCTGTGAACAGTCAAAGGTCAATGGCGGGGTCTCTAAGCCTTGCACGTATTGTGATGCCGAGAGTGACTCAGCATTGCTGGCAGACCATACCATCCAAGAAACATGGTTAGAAGTCTCAACCCCTGCAACAAGCCAGTACGACGGAAGCTATACTACTCCGAGGTCGAGGTCGGACGGTCTTTCCACCCGCTATCATGCACGAGCCAAGAATGATTCAATCCGAGCTGAACAAAGGCATGGTAGCCAGGCTGACCGTGCAAGATCTGGCCAAATTACGGAATCTGTATCTCGGAGGGAAACGCACGACGTCCAGCTAAGCGACTTGGTTCCGGCTCTAGAAAGGATGAGAGATGCGAATCACAAGGTCACTCAGGTGATATTTCAGTGGAATTCGACAGCGGCCCCTTTATTCAAGCAAATGGAAACCATCATACAGTCACTAGATTTGTTCATGCATCAAATGACCTCCTTCGCTGATACTGCTGGACTTCCCGAAAATCTCTCCTCGAGGCTTGGAGAACTCCGTAGGGATCTTGAAGTACTACGCAGTGAGCATTTGGCGCCCTTTCAGGCCAATCAATTTCAATATACAGCAACCGAAAACGACATCATTCAAACCCTCTATCGGTCGGGCAGAACTATTGACAGGCTCCTTGATGCCGACGCCAGTGTTACCTCGGTCGGAGAGCTGCCTGACCCCCTGCTAGGCTTTGACGTCGCCGAAATTGGAGACAACGCTCGCAAACGGACTCCGGAATTTCAACGGTACTTGTCACAGCTCGAAGACGTCGATAATATTCGGGAAAGGCTCACTGATGTGCACTCGGAGCGCTCCCAGCTTCTGGAAGAGCAGGAGTCTCGGGCCAAGTTTGGCCTCAGCCTGGACGATGAGTCGCTACAGTTCTTAGACGCAAGTCAAGAGCAAGAACGGCTGCTGTTCGAGGAGCTCGACTACGCTGTACTTGTCCTGAACGCACTTGAACGCCTTGTGGATGATGAAGAAGCGCTACACATTCCAGATGACCACCCATACGACGAAGAAGACGAGAAGGCCGGTTTGGCAGAAGCTGTCGGCCCCATGACGCTCTCAGATTCTTCTGTTGCACGTTCAATCGGCCAACAAGATCCGCTGTCATTCCAGCCAGTGCTACAGACACGCAACCTGAAATTTGCAGAGCACCTAGCAGGGCCCAGTACGGCTCCTATCCCGCCTGCCAACTTCATCAACGTATGGCTGTTGCATCGAGTATACTCTCTACCTGGTCTGCTACGTCAGTTCACTGCACTCCTTGACACGCACGGTGTGGCAGGAGACGCCCTCAGCATGGAGAGTATTTTCGTGACCACCTGGTTCAATGATAGCTCAGCGGCCGACTTTGCGCGTCATCGCACATTCGCCGACCAACAATCAAAGCTCGTGTATATGGACGATACCCAGTTCCTTCATCAGAGGAGCGATGCAGTCTACGCTCGTCAACCTGCCTCGATACCATTACTCAAGATGGGCCCTTCCACAACAGCCCAGGATATCATCACTCAAGCAATACGGGCGAGGGCGTCGACTCTATCTCAGTCGTTCAACTGATTAATGATTACACATGCCTACTGTATTCCCAAGGAAGTGTCTGTATCAATTGTCTCTCCAAGGGGTTTGCCTGTTCGGATTCGCAGGTTGCTACGTGTTTTCCTTTGCCATACTTTTCCTTGCAAGCTGGACCTTAGCTCATCTTCACTACCTTTGTCTCATGGTCATCCTTTGCAGGGGGAGACACTTACTGCAGGGCTCTGGAAAGTCCTGTGAACCGTGCCGAGGCTGTCTGAGGCACGCACTATCATGTCGACGTCCTCATTGTACAAAAGAAGTAATATTATGTTGGCCTTTGAACGACTCCCATATCCTATCTTCAGCAACCAGTTTTCCATCCACTCGTTACCTTTATGACAGTTACAAGGCCGGTTGTCTGCAGGTAGACCATCGAGGTATAACACTCTATGTGCCTTGCGATCTAATACATCGGCCACCGCACCAGACAGACTCTACGTGGAAACTATACGTACAAGTATTGCTGTCTCACCCCGCGGCAGTCCTCGGCAAAACTAAACCAGGGAAGCTACCTTACATATGTACACTGTACTCCGTACAGTGTACTCCGTACAGGCCTGCCTTACGATGTTGTAGGAGCCGTGCATGTTCGCCAATGTATCCGGTGGCGAGATACGGACTTGGAAATGACTCCTCAACAAGATCGTAGAGAGGGCGCATTGCCCATCGCGAATTAACCGATCTCCATATTCGATACGGAGCCACGCCAGCCTGTTTCCAAAGGGAACGGGAAAAGAGGAAAGCGACTCGATTTCTCCTTGCCTCATATGTGGTACAACCATCGCCCCAAGATGCAAGGGACAGAATATCATTCTTGGCGATGCTGAAAGGATCCTCCTTCGCCATCGCTCAAGCAAGACAGAAAACACAAAGGCCACACTGCAATTCATGACTACATACACTGGATGAAACTCCTAAACGTCGCTGCGTTGATATTGTTCCTTTCTTTCGAGGGAAACCGGCCCAATTCGTAAACATCGTGAACATGTCGGAAAGGCAGCACCAAACCTGCTTTGACGCAAACCAATAATCATAGAATGGACGACAGACTCTCTTATCCTTGAGCCTTGAGCGCGCTGACAGCTTTGTTGACCTCGTCGCCCGCCACCTTCTCCCATTTTGCTTTGCCATCGACGTCGAGCGCCTCGAAATCACCGATCCTATCGTACAGCATTCGGGAAATATCGCGGTTGATAATCGTATATTCGTCCTTCGTAATGGTTTGATCATGGTAGAGCGGCTTGAGAGCGGTCGCTACAAGCTTTTGCACGTCAGCCTTTGCATTTAAGGACATGGTCGCTCGTGTTGGAGAAGCATCGGTCGATCGTGGTTGCGTAAACGGACTTGAGGGATTGTCCAGGATCGGTGGGATGCGATTGCGTGGCCTGGGCCGCACCAGGTTTGTAGATGACGCATGCCCTATCCTTGCAAGATTTTGTCCATCAGGACGACCGGCAGGGAGGTCTCCGGGGTTCGAACTACCAGGATCAGGGGAATTGGGCCGTAGCGGGGAATATTCAGTAGAAGGAAAAACGGGCTGTATACTGGAAGTCAAGCCAGCAGGCGAGCCGGGTCTCAGAGCGCTCAGAGCTCCCAGAGGAGGCGGTGTTGCAGACATCGGTCGTGGTGAGGAGTGATTCGAGGATAGGGGAGACAGGGCTGGCGAGGACGGCTGAGGTGAGGATTGTTCGGCTGGTGGACTAGCTGCAGGGCGGGGTGATGGTCGGTGGAGGTGCATGCTGTGTGTGCTGGAACCAGAATCCTCTACCTCTTGCAGTAGCGACTGCAGGAAGCTTGGGGGGGCTGAGGCAAGAGGTAACTGTCGCCTCGGAATAGGACTCGCGAGACGGGACGACCTCCGGGGCCCAGAGCTGGTAGCACTTGATCCGCCATTGTCGGAAACAGACCGAATGGGCACACTTGGTCGCCTCCGCTTGATCACCAGAGCGGCATCATGTTCAGGCTCTACCGGTGACGGCGGTCCTGATTGCCTCTTTCTCTTGCGTGAGGAACTGGGATCATTCGATGTAGCACAAGCTTGCTCAAAAGCATGCCATGCCATGAGTTCATCCGCATTCTCGACTTGCGGGACGGGTGAGGACCGCGGTCTTCGGGTCCTGGGTGTCAGGCCCCCTCCTGGATTGCGAGAAACAGCCGGTTCCGTCTCTCTAAACCCATTTCCAGCTCCGTGAAGTTCGGCAACCTGCATACGGCGCACCCAAGCATCGTGGGCTTGTCGGTCCGCCTGGTTGCGTTGACGGTGGCGCCTCAGATACGTGGCGGAGGAATCGTCGTCTTCATACGGAAAGTCAAGATCAAGGTTGATCCGAGACCAAACAGATTGCCAGACCTGGTTCCAACTTGACTCGTTTCCACGCTGTCGTCGTTGTTGGCCTCGGGTACGTCGGCGGGACAGACGACTAGAGCGAGCGGTGGCCTGGAGGCGAGGGTCAACCTCACGCTGTACTCTGCAGTTGTCACAAAACCAGTGACCATAAGGGACTTCCTGCAGATTCACGCAATAGGTGTGCCACAGTTTTTGACAGCCATCGCAATACATCAGCACATCTTCATTGTCATCCTCCCCACAAGCCTGGCATGGCTGGTCTTCATCGTCTTCTTCGGGGACTTCGAGGAACATAGAGGGATCTAGATCGGGAGCCTGGGTGCGGTCTTCAACAGGATACGAGGAAACAACGTCGCCTATCCACGGTCAGCAATCATATTCACAGATACATGATGCAACGTGACAGCCTACCGTTTATTGTATGCACAAGTTCAACTCGGTGAAAGCTGGCGCGACAGATCGGACAACTATTGGCCCTCTCCACCCAGGGTGTGAGGCATTCATTGTGGAGGTAGTGACCACAAGGTCGAAGATGGGCGATCAGTTCTTCACTGTGGTTTCCTGCATGTTGCGTGGCTTTGTCACCGGATGTCTTCGAGACGTCGCCAATATGGGTCGCTGATGGAGACTTGGCAACAGTCGGGGAAGCTGGAACATCGCCATTACCGTTGCTCAAGTCTCCCAGGCAGACGATGCATGTGTCTGACATACAGATATGTTGTCGTGCAGATTTGAACGCGGTGTAGACAGTGAAAAACGCATGAGGACTGAATGGCGGTTGGTTGGTATCGATGTGAAAGAGAGAAGGAAGGTAAGTGGAGGCAAGCCGGGATGCGTTTTAAGCGGCCCACTTTATCGGGCAACTGAGCCGAGTCAGCTAGGCCGTCACCCACATGATTTGAGTGAACGTGACCAGGTATGGCTTGATGGGCCGATTTCAATTGGACGCTTCAGGCTGCCTGCTTGTGCCTAAATCATTTCTCGACAGTACTCAGATCAACAGGGGAGGATGGGTGGAACGAACCCTTCCTACAGTATTCATGACGACCCAAAAGCAAGAAAATGAACAACTACTGGATATCGAACTGGCGTTGCAGGTGGCGGTGTATCTCGTGACTCGAATATGACGACCCGGATGGTGAGGACCTTTCTGTCCCCATAAGGAAAGAATCCACCGACACGGTTCTGGCTATCAAACTGCGAATCACTGATTAGTGTTGCGACGGGCATGACAGATCTCGGTCGGCCTAGCGGACGTTCGGTTTCAAGGTAGGTATTCATGTACCTCCTCGGTTTGAAGTTCTAGACGTATCCTGGATATCTGCTCGCCACGAAGCATTTTAGGAGATATAGACGAGGATGAAAGTAAACAAGTGAGAGGAAGAACGCGGTTGTTAGGATCGGTCATTCGATTGACATCTATCGACTTGTGTCGGTCATCAGGCAGTATGTGCTTTCGGCGAAGCGGAAACTGGAGGCTCTGCTCCGAATAAGACCGACTCCAGGAGAACCCTGTTGTAGTATTTTGGCAATCATGAAATCCTTTTGGTTTCGTGGATTGAATAACTCCAGACCCATGCTAATCGTGCTTTACACCTCCGCGATTTCTCTCAGTCTTCGAATGGTTGATCTCGTGGCAGCGGCAGCCGGGGTACTGTTTAGTGAAGCTTGTTAGACTTTTGGGCAAACTCCGCGGCTGCAACCCCTCTCTAGACTTACGAAACAGTCCAAGCTCCTCCAGCAATTGTCTTCTTGCAGCCTTTGCACTTCCAGATTCCGACCGAGTGGCGCTTGACGGTGTTTTTGCCGCAGAAGGTGCAGACATATCGTGCGTGCTGGGTGATTTCCATCTTCTTGACTTGCTTTCGGAGGGAAGCACCATATCGTGTGCCGTATTTACCGGTCACGCCGACCTCTGCGAAATGTCAATGGAATATTCGGGGCCAGAGGTACCACATGGTGTCAGGAACTCACTCTTCGTGCGCTTCGTCATTTTGGCGAGGGAGGACGAAGAGTTTGCTGAGAAATATGAGGATTGAACGTCGTCGGCAACAATGTGGACAGTCGTCAAGTCCGGAGTTGAATTCTGCAAAGTGCAGTTGTGGGCGCAGGCGGCTGGCGGCTTGGCAGTCTTGTACACGTGACATACGTTCCTCCTCTCACGTGCTCTTAGTAAGCGGAAGTCCCTGCTGCAGTGGGTCAACTTCGGTCTTTCGTACCCTCGATTATTATTGGCTGTGCCTCAAGAGGAGCGCGATCGGTGATGGATGCTCTTCAAGTTGTTGTGTCCATCTTCTCTGAAACGGATACCTGGTATCTTCCTGGTTGCCGGGATGGATCAAGCCACAGATCATGCCACGTATCAATGCTTGTCAGCCCTTCGCCAGTAATCACTCCATCGTTCTACTAGTAGTAGTTGTAATAGTGAATAAGTACCAGTGAGTGTACCTACATATACCTAGTAGGTAGCGTTATTGTGTACGGAGTCCTCCCTAGCCGTCCGGACTACCGACCCGTCTGTCGGTTTGTCTGGTGCCAAAAATATACATCCGTGGACCACCAGCCCCTTATGGGCTGAGGAGGCCCTAAGGCTTAGGAGGCTCTGGTCCGCCCCCAACGCCGCCCCCTAATCGCCTATTCCGACCCCTAGCCACCACGCCACTTTAGCCTTTGGTGGCTAAACCATACAATTGAGCAGTCAATCTCTCGCGCGATCTTGGGCTTGTTGTAGAGCCCTCAGCCCTCAGCCCTCAGCCCTCGCGTTCTTTTAGGCAGTTTCCGTGTAAGCAGTGCTAGAAGTGCTAGCCGCTGCGTGGGTCACCCTCGTACGACTCCTCCCTGCTCTTGAAAAGCGTCCGTCTTCCTCTTCATTACTCCGTACATGTTACCAGCCATCATTTCAGATTGCTGACATCCCAGCGTTTCTGTTTCGGTCAGCTTGAGACCGTTCTTTGTGCTGATCTCCTTCTTCCACTCTTTTGTCAACCACTTCCTGGGTACTTACTTACTTCCCCCTTTCCCTCGTGGCCAGTGTAGCAGCAGCAACCCCTTATTCACACAATGGCACCCCGACGCGACTACGATATTGTCCTGTTGGGCGCGACCGGCTACACAGGCAAACTGACTGCCGAGTACATCACAACCAGCCTTCCCACCAACATCAAATGGGCCGTGGCCGGCCGTAATCAATCCAAGCTACAGTCACTGGTCAATGACTTGAAGACTCTCAATCCGACCCGCGACACCCCCGATATCATCAACGTGGCCAATCTCACTACCTCCGAATTGAGTCCTGTCGCCAAGAAGACCAAAGTGCTGCTCAACACAGTTGGCCCATACTATCTCTATTCAACTCCCGTGGTCGAAGCTTGCGCCCAGACAGGAACCCACTACCTCGATGTCACGGGCGAGACTCCCTGGGTGAGAGAGACTATTGTCAAGTATGAGCAGACGGCCAAGAAGACCGGTGCCGTCGTCATCCACGCCCTCGGCGTCGAATCCGCCCCGTCAGATCTCGTCGCTTTCGTCGCCACACGCCTAGTTCGTAAGGTCTGGGACTGCGGCGTCATGGATGTGGTTGGGTCGGTGCACGAGCTCAAGTCCTCCGGCCCTAGCGGAGGCACCCTTGCCTCAGGTCTGAACCTCATAGATCACTACTCGTGGAGCGTCGTCAAGAAATCCAGCGATCCATTTGTGCTCTCGCCATCTCAACTTCAACCCTACACGAAAGAAACTATCTACCCTCGCAACCCGGAGCCGAACACATATTCGCGTACAGCCCTGCAGAAGCTTACTGGCGTCTGGTCATATCCTCGCCTGGGGACTTTGACCACTTCGATCGCTGCCAAAGCCAACGAAGCGATCGTCCACCGCTCTGCCGGCCTCACTCCGTACTTCTACGGATTCAACTTCACCTACGAGGAGTACATGGCAGTCGGTAACCCTGTTGTCGGCGTGTTGGTCCACCTGGCGATCAGCATTTTGGTTTTGTTGATTGCTTTTCCCCCGACCCGCGCCATCCTGAAATTACTCGCCCCTTACAAGCCCGGCGCTGGCCCAACCAAGGAATCGTCAAAGGGTGATGTGCTCGAACTGCGCGCCGTCGCCGTCGCGGAGCAACTCGCCAAAACTCACCGAAAGGCCCTGGCCACTTTCCGCTACGAAGGCGGCTTGTATCATCTCACCGCCATCCTGCTTGTCGAGGCCGCCGCAGTTCTATTGGCCAAAGAAGAGGATGTTAAAAGGGCCCACGGCGCCGGTTTCTTGACTCCTTCTTGCTTGGGCGATGCCTATGTTGAGAGACTGGAGAAGGCTAACGTCAAGATCGCTGTTCAGCAGATTGGCGACGTGGGCAGCAAGTAGACTTTGTTTGTTGTCGTTGGCTTCTTCTCCGAACCATGTTCGAGTTCTTGGTAACGAGAAAGATTGGCGCAAAATCATGAGGAACAAGGTCCATAGCAGACCACCTCCAGTTCGCCCTTTCGAAGATCTGCTGCTGAAGAGCTTCTACATGCAAGTGGAAAGAACAGGATGGGATGGGGTCAATCGTCAGATACGGTTGCGACGGGAAATGCTGATGGCTGCATTGTGGAACAGGTCTCGTTCTAATTAGCATGATGACTGTGCCCTGTACACTTTTCAATACAGAATGCTAGAAGACTACCTCTCACATTTTGGTGTGCGCATATACGTTGCGTTCTCGGTCAAAGGTGCTTGATCCTCGTGACGGCTGGTGCTATACCTAAGTATGATACAAGGCCCACTATCTGCAGGTGCGCGATATATTCCCGTCAAGTAGGTAACAACGTGATGCCAACCACTTCATGCCGGCCCACACTGAAAAAGAAAACGGGAGCGCCTCCCAATGTCTTCTATGCCCTCGGAAGACCGGGGGAAGATGAACACTCTGTTCAGATATAGCTAACTTTGACGCCCATCCCGACCGTGCCTCTGACTTTCTGCCAGCCTGACTCGACCAACCTCCTCGCCTTCTCGCGGACCTGTCTCTGGCTAAATGCCATAATGAATGCTAGTACGAACAGCAAGAACCGCAACAACGTGGCGGGGTTCTGAGAAATAGCTCCTGCCATATTGCGGGCCAAGTTGGAAAGTGCTAGTAATAACTGTCGAGCTTGCGCCAGAATAGAAGTTTGATTTGATGCCTTCGATTTGCGGATAGGCCGACGCGGCGTTTGTGCAGGAGGAGAGAGTTGATTGTGATCTCTGGAAGACGGCACCGGAGGAGAGCGTAGCCCTGCGGTTGAAGACATGGGTTGGGGGGGAAGACTGGTAAGAGGTCTGCTTGGTGTGTTTTCCTCGGTCGTTGTGGCGCTGGCTTGTTGCGGAACCACCTGTGCACCATTAGGATGCTCCTTTTCGATGCCGTAGTCAACCTCGCTGCTTGTCCTCTGATGCCTAGATGTGGTTTTAAACTGCGACGGAGACTCGGCACCGTCGTCATTCTGTCCGGTGGCCGAAGCTGTAAACGAGGGCACCCCTTCTTCGGAATCCTCGAAAACATCTGCCTCGAACTGTCCAAGCTTTTCTTTTTCCGAGACATCCTGAAGCTCTTGCAAAGTCTGCAGAAATGCCTCTCTCCGTTCCTCATCTAGGATATCGCTATTGCCAAGAAAGCTTCTCGCATAGTCCCATTCTCCATTCCGTGGGAGGACATGTAGGGTGAAGATTTCAATGATCTTGATGCGAGAGGTCAAGTCTTTCGGTGTATTCGTGCCATCTAGTCCTGTTTGTCTACCATTGGTCGAGCGATTATTCAGATGGGCCGAAAGGTCAAGGTCAGGATGTGAGGATGACGACAGGTAGGTTTCCAGCCTGGCTTGGTTGATGTGCTGATCCGGTGCTTGTCCAAGGAGCAAATTCGACCTTCCAGTGTCAATGAGACCTGCAGAAAAGGGCACAAAGGGCACTCACAGATTGTAAATCACCTCCGCGTCGACGGAGCCTTCGCGGCCCTGGTATCCATCTCTCACAACCTGCTCCCAAATATCTCCGCTCTGAATTCTTCGTACAATGTCATTGTATACTCTGGCTCCAAACTGCTCCTTACCCTCCTCGCTTCCGAGATCAATGATCGAGTTTAATAGGGTGACATATAGACTCCAAATCTTGATCCGTTGGCTCGTTGTCGCTGTTGCAATCGGTGCCTGCGCCGGGCTATTATCGGGTCTCGCCTTTGCCGGAGGTGTGACCACCGGTTTCAGGGCTTCATATGCTTCGACCAGTCTCCGGGTGAGAAATAGTTGGGATGCATGCTTGTAGATTTTGGAGATCTCGGATGACGATTTCTTGCTATTGAGTGAGGAGTGAGAAGAGGAGAGAAGTTGTGTGCTGGAAGGAGACTCCGATCCTATCGACATACTGCTGACGCGGGTAATATGGACGGAAGCAATTACATGGAAGCAGAAGCGTAAACCGGTGTGCGGACGAGATGTGACTTGCTGGGTGTCTGGATGATGCACAGAGAAAGTCTGGGGTTTGAGGAGCTCGAAGATGGGAGCGCTGGTCAGTGGTTACCGTTACTCGCTTGAACCTCGGCAATAGTTGTTACAGTACCGCGTACACTGCAACCGCCGCCGAGAACGTGGGAGCCGCGTTTCATTCTATCTCCTGCTGTCCAAAACAATGCCCCCTGGATGAATAAGTTCCAGAGACTTCGCAACTCCCAGTTACTAGTTGCGACGTGACAAATCAAGAATGCCCTCCTGGCAAGCATTAGCTTGCAGTTTGTTGCTGACCAGCTTCCAGAACTCGGTGTCCTCCCATCGAGGCAACAAACGACCCTCCTCCACCATCTGAGCGATTCGTTGTTGTTCTTGCTCAATTTGCCTCTGGGAATCGTCCTGGGCTTCGTCCCCAGAGGCGTCGTCTTCAAGCATGTCGAATATGTTAGACTTCTGAGATATCGTCTTTAACTTCTTGATTCCCACTCTGGGCAGCTGAACGGTATTTTGACTTCTGCTAGTGGTCTCATCTGTACTGGATGGATTCTGGACAGGAATAATTGACGCTTTCCGAGTACTGCTCTCCGAGCTGGTCAAGATAGACTTGACCATTGTCGCCGGTGCCTTGATCGCTTCCACTATCGTTTTGGTTATGCCGACCTTCTGGTCTTGCCCCTCTGGAACACCACCAGTTCCAATATCGTACTGAGTCTTCTCAACTGCTGGACGCGGGTCCTCGGTAGATGCAGGAGCGGAAGCTTCGACCAATGCTTTGATGTCTTTGCGTTCTCTTTTCAACTTCCCAGGTATTTTGAGACCAATCTTTGCAGTGACGTAGCTATCGAAACCAGCCTCGTGGTAATTCGCAGCGTGGAGATAGCGATCGAATTTCGGAGGCAGAACGATGCGAGGTACGTCGACTGAGAAGAGGTCACTTTCGACGGCCCTGAGGGAGGTATCGGCCCAACTCTTGTTCCCAAGGCCGGCTATGTATTTCGTATCCATGAGGATAGGAAACAGTTCTTTTAGCCTTGTACTGAAGTCTTCGACTCGGTCTGGTAGATCGCCGATGAAACAACGGTATAGGTTAACAAGATCCGTCAGACAATTGTGGCCTACAAGAGCTCGCTTGTGACTCCGGAGCCTCGACTGGACGTTATCCAGGAAACCTTGGATATTGCCAGGCGCCTCGCCTTCTGGGTAAGCTGCTTGCACGTAAAAGTGCGGCATCCTCGAGATATCACCACCCGCAATCGCTTCGATGATCCATCGGAACCCTATGGCGTTCAAGACCTCACGCTCGTGAAACTGTTCGCGCATCTCCTTCTCATCTGCTTGTTGCTCGGCAGTCGGATTTGTGATCTGGACAAAATGGCCCATTCCCTGTGTTTTGAGCTTGGGGTATTCGTTTCTTACAATCTGGTGCGTTAGCCGGACTTGGTATCGATTCAGAACTAGCGGTACGGGTTCTGGAGCACGTTCGGCGGGAACGTTCACGTATGGCTCTTGCTTCTCCTTGGGCGTTGCCTGCCAGTCTCGGATAGACTGTCTGATGTGTTCCACCAGAACTGAATCGTCCTCTTTCAACACCATATCCGGAATGTTCCGTCTTGCTTGGTCGTCTTCGATTAGCTTCTTGCGGACCTGCTGTTCCTCTTGCCGCGACAGATAGTGCACGCCCAGCAAAATGGGACGGTCGATGTTGAAGCCATTGCGTATCAAAAAAGAGATTGCGCCGCTGTTGTACGACCATACACGTCGAAAAACTTGTTCCTTCGTCGCTGGCAACGGGCAGAGATCAAAGTTGTAAGGGCGAGCGACATATTGTCCTTGCACAAAGTCAGCTAACCCGACCTGGTATCTCCGTCATCAAGATACAGGGATGAGGAGAACGAATGGACACGGCATAGTCAGTGGCAGTTTCTCTGAGTGGCAGCCAGCGTCGTACGCTTGTTGAGACCTAGGGATCGGGAATAAGGCATGAGAAGTCAACTCGTCACAAAAGCGCGCACCTTTCTCGATATCCTCAGTTACAATCGTCAACCCGACTTGTAGGACCTGATAGATTTGGGCTGCCGCTCTCAGGTCTTGGTAATATTCTTGCAGTGACAGCTTTCCAGAGCCTCCAGCTGGACGTCTTCCCGCAACACCCGAGAACTCGAGATCCAAAGCGATAAAGCGACTGTCGGCAATTTGCTGGATGATATGGATGGCTTGTTCTGAGAAGCTCGCGCTGGTAACCTCCATGGCAGGGACAGAGCTGGGTTGACTCCGCGCAAGAACAAGCCGCGGTGAGGTTACAGGAAGGCGTAAAAGTTTGCTCGGAAAGGCAAACAGGCGCCGAAGGAAACCACCCATCAAACGACCGAGAATCTAGTTCCAGGAATGACTGTTCGTCTGTTTACAGCAAGTTTGGGAAGGAACACCGCAGGTTGCAATGTATGGGGTCTGTGAAGGAGTTGTGAAAGAGACTTCAACTGACGACATTGAAAATTAATGTGTATTTGCCTGCTCTAACGTGTCATGAGCCAACGAGGTGTAGCTTCACTCTTTCTGAGGGCTTGAGTCTGGAACCCGGCTAGGTCCTGGACATTTGGACCAGGTCAAGTGTACCTATTTAGAATGCAGTTGCTCTTCATACATGTCTGATGCCTTGGTCGTGGTTGGAGAAATCATTATTATATTGTTTGTGGGGGAAATCACTGCCTGTTTGCCCCACGACACTTGCGTTTTGCCAAAGTCATTCATTCTCAAAAGACCTGCATTCGAACCGACGACGTGAACGTTCAACAGTCCTGCGCCCATTGATGACTGCAATACTTACCTGGGCCGCTCACACTCACGAAGAATGACACAGTAGATAGGCGCATTCTCTTGTCTTTATCCGTTCCGGCGGCATGGCCGCCTCAATGTCGTCCTCCCTCTCCGCACTCTTGAAGAAATCGACTCTCGACGACCATGAACAGATTCTAGACGCAAGCAATAAAGCTCTTAAGTCATCCAAGTCCGATCTCGAAGCTCAGCATGTCAAGGTTGTCGCACTTCTCAAACTCGAACGATACCACGATGCTGTCACGTTCATTGAAGAATCTGGAGATGTATTGAAGAAGAGGGTGGGATTAGAATATGCATATGCCCTGTACAAGACGGGTCGCCTGGAAGATGCCGCGGAGCTCTCATCTAGTCTAAAGGAAAGAGGCGCCCGGCACATTGAAGCGCAGTCCAGGTATCGGCTTGAGGATCCATCACGAACCTTGGAGCTTTACAAGCGGCTGAGAAGTCAGAAAGTCGACTCTGAGGATGGCGATCTTCGTGTCAACCAAAGCGCCATCCACGCGCAAGCCCAATGGCTCGGTGTTGCGGACCCAGAGATTCCACGAAGACCTGAAAGAGACGCTCTGACAGCCTTCGAAACAGCATATAATGCCGCATGCGGTAGCATCGCCAGAGGAGAGTATGCGCAGGCCGAGTTTCTGTTGAAACGAGCAGAAGAACTCTGCAAGCAGTCTGACGACTTGACTGATCAACAGAAAGCAGACGAGCTCGTACCAATACGTGCGCAGCAGCTGTACGTGCTCCTGTATCTCGGAAAGGCCTCCGAAGCCGAAGCCCTCGCTGCCGGGATCAAGCTCGAAGAAGCTTCGGATCTATCGACTCGAAAAATTGCCGAAGTCAATATTCTTCTGACGGCCACGATACTTAATCCTTTTCTCGCACACAAGGCCTTCCACTCCACCACGAAGATCCCGCCGGCAGATAAGCTATTCTCATACCAGACTGTGCCTCTCGACTCAAATAAACTCACCCTTGACCTGCAAGCTTTCAAGTTCCACGGAATCATCTCTTCTACCTCGAGAACCCTTCAGCAAAGTTCTTCCATTTCTATATCTACTGGTGTGCTTCTCGCCTCCTTTTTCAATGCGGCCGCTCACGCGAGAAATGGAACCGGAAAGCCGGCGATCAGGAGCATATTGCCAGAACTGGAGAGCAGACCCAACGACGTCGGGTTGATTCTCACCCTAGTTCAATTGTATGTTCTGGGTGGTAACATCACTTCAGCGGTTGAATTGGTCGAGTCTTTCTTCAATCGGCTGGAAGATTCCACCGTTGAGACAGAGCAAGCCATTAGATTCGACCCCGTACTCGTAAGTGTCCTGATCGGCTTGTACAAGAAGAGGGGCCAGGATGCACATCGCAAGGCAGAACTTGCAAAGGCTGCAGCGTACTGGACGACAAGGCCGAATCCGCCAACAAGTCTGCTAGCAGCAGCAGGTACCTCGCTGCTGGAGTCACAGACTGAAGATGATGTCAAGTCTGCGTCGGCCATCTTCAGCAAGCTTCACGAACAGCTACCTAATGACAAGGCGACGATAGCTGGATACGTTGCGTCTCACGCGGAAAATGGCGACTCGCAATTTGCAGAGGATGTCGATAAGCTGACGTCCACGTCAGAGCTCACAGGGAACATTGACGTCGACGCACTGGAATCTGCAGGTATACCACAATCGTCGAACGCTCTTGCAATAGCACAGCTGGGGCAGACGAGAAAGCGAGCTGCTCCCGATAGTGTGAGCACCAGGCGCAAACGAATTCGCAAGTCGAGGCTACCAAAGGACTATGACGAGAACAAGAAGCCAGACCCAGAGCGATGGCTTCCAATCAAGGACAGGAGTTATTACCGAGCACCGAAGGGCAAGAAGAAGGGCAAACGCGGTGGTGATGATAGAACGCAGGGTGGAGCAGTCAACGAGGACTTGAATGTCGAAACAAAACCTTCCCCGGCTCCTACCGCCACCGCTTCTGGGGCAAGCAAGAAGAAGAAAAGCAAAGGAAAGAAATGAGATGCCGTCAACATCCATTTGGACACTGGGGTGACTGTGAGGAGACCTCTGTGTAGATTGGGCCAGATGCGGCAGCCTCGAAAATGATAGAATGTTATTACACATGATGCATGCATCCAAGTCGGGCTGCGCAAGTTGCCGTGACTCGAGTCGTATCAAATGTGCCCTTGCTGCGAAGAAACATTGTCGCCCTCCCCTTGTGTCATGAATTGGGTTCCAGCATTGGATTCACTAGCCATGGCCACGTTAATGGGTTCCGTGGCCCATGGGCCAATGCCAGGGGTCTGTGTGGTGACATGTCCGGGCAGTAAACAGGCATTGCACGTCGCTAGAGACCGTGTGGCCAGAAGCGTGCAGTCATATTGCCGCATGGAATTAAAGAGAACTTCAAGACACGTCAACACAGAGGCAGAGCAGCTGAGATTAGCTCGAGTGGCCAGCGCATGACTAGCACCGGTGACGAGAAGGCGCCGAGTGGCAGAGTCCGGGCAGGTCATTGGCCAAAGTGCTACGGCATGGTTCGTCGAGAGAGCGCGCAGGAACTAGAAGGGTGGTCATGGTGGTGGTGGTGGTGCTGGTGGTGGTGCTGGTAGGAGTAGTAAGTAAGTAGTACCTGGGTAGTGGTGCTGACGGCGGAAGCCTGTTTGAGGCGCAAGGGAAAATACCCGGATAAACAACTGACAAGTGGCAGCGGGAGCGACGGTTGACTTTGGTTCTGACTTGACTTACCTCGTTCCCGCATCCCGTCATCATTTCACTTATTATCCTTCAAACACGGTGACAGCAGAGAATTTCGACCGAACGCCATGTCCTCTCCTTGCTCCGTGTGTCGCCATTTTGCCCCGTCAACTCCTCTCCTAGGTCCCCGTCGGCGGTGTAACGGCACGCGAACCCTCGGCATGCTCGCTGCAGCCAGCTGGTCCGCGAGTCTGCGACCTCCCTATGGTTACTCAAGTCTCCTTGAAGCTGCGGTCCCATCACACACACATACACACACACAAACACACACGGCCGAAGAGGAAGAGGAAAACCCGATGCTGACGGCCGCTCCCTCCAAGAGAAGAGTTGACTGCGTGGTCATGAGGGCACACATCTCATCCTAGGCTTCCTCCCACGCGCTCTACCTGCTTCGCTTGCCGGCGGTGTCCTACCTAGATTCTGCAGCCCGCCAGGGGCCCGTTCGCTCCCAAGGCCCCGGTTCTGCTGATATTGCAACGTGTGTGATGAAGGGCATCATTGGTCAGCCCTGGCCCTTCCGTCGGCCGTGGCAACTTATCGGCGCACAGCTAAACCATCTCACGTTCGGTAAGGTCTTTTCTTCAGCTCGTGGTGGCTACATCTAGTCCCCCCTGAGCACCTCCCCTGGTGGACCAAGTTTCATGGATCCGAGGCCTTGCCACGATTGGCACCTTGGCCACATCCATCCAACGCTTCGATTCTGCTACCACTTCGCAAGATACCCTGACTGGCACGCACCTCTTCCACGAAAGAGCTTGGACGCTGCCGTGACTTGACCACATTTTCTACCTCGTAACTTTGGCTTAAAACATGACAGCCTCCTTCAACCTTACCCGCAAGTGCTGCTGTTACTGTCAGTGTCTTGTCTCATCTGCACTCCGCTCCCCGGTCAACCGGATTGACAGCCGTTGAAATTGTCCTTTGCCTGCGCGACTCATATATCACCCACGTTGAATGAAGCCGTCACTCATTGTTCTTCTGCTTCCAAGATCTTCTGCCTTGCCATAGTGGGCCGGCTGGTTCACCCGCCCGATCTACGTGACAGAGACCGTCGCCTCTTGTCTCGCCGTTCTGTCTCTGCCAGCCTCGTCTGGACCCCTTAGCGCTGCAGGCTGTGCCCATACACTTCGGAGCCTTGCGTTCATTCCTCCGCTTCAGCATCAGCCGGAGCTTTGCCGCCGCCGACTCTTAAACATGGACCTCGCCTGCAGTGGCTTCACCGCCGTCAATGTCGACGCTGACTTTGAACAACCTGAAGACATACACGAATATTTCTCCCTACAAGCTCCACCCAATACCAATATCTGGCGGAAGCCATCCGCCACAGATGACACCACCGCACCCATGGTGTTGAAGCGTTTACGCCAATCCTTCATCCTCGCAGAAGTCACCGTGTCTGCTGATTTTGCCATGGAGTTCGACCAGGCTGGTCTGGTTATCTTCGCCGGCTCGCCTCCAGACTCACCACTGTCGCGATCTCCCAACGTACGCAGAAGCCCCCGGTACCTCAGAACCAGAATGGAGACCCTGGCCGGAGGGAAGTGGGCCAAGGCTGGCCTTGAATTTACTGGCGGAGAGCTTCACGCTGCCTCCGTGGTGGCTATCTCCAGTTGCGGTGCCGATTGGTCGTCGTCAGCACGAATGCCCTCTCCCTCAACCACATTTGACCCATTCTCCCTGACGTCGCAGTCACTTCGCGTCAAATTCGAGCGGGTTGACGAATCCTTGTGGATCTGGTACCAGATACCGAACCTCAGCCCGCCGCCGCCTGATTGTTACCCATCACCCACTTTCGATCCCGGTCGACGAAGTCCAGAAGATGTGGGATCGGGCTGGAAGAAAATGCGGGAGATTATGGGGTTCTTCGGGGGGAGGGAGGAGAAGGGAAGTATCTGGGTAGGTTGCTATGCAAGCCGACCGATGAACTTTGAACCTAGCAATAGCTGGGAGGAAGTGGATGCCTTGGTCGCCGAGTTTGAAGACTTGGACATATTATGATCGTTTGGTGAAAAAGGGAGGGGGGTGTGATGTGGGCGGGGATCTAGGGCCAGCACACACCTACCGCAGAGCTTCACAGGTAAGAACTGGACTTTTAATTTGAAGGGGGCGATATCAGGGATCGATCCGGGAGGAGACGACCCTCAGTGAGAGGATTTCTAGGGAGCAATGCAAACCTCGGAGCAAGCGTCTGAGATTCCATAGTCCTGCTGGGCGTTGGAATCAGTATCATTGGCGTAGCAACGCCACGAGATGACCGTGTCGCTAACTCTTGGTGCATAGCAGACTATGGCTGATGTCCTTGACCAATTATCCTTGATTCCAACGATACAATGGCTTGATAAAGCAGATTCATTGACAGTATCCTAGACCATTTCCATAGCTACACATGATAGCAACCATTACCATCGATAAATTTTGCTCATGTCCATCGTTTCGCTCATGTTCCATCGTTTTACTCATGTTCCATGGTTTTGCTCATGTTCCATCGTTTTGCTCATGTTCCATCAATTTGCTCATGTTCCATCAATTTGCTCATGTTCCATCAATCGCACAGATCAGAGTCCTAGTACCATCCGGCAATTGCCATATCCATCAATCTCACAGATCAGAGTCCTAGTATCATCCAGCAATTTGCCCATATTCATCAAGCTCACAGCTCAGAATTGACATCATCCTTCCTAGGATCAACGCCCACTACCCGACTGTTCCGTATCGTAAATTCATATCGATGAGTGTCTCAGTGGCGGCCAGGCCACTTTCGATGAGGTTAGAAATGATAGAATTACTGGACCAAACGAACGGGGTTGAGTACATACCACCTCTCCTTCTTGCTCTTTACCCATACCTCCTAGTCACCGTACCGCACTCGCCGCCCACCCGACTCTTGCACGCTGCGTGTCATGTCAACCTCCACACCCAAGTGTTTTGCCCACGCAACGACGTCGTTCGGCACATTGTTACAGTTTCTCAAGGTTATCTTTCGCAGCTTTGGTGGCCTGGCCCGGAGAAAGTCACCTATGAACAGTCCTGTAATTCTGGCGCCATCAAGGGACAACTCCTCGAGAGCAGGGCAATATTCGAGAAAGACCTTGTAGGAGGCGTCGTCAACACAACTGCCTGTCACATGGACGCGTCTGAATCCCTTGGACCAGGCAGTCTGGAATAAGAGGGAGGGAAGTGACCCAGTTCTGAGGAGTATGCGGAAATCCTCCACGGTGGCGGCCTTCGCAGTCTGGCCTGCATCATGAACAAACTTTGGGAACCTCGGACAGTTGAAGACAATGAGGCTCTCGAGATTCTCCAGCTGCGAGTAGTTCGTGCTCCTTGGGTCAGGGGGGGAGGTTTGGTCAACCTGAAGGCTATACTCGTCGAATGTGACCCCGTCGAAACGTAGCCTTCGGACAGAAGAGGGAAGGACGATGGCTGGCATTGTACAACGTTCCAGTTCGAGAGATTCCAGTTGCTTCATATGGCGAATATCGACAGACTTCAACCTGGCCGGGCCTTGGAAGCAAGACAAGCCCACGCAAAAGAGTGATTCTAGCTCTGGCAGGCCTGAGAAGAGCGTATCCTGGCATGCTGTCAGTACACAGTACACAGGTAGGTGTCTATCATTCTCCAACGTCTTGCACTCACATGCTCAAATTCCACTGTCATGACCGGAATATGGATATGTAAGACCCGGAGAGTTTCCGATTCCAATCGAAGGCTTTTCCGGTCGAGGTAAGTCTCCCCAAGCTCGGAGCCTGTCACGTGCTTGAACTTCGCCACTCGCAGCTTGGGACAATCCTTCAATATGGTGGGGATAAAGTCGAAGGGGGTCTCTGTGTCGGGCCCAAGCATGATGCTCCTCAAGTCGTATTTTGGCAGTGGGAGTTGCCAGATCGGAACCGACTTATGATGAATCTCCAGGTGTTGTAGCTTCGAAAGAACTCGCAAATGGAGGAGAGCTCTGTTCAGATACTCTGTTGCTGCTTCATCTAGATGGCGAGCAGAGACTATCTTCGGCTGTTTCAAGCGCCTGAGGGTTGCATGCAGCATTCTCACCGTGACAGCCTTGCTTGCGTCTGGGAAAGCAACAGTGTCTATGAGTGGAGACAGGGATTCAAGCAACTGGTACCATGCTTTGCAGACTCGCAACATCTTGACTTGCTGTCTATATGGAATATTGGACAGGATCATGACGGCCACTTCCAGAGGAAGAGCTGTCATTGGATCACCGGGGCTGGTAAGGACGATCCTATCCCTCATCTCTTTCTGTACGGCTGCTAGCGTCTTCGCAATCGACCGAGAGTATCTGTCAGTGCATGCAACGTGCTTCAGTCCGTATTCACAGAACGTGGCGGCCCCAGCTGGGTTGCGTCTAAATCGTTCGATTTCTGCACATCGGTAGTAGCCCCTTCCATCAGCGCGGTCGATTCGGATCATTTTTTTGCCATCCTTCAACGCCAGGTCATACTCTTCTAGCTTGGTGCGCAGGCGAGCGCGAAGGTCAAAGACAGTCACACGAGTATGGGGAGGCAGGTTTGGGTCGTGTTTAGAGGCCCGTACGGCTGTGTTGGCAATGTCTAGGGCGACATCGTAATTCTCGTCGTTGAACGCTAGCTGGCACCTTCGTATGAGTTCAGGGACCGACTCAGTAGCCTGAGCGACTGCCGGCATCTTGCACAAGGCGCGAAGACGACTCCGATCTAAATAAGGCTGAATGAAGCATCGGCTCATACTAGGTTCTGTTAGTTGAAGTCCAAGCGGTGAGGTTGCAGTCGACTGCATCGGGTTAACCTCGGCCTTGGCAGGGCGGCCTGTTTATGTCTAACCTGATTCAGACTCGAGGAGAGAGGAGACAGATCATGTCCATGTCCGACTTGCTGTCAGCAACCTGTTAGGTGCCTGTGGTGCGTGAGCGAAGATACAGCTCCCGCTCGAGCCTGCCACAATGGACTCCCAAAGCCTCGAGAGGGCGTCTCACTACCTCAACAATCTTCTCCTTGCTCGCGGTCTTCTTTCGACGGGAAAACCAATCGATTTCGCCAGACCCGACTCTGACGGCCGGACGACGGATACGACCATGGCCAGAATCATCAATCTTGTCCACGACTTAGTCTTGCGACGCGACGAAGATGCCGAGCAGCGCGAAATTCTCGCAATGAACATCCGCGCCGCTCGCGCTGAAGGAGCACAGCGTGTGCTTGATATCCAGAAACTGCAGGACAAGAACACGGAGCTGGCGCGAGTTGCAGTGTCCGCAGAATCTCAGGAGCGTGCCTTGAAAACAGCGGCCCGGAAAGCAGAAGCACGGGCAAAAGAGCTGAAGGAGCAGATGTTGAAAATGAAATCCACACTGGACCAAGTTAGAGCCAAATGCCTGAGTGATGTTCGGAAACGAGACACCGAGCTCGACAAGTTGAAGGCGCACCTAACCGGGTTGCAGCGCGGGAAGAAGGAAGCGTCGGGGATTAAGATCAATGTGATCAATTGGGAGCCGGATATCAAAGCTAAGGAGAAGCGAAATGGAGAGGATGTCAACTGCACAGAGTGGAGCCTGGAGAAAGAAAGCAACGACTTCCTCGCGGCGGTGTTGAACGAGACTAGCACCGAAAACACTTCACTAAGACGGATCATTACCGATACCATGGCAATCCTTTCGGATCTGACAGGGCTGTCTCAAGCAGCCGATGATACCGAAGGGGAAGAGGCAACAGCCATCCCCGGCCAGTTCCGCAAATCAAGTCGCGAAAGGGGTTGCTTGAGTCAGGAACTAACGTCCTGTGCCGTCCTGGCAGATCAGATGAGCACAATTTTGGAGCATTGTCAGTCTATCCTCAAAGATCCTTCCTTCGTTCCGATCGAGGAAGTTCACGTACGTGACGAGGAAATCATCAAGTTGAGAGCCGGCTGGGAAAAGATGGCGACCAAGTGGAAAGAAGCAGTGACTATGATGGACGACTGGCGAAGGCGTGCCGGCCACAATGGGGAAGGTCTGTCGGATAACGATTTTGCAGGGTTAGAATTTGGCGAGGGGGTTGCGATGCTCCCCAATGGACATCCCGTGTTTGGAGCTGACGAAGAAGTGCCATCTGTTTTGTACGAGAACAGTAATGCGGGAGACGAGGCCATACAGGAGGCCGCGATTAAAGAGATGCGTCATCCGTCCCTACAAGGCAGCTTCGATACAGAGGATCACCAAGAGTCGGATCTTGACATCCCGCCCGAACCTACAACGAAGCGGCTTGCCTCAAGCCCTCGAAAGGCTAGACTAAATATTGGGAAACCGGTCCGACCTCTACGGGCAATCGACCACAATATGAACGCGTCGCCAAGGCGCAATGTGGACATCAAATATTGTTCCAAACATCCTGCAGAACTGGGGCTTGACCCCTTGGACGGTCAGTGGGAGACAGGGGACGATGTTTTGCAGCCAAAGGCCGACTTTCGAACAGCGCAAAAGACGCCAACCAAACATACCTTGAACAAAGATGAAGACAGCCAGAGACATGTTCGACGAGGAGAAGAGGCCACGTTGACTGTGGCAGAGAAATTGGCTGTCGTGGAGGCCGAGGCATGTCAAGCACGAAGCCGACCACAGCGGACAAAGAAACGGAAGCAGGTTGATACGCAAAGAGTGAAAAGGGGATCGGGAAGGAGAAGCACACTAAGTCCGGAAGAACTTGCTGTATTGATTGGTATCGAATAAGCTGCTGCCTTGTGGGTTGTACAATATCCGGGAGACCATAATGTTAGCACTCCCTCGCATCGTTGCCAGGCTTGGGAATCACTTCACACGGGCATTGAATCCGGTCAGCGAGTCACGCACTTCCTTTCATCGGCAAGAATCAAACATGTCGAGATCTCAGTTTCCCGCCGTACATGTCTGTACAGTGTGCCTTTCGTTAGAGACTCGAGTACAGAGTATTTGCCTGGTAGGCACCTAGTACGGAGTATGTGCCCGGGGTTATGTATGTTGGATGCCATTGGTGGAATGCGGATCACCTTAAGTAAGCAGGATCCTGCTGCTGCTATTGGCCCCGGCACAGTCCTGGCCAGCCTTGACTTGTTCCTTGCTGCGAGGCTTTCATCGCGCGTCCTCGACAACAAACCAACAAACCAACAAACGCGCACCCGGGCTTGTTCATGTTTACGAACCACCCAGTTCCACACCTCTTCATGCGCAGACAGCCGTGACAAGGCATGCAACTGTTAATTGTGCCTTGGCCATGGTGAACAAATTCTCTGCCGACTACTCGTCGAGCATCAACTCGACACCAGCCAGGCCTGCATCTCGCTCGCATCTCTTCTCTTCCAATGCGCCTCACCTGGCGAGTACGACTCCTATCGCTCCTCCTCCTTCCCAGATCTTCGGCAGCTCGACCTTTGGCTCTGGTGTCAGTAAGCTGCAGCTGTCCAAGCCTTCAAAATTATCCCCGCCACTTGGTCCATCCAGAAACAATCCCGCCCTTCCTCCCACAAAAAATGCCATCCCCGGCAAGATAGCTTCCAGGCCGTATCACACGTCCTTCAACACATCACTAGCCTCGGAATACACCATTCACAGTGAGGATGACTATGCCGATCAAGACATGGAAGAGGACGATGACCAAGATGACACAAACCTCCGCCTCCCGCAAGGCGTTCGGTCCGTCAATCGACAGTCTGCTGCGTCACTGCTCAAGTTCAGCCAGCGGGATTCAAGGATGTCGACTCCACGCAAATCTCTTCGCAGCTCGCGACTTTCCGCCCTGCCTAACAAAGGCAACGACTCGGTCGTCCCCAACCTCGCCCGTGAATTAGCTGCGAGAGCGCAGTCTGCCCATTTGACTGAACCCGATGAGGTCATTCTCAGGACAGAACAAATTCTTCGCCAACTAGACGAACAAACACAATATCTAAGAGACAATGCCAGGATTCTCCGCGCAATCACTGATCACGTCTACCTCCTCCTTCCTGAATGGCAGCGTTTCGTTGAAATCGACCGGCCTTCGCTCGACAGCAGCGACATAGGCCCCCAGCCTTCGGCAACACCCTTCGCCAAAGCCAATTACCTTGCCTCCTTGCTCCTAGCTCTTCATCATCCACCTCCGTCATCGGACGGCATGGTTCTTCCTACTCCGCAGATCCTCCTCGATTGGCTCGATACCTATCATGTGTCGTACGAACCGCTTTACGGGACAGTTGCCTCAACCCATCCCAATTGCACATCCCATGACCTCTTCTGGGATGCCGTACAAAGCCTGATGCTGCGAGGAAAGTTTGACTTGGTCATGCACCTCTTTGCCGAGGCAGATTTTAGATATGCCGCCTCCGCGGTAGATGATGGAATGGACGAACCTGGCTACAAGGGTGCCCAACTCCAGTCAGTACAGAGTGTCATATACAGAGCTCGGCTCCTTCTTAATTCATGCCCTGTTGTTCAATCTGGGGATTGGAATGTTACAGGACCTGAATGGGACCTGTTCCGCACTCAGGTGGAGTCCGAATTGGACAACCTGACGGATCTGGCAGCTTCTCAAAATGACGAAGACAGCACTTCCTTCGAAGCTGAGAACTTTGGCCTTCGCAAGCCCGGAATGAGCCTCCTTGGGAAACTTGGTCAGAGCACGCCATCAGCTCTTCCCTGGACAATCTTTCAAAATCTCAAAATTCTTTACAGCATTCTACTAGGGAGTGCCGAAGAGATTGCCGCCCAGTCGCAAGACTGGCTAGAAGCTGCCACCTCATTGACGATATGGTGGGATGGTTCTGTGGATGCTGCAGTCGCCCAGTGGAGTTTTGATGTCAGTCGTGCTAACAACCTGGCTGAAGATGTTGGGGATCTCAACCCTTATGTTGGTCGACTTCGAGATTCATTCCTGAGTGTGACGGATCCCAATGACAACAACTCGTTCCAGATCAACGCCATGTCACCGGTTGAAGTGGGGCTCGGAGCTATACTGCAAGGCAGTCCTCAAAGCGCGTTGATTGTGCTGCGGGCTCTATCCCAATGTGTTGCCTCGTCCATTGCTGAGATCGGAACAAAGGCAGATTGGATTGAAGCTGATACCTCAGCTCGACCAGCTGGCCTGAACGAGGAGGATCTGATGGTACTCAGTTACGGTGCTCCTAAGCAGGGCGTCGGTAAGGACGACATCCTCCTAGGATACGCTGACCGAGTTTTTGAAAAGCCTATCTTGCGACTTGCTGATGGGTCTGCTGTTGAAGGCTGGGAAGTTGCCATCTCGATTGTCACCAGATTAGACGATCGCGAGGTGATGCACACGGCTGTCACCAGGTTTCTTGAACGGCTCGAAGTCGTGTCGCAAGATCGCGCTGAGAAGCTCACGAATCTGTGTTCAGACCTTGGTCTTCAAGACGAAGCACGTAACGTATCGGATCGGTTCGGCGACTATCTCGTTAACAATACCGCCGAATACGGTACCGCGTTGTTATGTTACGCCAGAAGCCATGCATCACACAAAATCCGTCACCTGATTGATCTGCTGGTCAGCTACTCGCTCGTGCAGTCTAGGGCTTACCCACCGGAGGATGAGATGGACGAGGGATTGCAGAGCCTGGTGCAAAATCCCAAAACGGCCTTATCAGATATTGCTGAAGTCGACCCGGAAGCTGCCGAGATGTTACAATTCTACCTAGTCGGATATGCTTGTCTGCGCCGATTCTACGCTCTGAGGGATGAGGACTCGCTTCCAAATGGACAGGGTAGTTTGTCGAATCTTCATCCTTTTGCACGCAAACAGGCTGCATCCAAGGCCCTGGTGGCAGCAATCAACAGCGCCGCGGACAGCATCTATGGAGGGCTATACGACCCAGACCGCCAATCTGCCATTCAGGTCGACGGGTTGCTAACACTGCTGGGGGAGGCCACCGCCCTTCTTGCAAGTAACAGCGCTTCTGACAAAAACGTCCTCACTTCCCAGCAGATCTATGCTCTCTTAGCGGCCATCGAGGACCTGTCCACTGTATCTCCACGTGTGTACGAGGCCACGGAAGAATGCCTGCAGGCTGCACTACGGAATTACCACGGCTCTCAGCCGCCTAGCCCGCACGCCCTTCTGAAGAAGAGCATGTCCTCGGGCACCAACTCCAACTTCAGCTTCAGCATGATTGGGTCGGAGATGTTGGCGAAGAGTGATCTAACGAGCACAGGGGCTGGCGGGAAGAGTGCAGCAAGCAGTGGAGTTTTGGTTCCTGAGCCGAGAAGTGATATTGTCAGGGGGTGGGACTGGAGAGCGAGATTCAAGGATAAGGATGTCGTTGGACGGGATGTTGTCAAGGTGCTGAGGTTGGGACTCGCGGGGGAGTTGAGCATGGTTGAGCTGACAGCCGAAGCATGACACCATGCGACCATGTACTCCGTAGTTGATACTCTCCAAGGCTCTGGCTCTCATCGAAAAGGGCAACGAACATGAGCTTTCCGTCGATTTTCTGCTGTTAGCGTAAGACATAGGATAAGCCGTACGTTCTGGTATGGGCTGGGCATTTGTAACGCCGAGTCCAAGATTGAAACGCCCTGTCGTCTCCTACGGGATGTATTTGATTATCCACAGGATGAATGACCATCCATCTACAGCCAGTTCCGGTAGAGCCGTGGCGTATCGACAATAGGTGGCAATTATCAAGACACAGTACGGAGTACGGATACTTGAATTATATTATAAGTAAATAATTAGCTGTACTATCTAACACCTCACCTTCCCCATGGATGAACATCCACATAGACGATAGAACTCCGTACTATACCATGACACATCACTCATCTCCAAGAGTCACATGAGGAGCATCGAGGCATGTCATGCAAAGTTCGTTGTGCTCGTACATACAACTCACCAGTCCGGGGGTAAACCTCCTGGCACCTACTGGCTTGCCTGCCCAGTAGTTGGTACCACGCTAAATCATTCATTAAGAGGACAATGTCAATGTCCCTATCAGTGGAGTATACCCAACTTCTCGACCATAGTCACTAACGGAGGGTGGCCTCGACGGAAGCCGCATGTCTGGCATCTCAAATAAGATCCGCATCCTACTGAACGAGTGTTGATGCTTCATATCTAGTTTCTGACAATAATCTAATCCAAGCCCAATCAACCTGTTCATTTGGTTGCGCAGTGGACCGTTACCGGTACAGTAGCACAGACCCTACCCTAACCTAATCAACTGTAAACTTTTCCCTTGGCCTATAACTTCCTTCTTGCCTCTGACCGTCGGCCCAAGATGATTAAATAGAGCCGATATTGTAAGACCCTTGCGTTATTTCCAAATCGCCTTCTGCTTCCTAGGCATACACTTGACCAGTGTTGCGGTAGTTTTGCAACGGGATGCCACCATGATTATACGGAGGCGGAGGGTACTGCTCTGCGGTATGACCAGGATCCGTCTGACCCTCCCGAAAGTTAACCGCGGCCGGAGTGTTCATGGCCTCCTTTCGCACTTTTCGACGACGAAAGATAATTCCCACAGAGACAACGCCGGCGGCTATAGCAACCGATACAATTGCGAAGCCGGCAAGGCCAGGGTGGTTGCCTGCGAAGTGAAGCCCTACCAGGCCATTGACAAGCCCCAGGAATACCGTGCCGGGCCCAAGAATACGATGGCCGATCATGATCCTGGCCGGTGACCCGGTTTTCTTGTAGATGCTGTGTCCAACGAATCCCACAGTCCAAGTGATGAGGACCAAGCCACAGATGATAAGTCCGAGAATTTGATGGCCGGAGGTAAGGCTCGGTGTCTGTGCCAGTTAGTGTGATTGAGCACGAAGCCCCTGGGAGTTTCATGCTTACAATGTTGTCTCTCTTGCTAACGGCAATGCCGACTGCGGTACCAATGCACACCACCACCAAACCAAATGTCTGGACGGCCCAATGTACCCAGACCTTTTGGATAGTGCGTAACAACAGATACCCGGCCGGGAAGACGATCGCAAAGGCCAGACACATGATAAATCCATGGAATCCACCACCACCATGGAAATGGCCACCCGAAATAGGGCTGTCGTCAACGGTTGTCGACGATGAGTTCAGGACAGGAACGCCAGCCGTTCCAGTTGCCGACTTGAAGTCCAAGTTGAAGACATCATACCCTTCATGTTGACTGATGGAGGCCGCAACATCATTGCTCTGCAAGTTTCCTGTTGGACCGACAGCCCAAATCATGTTCTGACTGGTGCTGGCAGTATTGACACTCCCACCACTCCACGAGCGGCAGCCTGTGCACTTGGCATTGATGACAAAGGAGCCATTGACGATGCCACTCCCAGCCAAAACGTCAACTTGGACAGACGTGGTATGTTGAGGCATGACATGGCCAGTGCCCAGACGGGGGCTGAGTGTGATGTTCTTGCCATCTTTAGCAGCATAAGTGACGAAGATCAAGGCGCCTTTCATTTGACCACCCAAGCCAAAAGCTGCCCATGTTTGGCCTGCGGGAGCGGAAAAATGGAAGAATAGGGAATCGCTGCTGTTGGACGGCACGTTGACGGCGACAGTGATGTTATCATTAGGATCTGGAGAGGTACCTCGACCGACATAGGTGGAAGCAGGAACAGCAGCATGCACTGTGAGCAAGAAGACTGGAATGACGGTTAGCTTCTGCGTCCTTGGCCTCGGGGTGCCCGTTGGAAGAGGTATAGGGACTTACCAGCCAGAACAAAACCTAGCATAACCCTGAGTCGGGTCTGGCAACGAAAAGACATGACTAAGAACGGGGAATAGACTCTGTTGGAGTATGGAGTTTGCTCACAGTCGAAGAGTAGAAAGAGAACGGGAGAGGAAGGGAGGGTGTGACAGAGACAGAGACAAGAGAAGAGCAGCTAGAAGTCCGTCAGTAACGCTTAGGCAAGGGCAAAGATAGAAGCCACGCCTGGCGCTTCAGCGTTCAGATGCCAGCTCTCTTCCTCGCATGTTGAACCAGCCGGAAGGAGACAGCATCCATAGGTGTGCATCCTTTGACGGGCGACTCTGTTTCAAGGGTGTTGTTCCAGCTGAAGACGTCCGGCGGTTGCTGGTCCGCTTATCCCATTGTTCTGCCCCTGGCTACCCCAAGTTTCAGGCGCCCAGTTACCTTGATTAGGCTAGACGCCCAACAAAAGTTGGCGAGCGCAAGGTGCTCAGCCAAACAATGGACGACGGACGTGCCTGAGAACAGGGGAGGCCGATAGATAGGCACCTTAGTACATACTATTCGAGCCGTAGGTGTAGATTAGTACTAGGTAGGTACCAGGTACCTTAGGTAGGGCATCTACAGAGTACATATGTATCCGTACTCCATACTCCGTAGCTGCTCCGTCCTCCGTCCTCCTAGGCGGCAAACACTGTCTCAGCCCTGGGCTAAGGGGCCCTAAGGCCTACTGTAAGGCCTAGATGGGGGGTGCCGAATGCTTAGCCCCTAAGCCTAGTATCTTACTGTACAGTGCTTAGGCGGCGGGCACTCTATTCATCTATATTGGCGGTGTGCCAGGTTCAGTGTCCGAGCAGCGACCAACCAACACTGTCGAATTTGTGATGCTGCAACATCAACAGCCGAGTCCACCTGCACATCCCTGCTGGCGCTGACTCTCAGGCCGCCCAAGGTGCATCTGCCATCTGGACCTACCCAAAATAGACCTCGATCTTGCCCCTGTTGGTACCTGGCTGCCAGATCTATGTACTAACGGCCGTAGCCGAGTAACACGGTTGTCTATCCCACGGACAAACTTGTTTTGAAGCAAGCCTATCTCGGCCCCAGCTTGTGCTGTATCAGAACCATTCTTCCTGCGTATTCATAATGAATCGGGAAAAGGGCTCTGGTTGGATGTTGAAATCTCCCACAGACGGCGACCATTCATAATTCAAGAAATCACCGTGCTGTAGCGCCGATGGATCCGCTGAATGAGTCGCCCTGCTGCTTTGGCTGGCCATCCCACTCCCACTCCCGACGTGCACCGATTTAGGTGCCACAGGCGAGTAAGGTGATTGACTCCCAAGGTCGAATGCTTCCAGGGTACTGGAAACCACATTATTGGGATAGTCATGCATGAAACGCTCCATCGAGGTGGATGCCGGCAGATCTGTAGATGGGGCGACGTTGGGGCCCTCGCCTCCCTGACCCGCGTCGTGCGCCTGCTGTGCTGCTCTTCGAGCCCGGGCCTTCGCCATCAAGAGCCGCAGCGGTTTCCATACCAAGCCCTTGTGCGACTTGGTATTCTTTACCAGCTGCTCGTCATATACTGATTCAATCGCTCGCCACGCCCGATCGACGTCGGGTCCTGGCGGCCTCACGCAAATTTCTGACAGCGCAAAAGCCACAGATTGCCATTGTACATAAGTCCGGAAGAGCCACCCCCACTTTGCAGTACTCTCGTTATTTTCTAGCAGGTGAGAGAATTCGATCACTTCCACAGAGGTGAGGAATACCCGGTCTCGGCATTCTGGTGGAATGGGCGAGGCATCGTTTGTGGGGCTGAATGAACGGGGATGGTGCACCTTCAGCCACATCCTTGCCAAAATCAAGCGGGCAACGGTAGTAGCTACCCAATAGATGGGCTGACTCATGTCGCAGTGTCGCAGGTACTTCTCTTCCAGCCTGCGGTGGCACTCGTCGATCATTTGCTCCTTAAGCTTCCAATCCGGCGATGCGTGACCCTCTTCCACTTCTGGCGAGGTCAAGTTCAGACGTTGGGAGAAGATGCTCAGTTCGAAACGGATCAGGCAGAACGTCATCTCGGTGGCGCCCTGTCTCTCCGGAGGGTATTCCTTCATTCCCGGATAGATGTCGTCGTCATTATAGTTCAGTGGAAGTTTCGTATCGTAGAAGGGCTCGGTGAAAACGGGGTCGGCCCCGTGATCCTCCGCCGAGCGGCTGTCCACAACAGTCAGATGCCACCACAGTCGTCGTCTCATTTCCGTATCAAAGGGGTTCAAGCCAAAGTGCGACCCATCGCGGTGAATGCCTAGCCCCTGCGCGAGATGTATTGCCAAACCTCCCAGAGCCCATACTATACGGGAATCGTCACAGTGCCGCACAAAGACGAGGAAGAGGGCGAGTGCCTGTAGACACATCAGACTGGAACTGTTCAAGAAGTCGGCACGTGCTAATGCCTGCTCTATCGCGAAACGGTATTTCTTCAGAAGAGTTTCCTTGTCCTCGTCGAGTAGTTGCCGGCATTGTTCTGGGCTTAAACTGACCACCGCTCCAAAGTAGATGGAAAACAGCAAGGCCTCCGCAGGTTTTGACACACGGTCGAGGCTAGTTGCCGCAGTCATCACGATTGTCCTTGCAGTCGGTCGGTGCGTGATTCGGACCACGGGATCGACATTTTCCTTGTATACTTCCCACAAAATGAAGATCTGGCTCGGGGTGGGATGCAGCTCTCGTAGATCCAGCATTGTCGAAGAGTAGCCGAAGAGGAAGGCTTGATGGTTCACCTGGCGATCCTGGTCTGAGAAGGGGGCCTCATCCTCTTCGTCTGCGCTGGAAGGGTCAAGCATATCACGTATCTCCGTGATTTCGTCGCTCATGCTGGTCCAGAAGGCACTGTTGACATATCGACTGCGATCCTCGTTTATCAGCAGCCGACCCGAGTGCTTATCAATGGACTGCCTTTTCGAGTCAGAGCGATCGGATGTAGGTGAGTCTCCGGATTGAGTGTCGCCAAACCGAACTCGTATGTCTGTAGAGCCGGTGACAGTGGACGACAAGACCCCATTCTCGTCCACCTGCGCTCCCAGGCTGTGGACCACTCCCTCCAATCGCTGTAGCCGTGCCAGCAGCTCTGTATCGGGGGGCTTTCTCGATTTTCTGGGTGCCCTGCCCGGACCAGGAAAGACACACTCAATCCCCGCTCTTATACAATTTGCGCATGGATTTTCTTTATTACATCTGACCTTCCTGCGGCGACACGTGACGCAGCTTCGCGGGTTCAATCGAGATGTGGAGGAGGTCGGGGCCGAGGTCGCGACATCCTCTCTGACAGCAGAAGCGTTGGAAGTCGATTGTGCAGCTTCTTCGACGGATTGTGGCTGTGGTGCTTCCATGTTCGGTGGTGTTTACCAATGACTCATGGTGCCGCTGGGAGGGCCAGCGTCGTGGGCCGGGAGATTGCAGCTATTGAAACAGACTCAGAGGACAACGATGATGACAAACCGTCCATGCTCAGATCCTGCATGGAAGGGTAGGAACGTGGATGAGTTGAAAGTCAGGACTCGCTGTTTGTGTTGCACGACTGGACAGAGCGGCAAATTTCATGCGGTCCAAACACGAGTAATTAGCAGCGATGACATAGACACTCCAGTGACAAAGCAATCTCGCCCTGGCCCCGACCGCCACTTGGAGGGTTCTACACTGTATTGCACCGAGGACGTGGAGGACTTTTCCCGTCTACATATACGGAGTACCTACATAGGTATCTAGGTAGGTCTCTTGGTAACCTGGTATGTACGAAGGGATTGCTCACATGACTTCATCTGGCGCCTGTATCTTCGTCCGGCTTGCACGAACGTCTCCAAGTCTCCATCTGTCACGAGGACGCTATTGTTACCCCTGTGATACACTCTCGGATCCCCTCAGATACGACCTGATTCGTCTTGGATGGAAGCAGCTGAGACGATCCGCTCGGTGATACCGCTCGGTGATAGGGCACGACGGAGGTGGACGGTAATAAAGAACCGTCATCCACCGCGACATCCAGTTGGTGACTATAGGTACGGAGTACATCGTACAACGAAAACATGAGCGATTTATTCACTCTGCCCAACGAGGCCAATCCTCGAAGTGTCCCTCCCCAGTGCTCCCCCCTCCACAATCCCACTCGTAGAGTTGATGTCCCGGAAAATCCCACATATCAGAGCCCCAGACTGCGAATCAAACACAGCATACTAAAAACGAGCTGCATTTCCACAATGCTCCTCGCTCCAGAAAATCAAATTCCCCAGCAAACCCATCCCGCGGCGCTGATGCGAAGTTATTCTAGCCAAAAGGCCCCAAACCTTTATCACACGTATGCTCATGTACTATGAGATCTTAACAGTACCTGGTTGCTCGATTAGCTGTCTCTTCATTTATCTAGACCAGGACGTCGAACGTACGGTATTAACAGCCGACATTGGATCGGACTCGACGTCTTTAGCGGCTGAGGGGCTCTCCGGGCTACCAGAAGTCACCGGGCCTGATGTTGTGATTGATCTTTCCGAAAACTGTGGCCTCAGCGGCGATGTCGAAGAAACGTCTGCGTCGGCAGGCGCTGTCTCCTGCTTCCTGTTCTCTGACGTGCCGTTCCCGGTCGCCTTCGACTTGGTCCGAGCATGTTTGTTGAACATTGCTGTCACGCCGTCGGATGCGACTCGCAGGATCGTCTGCATGAGTAGGTTCTGCTTGAGCGGCTTTGACAGATATTCGTCCATTTGAGCCTGGATGCATTTTTCACGGTCACCCAGCATTGCATGGGCAGTCAGCGCGATAATGGGTGTCCTGGGAAGCAACATCTCTTTCTCGTACTGCCGGATCTCTCGTGTGGCCTCGAACCCGCCCATCACGGGCATCTGCACGTCCATCAACACCACGTCGAAGCGATCGGCCTTGATGGCATTGACAGCTTCTAGACCGTTGCCAACCACTGTCACAACATGATTGTATTTCTCCAGAATCTTGATGGCCACCTTTTGATTGACCTCGTTGTCTTCCGCAAGTAAGATATTCAATGACTTCTTGTAGTCCTTGATCACGGGGGTAGACCGGCCTTCAAGAGCTGGGATCATACAATTGCCCAAATCAATGAGCTGACACGGTGTCGTCATGTAGGAAGCAATGCCCAAGTCAAGGACTGTCTTCAGGTTGATCGACACAGTCGCATTCAGCAGGACCACGGGGATGTACTTGAATTTGTCAATCAGTCGCAACTTGTGCGCCGTCTCGAGCTGGTCGATGACAATAACATCGTAGCCGCCATCGATCGGCTTATCTTTCCCATCATAAGGCGGTTCAGGGACGTCAGCCTCATCCTCAACCACGAGAACCTGTAAACCAAGCTCCTCGATCAGGGCGGGGACGCGCTCGAAAAAAGGAGAAATCCCTTTGTCCACCACAAGCACTTTATGCTTGCGGAACGGATACAGCTGTGAGCTGATGACACTGATGTCCTCGGTGGCAAATTTCACAATGCAAGAGAAGTGGAATTCACTACCCTGCCCGAAATCTGAAGTGACCCATACCTGGCCTCCCATGAGGTTGACCAGCCGCTTGGAAATCGAAAGTCCGAGGCCAGTGCCCCCGAACTTTCGGGTGGTCGAGCCGTCGGCTTGCTGGAAAGTGTCGAAGATGAGATCAAGTTTGTCAGACTGGATACCAATACCGGTGTCGGACACCACAAACTCGAACGGGAACTCGTCGGTTGCGCAATTCCCAATCAAGTCTATGGACTTCTTGATTGTGACCTTAACTTCGCCCTGATCAGTGAATTTGATGGCGTTACCCACGAGATTGAGGATGATTTGTCTGAGACGGAATGGGTCTCCAACCACATAATCCGGGACCGAGTTGTCCACGTCGAAAGCCAGACACAAGGATTTTTCATTCGCTTTGACTGCCAGCGACTTGAGTGCATTGAAAACCGTCCCTCGGATCGTGTAGGGAATGGCTTCGATTGCCATGCGATTCGCTTCGATTTTTGAGATGTCGAGGATATCGTCAATGATGGTCAGCAGACTGTTGGCTAGGTTGTGCACCGTGTTGAGCATCTCTCGGGAATGCGGCTTAAGGTCATCTGTGTCGAGGGTGAGTTGAGTCATTCCGATGATTCCATTCATCGGGGTTCTGATCTCGTGGGACATGTTTGCAAGAAATTCGGACTTTGTTTGGTTGGCAAGTTCGGCAGCTTCTCGAGCGGCCGTGTTCCTTTGAATGCTGTCCCTTAGGTTGGAAATCATCTGGTTGATTTTGCGTTTCAACTCGTCCATCTCTCCGGATGCATTGACACTGATCAATTTTGAAAAGTCTCCTTCAGTTGCTGCATCTGTGATTTCTCCAAAGGCACGGACTTGAGCAGTAAGATTTTCGGCCATGGTGTTGACGTCCTCGGTGATCTCCTTCCACCGACCACTGACGTCGTGGACGTTGGCTTGGCCACCCATCTTCCCGTTGACGCCCACATCGCGAGCTACTCTTCTCACCTCGTGAGCAAAAGTGGCCAATCGGTCCACCATATTGTTGATTGTGACCTTCAATGTCAAAATTTCGCCCTGAGCCTGGACCTCAATCTTCTTGTCCAAATTCCCTGCCGCAATAGCTTGGGTCACGTCGGAAATGCTCCGCACCTGGTCTGTCAGGTTCGAAGCCATGGTGTTCACGTTGTCCGTCAAATCTCGCCATTTGCCCTGGACATTGTCCACTTTGGCTTGTCCACCAAGAGTGCCATCTGTGCCCACCTCCCTTGCGACTTTGCTGACCTCAAAAGCAAAAGTGTTCAATCGGTCGACCATCGAGTTAATCGTGATCTTGAGGTCAAGAATCTCCCCTTGGACGTCGGCTGTGACCTTTTTGGAAAGATCGCCATTGGCAACCGCGGTAGTGACTGCCGCGATCTCCCGCACCTGAGTCGTCAGATTCATGGCCATGCCGTTCACATTCTCCGTCAGGTCCTTCCACGTGCCCTCAACATCGTGCACCGTCGCTTGACCGCCCAAAACACCATTTGTTCCAACTTCCTTTGCCAGGTTGGTAACTTCTTGGGCAAATTGTTGTAGCTGGTCAACCATGTTGTTGATGGTGCTCTTGAGCAGGAGAATCTCGCCTTTGCAGCTGGCAGTCACTTTCCTCGTAAGGTCGCCTTTCGCGACTGCGGTAGTGACCATGGCGATGTCTCGCACCTGGGTAGTCAAGTTATCTGCCATAGCATTCACACTCTTGGTCAATTCATTCCAGGTACCCTGAACCCCGTCGATTTGAGCTTGTCCGCCAAGTACGCCTTCAGTGCCGACATCCCTGGCGACGCGGGTAACTTCAGTGGCAAACGTCCGTAGCTGGTCCACCATGGTATTGATTGTGTGTTGGAGTTCGAATATTTCTCCTTTTGCTCGACTCTGCACTTTCTGGCTTAAATCGCCGCGAGCGACTGCTTTAGTGACGGTGGCAATCTCTCTAACCTGGTCTGTCAGGTTTGCAGCCATGATATTCACTGTCCCAGAGTCAGTGGTGAAACACCCACAGTGCCATGATGGGAAAGCATACCGTTATCTGTCAACTCTTTCCAGATTCCATGCACCCCGCCGATGTGAGCTTGACCGCCCAAGATGCCTTCAGTACCGACCTCTCGTGCTACCCTGGTCACTTCACTTCCGAATATCTCGAGTTGGTCCATCATGGTGTTGATAGTGACCTTGAAGGCAGCAATTTCATCGTCCATTTCGGTGGCTTGGATCTGGACACGTTTGGACAAATCGCCGTTAGCAACCTGGGTTATGATCCCACCAATTTCCCGCAATGCCTTTTGGAAAGCCTCGTTAGCCTGTTGATGCTTCCGAAGTTCTCTCTCCAGCATCGAGACATCTTCGTTCTCCACTCTTATGAATGCTTGCTTGGCTTGCTCCTCAGAATGTCGTAGACCGAGACTGATCTCTGCAATTGTCTCGCGCTGGCTCTTGATCTGTTCAGCCTGTTTTTCCACGTGCTCCCGGAGAATGCTGATATCATCTTCGCTGACGGTACGACCAGATTCGGAAGGACCAAGAGGCTCCCTTGCAGCAAGAAGTGTATTGACGCGCCTTGATTGATTGGAGGTCACGTGCGTCCTTTCTGCAGCGGGCGCAGTCTGGTCATTGAATTGTTCTTCTGATGCATTCCGAGGCTCGCTAGGGCGAGATAACGGCGAGGTAGGACTCTGGAATTCACCAGGGGTATCCGGCAGCGAGTGACCAACGACATCGGCTCTCCCTTCGAGATAATGTATCCGCCGTGCCAGAGAAGCTATTTCAGCCTCCAGCTCCTTTTTCAACGGGTTGTCATCCCCCGGAAGTCGGTACGGGGGAAGCTTTAAGCCGTTGGCGTAGGAGGGATTCGCGGTCGAGCCTTTGGCCAGTCCACGTAAGATTGCGGCGGCCGCTGCCAATGTCTCGTCGGGGCGAGACATGGACGATGCTTGCGTCTCTACAAGATGTTCCTCCTCATGAGTAGCTGTGCGAAAAGGTTCGTGACAGGCGCGATCGAAGTGCCAGAGGGCTCGAGTCTTGGGCTGCGTCCAGCAGCGAAGGCAGAATGGCGGCAGAGCCACCTTGCCCGATGATAGGGACTCGCCTGGGAGGGAGATTCAATGAGGAGCTGGTTGTGAGATGAAGACTTGGTTCATCGGCGGCGCAGGCAGGCGTGCTGTAGATTGTGAAAGAGGGATGGTAATGCGATCAATTTCCCGGGGCTTGCTCTGGGCGATTGGGTGGCGTGGACGGCAGAGGTGGGATGGACATGCCAAACAGCGCTAGCCAGTGGTGGACGGTAAAAAGGTCGGGAGGTGTCGGTTACTAGGATGAGAAATAGAGTGCCAATAGGTTATAGGTGATGAATACTAATAGAGGCCGTTGGACGTGCGAGGAATCAGGAGGGCGACAGAAGCCAGAACAATAATGATAGGTAACGATGGAAAATTGCTGTCCCGTCCCGTGAAGGAGAAGGTTTGGTAGTAGAAGGCGAGGTTGAGGAGGAAGCGTTGGCAGGCAAGTTTAGGGTCAAGAGAGGTTTCTGCCCTGCCACTGGTACTATTTTATCCGTTGGCAGTTGGCAGCAAGGCGAGGAGGGTAGGGATGGGTACAGTAGCTAAAACTGGGCGAATGGCTTGATCCTCTCCTGAAAGATCGCCGGGGGCGACAAGACAATGCACTGTGCAGAGACGCCGTAGGCACTGCTACAGCTGTGCGTAGCGCACCATCACCGTCACCTTCGCCTTCAACACGTACCTACCAGGTAGGTAGGTGCTCCATATCCGTACAGAGGACTCAGGACAGCAACACCAGCTTTTGACCAGAGACAAAGACTTCCGGCACACACGCCGTTAGCCGGAGAGCTTAAGTGGACGGAGCCTTAACCTGACCAGTCGCTTGGAATGTCGAAGGGGGGCTCGTTTCGGGCGGCGGGGCGCGAGAAGTCAAAGACTAGCAGCCCTGGGAAAGCACCGGGAACGGGGCCAGTAGCAGACCTCGAGCTAAAGCCAAAGCCAGGTGGCGAAAGAACAAAGGGTGCCCGACAGACAGGTCACTGATCGAGGTCTTTCTTGCAGCTGGTAGTAATGACCGCCTTGAGTAGTGTCTATTGCCCGCATCGAAGAAGTAATAGGGGAAGGGTGTAGAGGGTACCTCAGGTAAGGTACCTTACCTTCCCTTTAGGTACCTAGGTATAGTATGTACCCAAGTAGAAACTTACCTTAGGTAGGTTCTAGGTAGGTAGGACCCATAGCCCACGCGTTCTGCTAGGCGCCCTAGTAGCCCAAGTTATTACCGATTTGCTGTAATTATACTTTGTAATAATAATTAGCCGGGTACTCTACGTGTAGCGTGCTGAGCCTCTAGTCCCCGCGATCTTGTAAAGTCAGATCCCTACCTAACCTACCTTATATACCTTAGGTACCTAAGGCACTCACTGGGTGTTCTTGTACAGAGTACGGAGTACTCGATATTTTGGCTTCCATCATCTAGCCACAGTGGTAATTAATTCCGTGTAGGCGCTCATTCAGACTAAGTGGTTGATAAGTCTAGAATGCCTACTCTCGAACCTGCCATTTGAGGATACAATTACTCTCTCCGCCACCTCACAGCGATTAGGAACTCGGTAGAGCTCGGCACCTTCCGCTTCACCTCCTGAGATGAAATATATGCTGTTTTCTTAGTATAATGACACTCGATCCTGTTATATAGCTCGTTTGATGAACCGGGGGCATATTCGCGTATCGAATAATATTCGAACAATGACGAGTGTTCCGGCAGTGTCTGTATGGTACTAATAAATATTCGGGGGCGGCTACGGAACGCTGACAGTCAACACCCTGCAACCCCTATAGAGTACATCCTTAAGGCCTTAGACCTGCATTCGCTGGTCCATATATCATAAGGTATTGGATAATGTTTCTGCCTCAAGCTCTTCATATTGTGTCTCGCACTTCAGCCTCTTACATCCCAGCCCCGATGGCCCTGTTAACTCACAGTTGCTACTTAAGTGTATCGTCAAAGCATCCATGTCGATTTCGAAACTCAAACCGTTGGTCCTTCATGTTTCAGATGGCAATCGCCCCGCTGAACGAAACGACAAGATCCCCTCTGTGATGTAATCTCTAGATGAGTGCTTGGAACGATCTATTACGTCTGTTATGTCATTAAGTGAGTTTTATGGGTGATAATACCTGGCAGCTGTGTGAGTCCTACATACAATACTGCCACTAGAGGCAGGGACGAGAGCCTCCAAATATGAAGATACTCCTGCCCCTCTCACCTACTCGTCTTTTCAGATATCAGCCTGTAGTCCTCCGCAACAAGTACCGCCTAATTAACATGACCGGGCATTAAATATCCAAATTCTTGTCATGAATGATTTCATAGTATCGTGGCCCTCATGACTAGGTAGTATCACCCATAGATAATATATACCTAGATACAAAACACAAGATCAAATGCTGAGTCCCTCAAGAGCCTGTAGGAAGCCTGCGATCGCACCTGCTCCCAGGAGTCCTTTGGTGGCTCCCTCGCGGAGATTTTGCTTTGTGCTTTTCTCGCGAGAATGTCTCTTATCGTCTTCGCTCCTGATGTAACTGCGTGCAGGTGTGCTGTGTTGCGACAAACGAGATGGCGATCGCCCGTGCTTACCATCCTGCGAGCCAGGGCGTGCGGCAGAGACCGTTGGATTTGGTGATGGCGGAATATACCTCGATTGCGCACCAGGTTGTGCACTGTACGGACTAAACTGGGCTGTCGGCTGGCCGGCATACCGGGGGAATCCAGCATGTTGTTGGGGTGTGTACGGATTCGGCGCGTTGGCGGTATGCACCGGTGGAAGGGGCAATGACAAACTGTGATGAATTGAAGTCTGGTCGGGAGTCGCCCACGGCCGGTGACCAGGTGGATGATAAGCAGGCGAGGACAATCGAGATGCTGTCGACTGACCTGACGTTACGGAGGGTGCTCGGTTACTTCTGCTCACACTGTTGGCGGTTATCCAAGCCGGGGGTTGAACGGGCGCGGTGTACGAGTGCGAGGCTGAGATGCCCTCATGCGCTGATATCTTCCGTTCGGTCGGTGGACTGCCGCTGCTGCGTCGTCTCGGCTTGGGTTGAAGTAGCTCGGGTTCAGACACCGACGACTCCGATTCCGATCCCATTTCGAACAGATGTCGTTTCGCGGTTCGTTTATTGGAGGCGTTGCCATTTGGCGAATTTTCGACGTCACTCTCAGCCGTGCTAACAGTGGGTTGGAAATTAGAGTATTGCTTTCGCCTCCTGAGGGCCTCTTGTCGAGCAGCGGCAGAATTTGGCCTCCTCCAATCCGTCGTTTTGCCCTCCAGATAATAGCCACGGGTGTTCTCCTCTTGATCCTCATATCGTTCGTGAAATGGCCGGTCTTCGTCATCTTCGTCAGCTTCATCGAGGTTCTGTACCGATGGCACAAATCGAACTCCTGAATCTCGATTATGTCTTCTTTCACGAACTTCCCTCCATTTGGTCCATCGTTCGAGCAGAGGATCAATCGCCTGGTCCGATACACGGATCATGTCTCTGGGAGAGCCTTTGATTTGATGTAGTGTGTGATCCAACTCGCCCAAAGAGTACACCGGAAGCCTCACCAGAGCAGACATAGGAGCGTATTCCGGAGGTGGAGCGTCAGCAGTCCATTGTAAGCTGTCCGACTCAACAAGGGAAAACTCGTGATCTTGTGGTGTACTGGTGCTGGCACTGGCGTTGGATGTTCTATCTTCCTCCTCTTCCTTGCGTGACGCCTCAAACAGCCTGTCCATGTTGTTCATCTGCCAATATCGAACGATCACGGCGTTCTGGGCCTCTGCCCGTTCTTGTCGAATAGCTTCAGTTTTTAGGGCAACTTCTTCGGGCGGGTCACTAAGACGCAGGTCAGCGCAATCTCACGACGAGGTCGAGCAAGGCAAACCTGCGGGATGTCGATGCCATAATTTTCCCCAATTCTATGACCTGAAGCATCAGGAAAAGGCTCAGCTTAAGGCTCTCGAGTTGCGCAAGCAGATATGTGACGCGGTGATGTCGAAAGCACCATCTGAACCTCTGCTGAATGGTAGGAGAGATATCGCCACTGATCTGCTTTGTGCGTAGACGATCCAGCATATCGTTTATTTCGTCAAACACTCGCGTGCTCTCTTCTGCGATCGACTTGGCGGTTTGGACAGCTTCGTTGGAATGGACAGAATCTGCAGCCTGGAGGGCAGTGCCGGTCTGTTTGAGAATCATGGAGAACAATGTGACGCTTTTCGAGATGCTGTGGACCAATCCGAGGCCATACTCCGGAACTTCGCAGCTGACTGCATTCAAGATGAAAGACAGTCTGAACCCTGCGCCTGCGACTCCGATGATCGAGGCAATGGGTCCTATGCCCAAAGAGTCAGACTTTGGTTGATCTTGCAAGAGAGTTTTCACAAACCTATGTCTGCCATTTTGGACGCATCTGGAGGACGATTGTCGGTTGAAAGAGAAGTAGAAACTCGAAGAGTGTATGGATACGTATAGTTGACGATGGACTGACGCACCTGGAGACAGAGATGACCCCACGAGCTTAGTGAAGGGAGAATGCGGCTGGTGGCCGCGGAGTAAAGATCAAGTTACATAGATTCAGAGCGGGGAGCGCAGCCACAAGTACGGTAGGTACGTACCTTACGGAGTACAGATACTACCTACTAGTTCTAGGCAAGGCGCAGGCAGCTCGAACATCTCCCATCTCCCATCTCCCATCTCCAATCTCCCATCAATGATCCCTGCCGATGATTAGGGTCTTCTCGGTCGGCATCACATTACGGAGTACGGAGTACTTATGGCATTGATGATTCTACTAAATTGGTCTTATGGGCGCTAGCAACGGTTTCAGTTGTGGACAACCTAGAGAACTACTAGTAACACTAAGCGGTGCCAAAAGAGTCGTGCTATTGTTCCCAGACATCGTAAACCCGGATACTACAGATAGTAGACACCTACCATGTCAACGGCGATACTGAGTCTCGGCCACAGAGGGAACATTTCGTTTGTTCATTTCGTTCGGCCTCTTCAGGGTAGAAACTTGGGACCAGGAGCTCTAAGTTGTTCTGTCTGTGTCGAGGCTGCACTGGTGACTCTTCGCGACTGCTCGAGGCTTGACAACTGGGTGAAGGAGCGCCACGCCTGAAGGCCCAAGGGCCTAATAGTACGAGCAAGGCCAGAGGAGTCGGACAGTTTGTGGAGCTTGTTGGAGCCCAACGGGCTGAACCCCTTGACCTAGACCCTCGCTTTGCTGAACCCTCTCCAGAATCTCAGCCGCTAGACTGATTCCTTTGTCGATCGTCTCTCCCTTCTTGCATCCCAACTGGCTTGTTGATCTTTTCCCTCTTGCACCACCTTCTGGCACCACCTCTTTACGCCTTGGGTAGTCCCTCCGTCTCTTTGCATTTCAAAGACCACTTCGCCAGCTTCCCCCCTTGTGCTGTGTAATCATCACGACTTACCGCGGCTGGAGCCTCCCACAACGCAGGTTCCTGTCTTATCGAAATCGCGAATTATTGGCCACCTCCCAGCCAAGTCCCTAGCTCTTACACCCTCGTCCACCCTCTCCTACCCTCACTTCTGCGCCTGAAGTGGTGCTGTCTACGACACGACCAACGGGTGAAGAAAGATCTACTCTCAGCAGAACAATCTCTATAAGCCCTTCGCACCGACGAATTCATCCCTGCGAGCCTTCTATCCCCCGCCTTCGCTCATCCAAAGCCCAGCCTCGGGCGTTGGCATGAACAGATGGAAAAACTGATGGAGGAGGGAGCAAGACGCAACACTCACTGAAGGCCTGCGATGTGAAGGAGCAGAAATCTGGTACCACCGCAGCCATGCGGATCTCCATCCGAGAGCAACTCGGACTGCTTGTCCTTTTCTGTTCTCTTGCTTCTCTGATGGTGCTTGCACTTGCCATGGTATGTCTCAATTGGACCAACACAGGATCTCGCACTGAGCTGTTTTGCAGTGGTTTCAAAACTATAATTTCATCATAAGCATAAGGTTGTCCTCCTGCAACTTCACGTCGGGCTTTGCTGATCGGCCTGCAGACTGTCCGGGCTCTCGTTGACAGCCTCGCTCAAGGCGGCACAATTGGCCAACACACTGCTTCTGTATACCTCGCAGGTTGAATCGGTCTCTACCCGGGTCCTGGTACAGAGTGCTCTGAGCAGGTACAATGCAGGTGCGAAGTCCCCGAAGGCTAGTACCTCTCTGTCAAGATTATGCTAACCCCGATTTCTGCCAAAGGCAACAAGACCGACGATAACTGGGTTCGATCACAGAGCGATCTCGAGGGGGCGTTGGCTAGTGGCTCACTCCTGGTGCAAGCGGCAATGTTTCCCAACGCCTTGAATGGAAACGAGACTGCCGCGAACGGACTGCTGAACGTTACTGCAGTCAATCTGGCGGGAACGGTGAAACTGCCATATGCCTACCCCAATGGCTCGGCAGTTTACCTTGGGGATCCCGGGTTGGGATACCCGCCTTCCCTCTATCCAAACCTTACCTATGGTCCTACGGTACCCGGGACCAATTACTCGGTTGTGTCTTACAACGGCCGCACGGTCGAGCCCGGCAAGCCGCTGTTCCTGGGACCTTTGATCGTAAACGAGTCGTATTCTCTATTGTCGGTCACCGTGCCAATGATCAACAATACCTCGCGCTCTGATATCCTTGGTTGGCTGACGATACTAGTCAACATGGACATGATTTACACCATACAGAACTCTCCGGAAGGGTTAGGCGATTCCGGGGAAACTCTCCTCATCGGTGCCGCCACTGCTGACAACGTCTTCAATCGAGAAATCAGGGGTGCCACGCCGACTGACGCTGAACCGCAACTTGTTCGATTTGTTCTCCCGCCGCACAGCAATTCCACACTTCAAGGGCGCCATAAAGCTCGGAGCACGATCGCCAATTCCACCCTCCCATTCACTATAGCGTCCTATCCCGCCGTGCTGGCAGCCTGGACAAAACACAACCATGCCATCAATAACGCTGGTGCCTTTATCTCTACGCATAACGAGGACGGCACTCAAGTTTCTGCCGGATACGCCGTCGTATCTACCAGCTTTGTCGATTGGGTTTTGGTGGTGGAGGAGTCGCACAAGGAGGTCATTGCCCCCATCAATCACCTGCGCGATGTCGTCCTCATCTGCGTTTTCTCCGTGATGGGCCTTCTTCTCGTCGTCATGTTGCCCATAGCCCATTACTCTGTCACACCAATTCGGCAATTGCGCGCTGCGACCGCGAAAACGGTGGAACCTTATCAACATGATGATACGAGCGAATATTCCAGTTCCATGGGAAATCGCGCCCTGCAGGAAGGAGAGGGTACCCCCGACCAAATCGACCACGCAGAGGCTCAGAAAGAAGGATTCTTCAGTATACTGCCTAAAATCACCAGATCCATACAACTCGAGCGCTCCACGACCCCGAGAAACGCGCGTCGGAGAACTTTCCGAATACCTCGCAAAGTTCCAGAACGCCGGCACTGCATTACCGACGAATTGACCGAGTTGACGCGAACTTTCAATGAAATGTCCGATGAGTTGGCTATGCAATATGAGCGTCTCGAAGAGCGAGTCAAGGAGCGAACAGCAGAACTCGAGACAAGCAAAAAGGCCGCAGAATCAGCAAACCAGAGCAAGACACTCTTCATCGCTAATATATCACACGAGCTCAAAACCCCGCTAAACGGCATCCTTGGCCTGACCACGGTTTGCATGAATGAGAATGATCTTGGAAGGATTCGCTCCACGCTGAGTACAATTTACAAATCTGGTGATTTGCTCCTCCACCTGCTCACCGATCTACTCACGTTCAGCAAAAACGAAGTCGGACAGCAGTTGTCCATCGATGAGGCTGAATTCAGGTTGAGTGATCTGAGCGCGCAACTACTGCCGACTTTCGAGAAACAGGCCCGGGAGGCACAGGTTGATCTCAAGGTTGTATTCCTGGGATCAAGTGATGCCTTCGGGGACAGTTCTGAGAATGCCGGCGAGAAATTGTACGGACCTGTTGGTACAGGACGAGTCAGAGACATGTGCTTGTGGGGGGATAAGAATCGTATTCTGCAGGTGATATTGATCCCATGGCCCCAAGTCTTCCTGATATGCTTACATTTTGTAGGTCTTGATGAATTTCGTGAGCAACAGTCTCAAATTTACACCCGCCCACGGCTCAGTTACAGTGTCCGTTCGCTGCACTGGCCTGCAGGAGCACTACCACAGCAGGGCTGGCAGTACACGGAAATCATCGTTGACATCCCGGAAATCAAATAACAAGAGAGTACGAATGTCGGACGGCTCTCTCAACCTGCCTGACACTGCGGACCACGACAAGACTCGATCCAACTCTCCCCATGAAGACTCAAAGCTTAGCATCCATGTCGCTGGCGGCACCACACACATTCACAAAGTCGCGGAGCGACAAAGGTCGATGTCACCGCCCCCGATGAACACGAAGGACCTGATATTTGAGTTTGAGGTTGAAGACACAGGCCCTGGAATCCCACCTGAGCAGCAAAAGATGATCTTCGAACCATTTGTACAAGGTGATCTTGGACTAAGCAAGAAGTACGGCGGCACTGGACTGGGGTTGAGCATATGCGCGCAGCTGGCAGCTCTGATGGGCGGCGACATCTCCCTGGACAGCAAAGTCGGAGTAGGCAGCAAGTTTGCAATGCGGATCCCTCTCCGTTACGTGTGCGAACGCAGCCCGTCAACGTCATCCTCGACGCATAGGCCACAATCCAAATCCAGCAGCTTTGTGGGCCAAACACTGCATGACACTGTCGATCAAACTCCCTTGAACCATACCGGCTCAACGGCATCCTTGGGGTCACGAGACGACGCAGCTGAGGAGTCCAAACTCGCTGATGTACCGAGGATAGTAGGCTTCACCCAACCGTACGTGGCGAAGGAGACCAAGAAAAGCGACACTTCCGAGGCAAAGCTGGATGAAATGAAGAAAGTGGAGAGCGAGGCCGCACGGAAAGGCAGAAAAGTTCGCGTCCTCGTAGCTGAAGACAATAAAGTCAATCAGGAAGTTGTCCTCCGTATGCTGCGGTTGGAGGATGTCTATGGTGAGTCTCTCAGCTCAGCTCCGATGCATTCCTAACAAGAACAGATGTAACTATTGCGAAAGATGGTCAAGAGGCATTCGAGAAAGTCCGCGAGTCGATGGTGAGCGGCGAACGATTCGATCTTGTCTTTATGGACGTTCAGATGCCGAACCTGGACGGCATTCAGTCGACCCGACTCATCCGAGAGATGGGGTTCTCTGCACCCATAGTGGCCCTCACTGCATTCGCTGAGAAATCCAACGAGGACGAATGCATGGCTTCCGGTATGGATTACTTCCTGGCCAAACCGATCAGGAGGCCGGCTCTCAAACAAGTCTTGAAGAAATACTGCGCAACTATCCCTGAAGAGGAGAATGAAGGTGGCGTAACTGCTCCAACTCGACATCAAGATAGCTCGTCAGCACACCAGGCAAACGGCCACGCCCCTCCTTCGATGCAGCAAGGCAAACCTTCTAATATAGTGGTACCTGACTCGGACGATGTTTCACCTTTGTCCTGACGGTTCAGGATCATGTAACTGGGTTGAGCAACTGCGAGCTGTTGCTTTCCCGTGGCGATGGGGTTCGCCCAAAAACGACGAAATTGTACGAGGTCTTGTGGCTAAAAGGGATAAAGTAGGGATTTGGGTTTGATATATACGGGTGGCCCTACAGTGGAGCGGCAGTTCAAAACGGGATCGGGAATTTGGGTTGGCCTTAGACGCCCCAGGCAGGACAGCGCTGGCGTAAGGCGAAATATATGTTTTGGAGCATGATTTGCCAGGTCATTTGGCTGAGGCTCGGTGATGAACTTGGACACACAGGCCACAGGTTATAGACCATTCCTGATGGCTCATGATTTATTTACCAAGAGACCAAAAACAGTGTGCAAGATGTCTTCCACTGTTAAAAGGAACTTGCCGTCGTTTGGTGGCGGTGGACTAAAAGGCGGCAAACATATCAGGTCTGCATGAAAGTTGATGTGTGTTATTCCTCGCACCCTCCGAGACGAACCCTTCATAACATACGGAAGAATAATTTTACGTTGACTTTAAGGTACTTGTGACTACCTACTTGACATGTCCGATCGGGTCTTACATGACATCAACACTCCGCCCGAGCGATCGGCTGACTCCTGTGTGTCAACAGCGACAGGTTCACTTCAGCTCGCTTCCTGCGTGAGTTGCAGTCCCTTCATGTGAGAGAGCTGTCCTTCGAGATCTCAACAGCTAGGCTGAAAACTTGTTCTGTTCCTGCGTTCGGTACCTACATAATGACAACGGCTCCCAAACGCAAAGCAGACGTATCCTTCCTTACTTCCGAGAGAAAGAGGCTGCATGATATGCTTCCGGGTTCTACAAGTCCCACGAACGAAACCAAGTATGATGTCCTCCTCCGCAAATACTACCCGCTGGAGATCACAAACCGCCGGGCGAACGAGTATAGCTCCGGCTATCGTGAGCGCCCAATTGAGGCACTGGAAAGAGCTCTTCTGGAGACTCAAGCTCAGCGGGACAGGGTGTCCGCGGCCGAGTCTGTCGTCCACTGGTTCAAGTGCGACATACGAATTACGGACAACAAAGGGCTCTATCTTGCAAGCGCAGAGGCGGAAAAACACAGAATCCCATTGATCTGCATGTACCTTATCTCTCCCCAAGACTTTGAGGCTCACCTTACGGCTCCGGTTCGCGTTGATTTTATCCTGCGCAACCTCCGAGTGCTGAAGCACGACCTCGCCCAGTTGAAAATCCCATTGCACGTTGAAGTGGTCGACAAAAGGAGGAGTATTCCGTCAAGGCTGATGGAGTTGTGCAACATCTGGGGAGCAAAGCATGTATTCTGCAACATTGAATATGAAGTGGACGAACTCAGGAGGGAGACAGCCTTGGTAAGGGCATGTTCGGGTCAAGGGATATCTTTCAGTGCCATCGCGGACAGATGTGTGGTAGAACCGGGAAGATTGACAAATAGCTCCGGTGCTCCTCTACGTGTCTATAGTCCCTGGCATAGGAGATGGTGCGCATACCTCAATCAGCATCCGAGTGAATTGGACCCCTTCCCAGTTCCCAAAATGAATCCGGCCAACACCGGTGACACATATCCCGATCTGTTTCGATGCGAAATTCCACAAGCGCCTCGTTCGAAATGGTTGTCTGAACAGGACAGAGCGAAATTCAGTGTCATGTGGCCAGCTGGAGAACACGAGGCTCGAGACAGACTGTCCAGGTTCCTCCAGGAAAGAGCTGATGAGTATCAAAACGCAAGAAACATTCCCTCGGCCAACGGCACATCTGTTCTGAGCCCTCACCTGGCAGCTGGTACCCTGGCAGCACGCACGGTTGTCCGTGAAGCACGTGAAGCTTCTCCAAACCAGAAACTCACCGACGACCGCAAACAAGGCCACTCGAGGTGGATTGGAGAGCTGGCTTTTAGGGATTTTTATACATCGATCCTCTGCTACTGGCCTTACATCTGGTAGGTCTCGCCTTATCATTCGAGAACGCGAGCTGAACGCGGCCGCAGCATGAACAAACCATTGAAGCTAGAGTACAGCAATATCGAATGGGAAGACAACATGGATCACTTTAAGAAGTGGACGGATGGAAGGACGGGGTTTCCGATTGTCGACGCGGCGATGCGTCAACTGGCTCATACAGGGTACATGCACAATAGGTGTCGCATGATGGCGGCATCGTTCCTGGCCAAAGACCTCCTTATCGATTGGCGTATGGGTGAGAAATGGTTCATGGAGCATCTTATCGACGGGGATTTTGCCTCGAACAACGGTGGATGGGGATTTTCAGCCAGTTGCGGTGCCGACCCACAGCCGTATTTTCGAATCTTCAACCCCTTGCTTCAAAGCGACAAGTTCGATGCGCAGGGCGATTATATCCGCAAGTGGGTGCCCGAACTGGCGGATATCCAAGACAGGAAAGGGATCCATGACCCCTACGGTCAGGGTTATGCGAGGGTGGCAGAGACCAACGGATATCCGAAGCCCATGGTCGACCACCAGCAGTCTCGAGAGAGAGCTCTACTACGATATAAAGCAGGGCTGGGGAGGTCCACGGCATAAACAATAATGAGATGCCCGGCAAAGGTCGTTCGTTGTTGGCAAGGGCAAGGGCAAGGGCAAGGGCAAGGGGGAAGCTGACGAATCGATGTGTCTGTGAGTCTGTTTCGTCGCTTAGCGGGAAGCCTAAGGCTTTGGGAAGCCTAGGGAACCAAGTGGGTTTTGCCCGAACCAAGCCTTGGGAGCCGCGCAGCCGTAAAGCTTAACCCTCCTGACCCCGAGTCTTGGAGCCTATACCTAGGTAAGGTAAGCCACATAGGCGCCGCACAGTGGCTAGGGCACCGGCACCCGGGCACCCCACTATGGCACCGATAAGGGAACCCGGCCCCTTCATCAGTGGCACAAGCAAATCCTGCGTACTGTAGGAATGTACGTGTACGGTTGTGTCGGGCTGATTATAAAGAAATCCGATTGTCTGTGACATGGGAATCAGGACCGCAACAAGCAGAAGCACAGAGCCTGGGTAGCCCCAGCCCCAGCCCCAGCCTAGAGACCGGGTGCATGGCATGCAGGTTTGGGCTGGGCACACGACAGTCTTACGCGGCTCGCACAACTAGCCAGCCGGTGTGATACGTAGCCCGCGAGTGACACCGCCCATACGCAATCTACCGCTCTGTGCTGCGGGAACAGGTGCCAGGTGGTGAAGGGGTCGGTAGATTGAGACTGGATCTGTGGTTTGTACGCGTATGCTTTCCAATGGAGCACGAGGTGCCGAACCAGATGTCTGTTGACGGTGAATATTCTACAGCAGGGTACAGGGTACATATAGTGGACGTCCTTGCCATCATCACCGTATTATCGTCACCATCATCCCCATCCCCCTGAAGTGCCTGATTCTTCACCCAGTGCTAGGTATCTGTATCTAGGGACGGAGGACGGAGTACCTTGGAACTTCTCCCCTGCAAGCCTACAAACCTAGAGCGGGAGAGCCGGGCGCCGTCGTCATCACCAATTTGGAGGGTTCTCCAATTTGCTGGCCGTCAAAGTTGCTGAGCTCCGCCACCACTTCTCATCCACGGACTACTGTCACAGCACACATCCTGGCCTGCAGGGTCGTCGGGAGGCTCCGCCGACTTCCACGCAGCTCAACAGCCCATTCTACCAGCGCTGTGAGCTGGTGTCCCTGTTGACCAGGGACCGTCTTTGCGAGCACTGTGTTCTTTGTCTCTCCCAGCGTTACTATTAATACCTCCGTCCTTCATCGCGGCTGATCCGGAGCGCTTTCACTCGTGGAGCACACGACCACTTGCCGGTTTCGCAATCGACCATCGTCTATTCATTTCCTGCCGGCATTAGGCTGCTTCGTAACCTTGCTGGCGAGGAGAAAGCATCCGGCCGAGTCAGACCCGATCGACTGTCGATATCCTCTTCACCGACATGTCCTACCAGAGCCCTGAGAAATGACCCTTCACACAGCGGCGAGGACCTGCCTGGCGATCCTCCTCCTCATCCTCCCCGTGTGCAGGCACACTGCCTTCGTGCGTGGCGATGCCGACTTCTTGGACGTCCGCACCAGCCTGAATCGTGATCGAAGTGGAAAAGGAGGAGATCCCAAAGACAAATACTTTCACGAGTCGACGTTTCATCCTCACTACGATGGCCGATTTGCGGCGGCCCAGATCGGCAAGGAAGAGCGGCTTCCACATCTCACCGCTCTCATGCAGACTTTTCTGGCCACCATGGCTGACATTGGCGCCGAGACCTGGATCATGCACGGGTCCTTGTTGGGTTGGTGGTGGAATCAAAAGATCCTGCCATGGGATTCGGACATTGACGTCCAGGTGTCTGAAACCACCATCGCTTTCCTGGCAAAATACTACAACATGACTGAATACCATTTCAGACTCCCTGGGGTCGAGAATGGCCGGACGTACCTAATGGAAGTGAACCCACATTACACAATTCGTGGAGTGGAGGACAAGCTCAACGTTATCGATGCAAGATGGATTGACACGGAGACCGGCCTTTTCATTGACATCTCGACTGTACGAGCGAACTACACCGCAAGGGCAGAGGGGGTTCAAGGCGCCTTAATGTGCAAGGACAAGCACAAATACCTGGTATGCATGCCGCCATTGGCCGTCGGTGCGCAGATGCTTACTTCTGAGACAGGAACAGGACATATTTCCACTCCGAGATAGCTTCTTTGAAGGCATTCATGTAAAGATACCATTTGAATATGCTACATTGCTCGAGGAGGAATATGGAAAGAAGGCCCTGACACTCACTACTTTCGAGCAGTGAGTACTCTCAACCATGTATGCGCTTAGTCCCAAAGCTGATATCGTCTGCAGGCACAAGTTTAACCACACAAGTAAACTTTGGGAGCCCATACTGACCTCAGTCCCGCCACGCCGGAAGCGACCCAACCGACCCTTTCGAAAGCCACCAACATTTAACCCTTCCTGAGTGAATTTCAACGGCAGAAGCTGTCATCTTGGCATAGCGGTGGAGTTTGGTTCTTATGGCCCTGCATCTATGGGAAAACATGGTCAAGCCAAAGGCAGTCTACACTTGAAAGAGGAACGTCGCCTTGAGCTTAGCAACCAACAGTCTCTCACTTTGTTAGTTGGGACGTACGATCTACGATCGTTTGCCTGCTCCGGAACGTGAGCAATACTTGTACACCTTTTCGATTAATTGGCGTGGATTGTCTTCACTTGTGATGCTGGTTTTCAGGAGATTCGGTGCCTGCGATCAAAGAGGAATCTCGAAGCAATGTCCGGCTCAGAGCTTGCTGGAGATCTCGAGGAGACATGAACAGTGGCAGCAAATAGCTAAAATTGAGGCTGAAATCGACATATGAACAACGAGATCGTGGCAAACGACAAGTTCAAGTCTGCAAAAATCTCCTCGTGCAAATAAAGCATTGGAAGAGCTATTGGCCAGACTTTGGCCAGGCTCTGGCCCTTCTGATTGGAAAATGCCATATTCGATTCCAGTATTCTTGTTCTATACCTGTCTGTAGTTGCTGATGGTGGCGCAAAGAAAGCTGCCCATCACCAGTTCAGTAGTAACTTGTACCACCAACGCCCAGGCCACTCCTCGTCGCCCCAAGATCGCTACTGTATCTCCTCGCTCCAGCAGGAATGACCCCGGATCCCATTCCAATGGGGCTTACAACTCGATGGAGATCGAGGCTGTGGCGCCGAGGCGGACGGAGTGAAGCCCTGGAATTCGCCCGTGTCAACAGCCCTGATTCGGATGGATCCTCATCGTCTACGGAAACGTCATCACCGAGAGCGGCTCCCGAAGAATGCCTTGAGTGAGTTTCCGAAGGAGAGACGGCTGACGTCTTTGCATCACCATCTTCCTCGTCTTCCAATTCCTCCTCATCTTCATCATCCTGACCGCTACTGAAGCCCTCCATTTCGACCAAGGACCAGACCGGAACAGCCCCGACAACGGCGACCAGTGCCAAGGTCCACCAAGAAATGACCACGTAGCCTATGTCTACTCCGGCAGTGAAGGTGCCACCTGCCAGGGCAGGTCCAGCTGCTCGGCCCACAGCCGAGATACTGGTGGCTACGCCGTTCAACGTGCCCAGGACTTTCAGAGTGGCGGCGCTGTTGGTGAGGAGGATGGTCGAACAGGGAAATGCAAAGATACCACAAAACCCCTTGACAAGCATCAACAGCATCATGACTCCTTGTCTGGCAGAGTCGGTCGGAAGTAGTGCGGTGAAGGGGGTCGCAATGTACACCAATGGGAACGTCAAAGTGCAGGCCTTCAGGCAATTCAAAACGCCGAATCTCCTCGCAAATGTCGGAAAGATGAAAAACTGGACGAGCATACCGAATACTCCGTATGCGGTGAAAAGCAGACCAATCCTGCTGGAATCAATCCCAAATCCACCGGCGAATTTGAGCGGGAGATGCACGTTTGGATCCCGAATGGACTGTACTGGATAGTGCATGAAGATCGACAGCAACTGGTCAAACGCCACAGAGTGCATTGCGAGAAACGTGTACACAGCCAGATTGATGTTTGACTGCCTCGAGAAAACCTCCGCCCAGCCGGGGTTCTTTTTAGGAGGCTTGGCCACAAAACCTATGCCAGGCGAGGACATCTCGCTTGACGTGCCGCCCAGAAAGGGATCGGTCTCGTCGGTCGAGAACGCCCGAGGCCGTTGCCTTTTTCCGGTGCATGGCGCGGTGAGCAGGCTGCCGAGAAGTAGTCCGTAATCTCGTCGGGATTTCTTCTCCTCGAGGGTTTCACGCAGAAACAGAAACCCTGCAGAAATGCCACAGAGGAAAATCAGGCTGATGAGTAGATTTGGGAGAGCAAATGGATGATCCCGGAAGAACTTGATTTTGCCAAAGACATTGGGATATCGGTCGGCAGGGCGGACGAGGGAACCACCGAACGAGGGCCCGAAAATGCTTCCAATGTTCCAGACCAGCGGCATGATGCTAAATGCCAGAGGCTGCAACTCTCTTTGTGGTACCATTTCCGCCACCGCTGTTCTTATGATCCCAACGTTCCCGTTCGACAAGCCTTGCATCGACCGCGTGATGAAAGCCCATTGCAGATTTTTAGAGAGACCGAACAGGATGCTGGACACCATCGTGCAGGTCAAGGCGAGGAGTATCATGGGTTTGCGGCCGAAGCGATCCGAGGCCCTGCCCCATGCGATGCCAGTCAAACACTGAGAAAGTGAAAACGCAGCCGACATGAGTCCTGCCCATCGAGCAACCTTGTCGTTCGGGATGTGGAAGGATTGTATCATCTCAGGCTGCGAACAGTCAGCAGGGGAGTACACGGTGGGCAAGGACCACCGGAGTCCTACTCACGATGTAGGGATAAACCGAAGTCATCGCCACAGGCTCTGCGAAGCGGCATATTGCAAGGATGAGCAGCTGCTGTTTGGGCAGCTGGCGTGCTTGCTTTTCTTGCCTGGCCATGGCTTGTGATGTCAAGACAGCACGATAGAGCCATGGAAGTCAACGTGCGCAGTCTCGATAGCGTGGAATATGGTGGACGAACGGGTTGAGGAAAGAATGGCATCGGTGAGCCATCAAAGGGCGGGAGCAGTTTTGATCGGTTTCGGTTCACCCCAGAAAGAGGGGACCCTGGTTGGAGAAATCCGCCTCTAGATAAGCTTTCGGCTCTGACCATGCGAGCCAGCAGAACCACCACAGAATGGTGACATACATAATCGTGTTAGGACGGGAAGAAGTAAAAGGCCACGTGCTTGATGGCCTTTGGACTTGTACTTGTACTGGCGAAAGCAAGATTCGTATGTACGACCTGCAGTGGTATACTAGTACGTAGAAACCTCTCGGTGCCCCTCAGGGTCGTGGAATCTTGACATCACCCCAGCAGTTCTGTGGCCGCACCCAACCTTTCTCTAATGATATGCTCCCATCGCTCCGCATTCGTTATGTTTCTGTCCTCAAAGCTCTCGACAAGACCAGGATATGTGGCTCCGGCATAGCCTGTCCACCGCCCTGGGGCAAAGACGACGTGTTTGAACCAAGGCCTGTTGTCGAGTCCGCCAGGGAAGAGAAACTGCCGTTCCAAAATCTTGTATTTTTCATTCACCTTACGCACCTCATAAAAGAGTTTGACCTTTTTCCACCATTGCCACCATGGTACTTGCTTGGTAAGCCGCTGGGCCAACCTAGCCGTATATTTGTCAAAGCTGGCCGCCGATTTTCGAAACTTGGTGGTAGCTTTGTCTAGCTCACGAAAGCTGAAGCTCGACATGATCGGATATTCCTTTGCTCCTGACTTGACGTCCTCCAGGTACCTTGACAAGCCGTTTGCATAATCGCTCGCGCTCAAGTATAAAATCGGCGTTTCCGAAAGTTGGGCGGCGAGCAGCCCCCATACCTTGGCAATTGCGACATGGTAGTGCCATCCTTTGTCGCCGTAGTCGTCCATCCAATGGAAACTGTCATAGTTGGAGTGGTAATGATAAACTGCATCGTTTCGACCACTACCGAAGCCGAGATCCAAGGACGGAATACCGGCAAAGTCCTGGAATGCCGTGAAATCGCTCCCGGAGCCCATAGTTCGGATTCGACCGTCCCAAACGTCGCCGACGGACTGCCCTTTCGTGGTCTGGTTGGGTGATGGGACTGCATCGGTGACGTTGTAGATGAGCCTGTTGAGAAGGGGAGATGCCGCAGCCTCAAAGTGCTTCCCGCGGGCGCCAACATCAACGTTGAGATAAGCCACCGCACTGGCGGACAACCAGGGAAGAAACTCTTCAACCCACTCAGTCGACCCTACCAGACCGTACTCTTCGCCGTCCCAGCTGGCAAAGACGATAGTGCGGAGTGGCTTCCAGCCGGCCTCGAGAGCTTGCCCAATGGAGCGGATGACCTCGTTGAGCGCCGCCGAGCCTGAATTTGGATCTCCCGCACCTCCTGCGATCCATGCATCTCGGTGATTACCCAACACGACAACCTCATCGGGTATGGTCCCATTGACGACGCCAATCACGTTCCACAGGGGCGTTGTCACATAATCTTGTTCGTTCACCAGGTTCAGGACGACAGAGTCGGGAGAGGGTCCAATATTGTAATTCACACCCTTGTAGGCGAGTCCCCCTCCCTGCCAATGTTCATCAAAAGATGTCGCGTTGGGACCGTGGCCATTGAGCGCCTTGAGGAGGGGAAGAGCGTCAGTGTAAGAAATGGGAAGCGAGGGGATCTGAGGCGTAGACCCATGGGGGTCTACTCGAGGTACTCCCGGCTTGGAGGGATACCCAGGAGTCGTTGGATCCCCAGGGAGAGTGCCTGCGACACCTATTAGCTCCAAGTAGCTCCTGATTTCTCGTGGAACATACTTATGTATTGTGTACTGCCTCGCTGGACACTGCTTGGATTCCTCGCGGGTCCTTCGGGGTAGGGTTTGTACCCGTTCTCCTCTGTGATCTCGCCGTCCTCCTGCGGATCCGAGTACATGACCACCCCGACCATGCCCAGCTCTTGGGCGCGCTTGACTTTCAGACCGCGGAAGATCCGTCCATATTTTGCAAATGCAATCTTCCCCTTCAAGGTTATGTTGGCAGCCTGTAAATCTTCGAAATCTTGATAGGTGCCAAAGTTGACATAGACGTACGGTGCAGTGACGTTGCCGCTTGCAGAATAGCCATGGAAGGTTGGAACCCGGTCTTTCAATGATGTTGTTGGATCGTCCTCGATGACATCCTCTTCCAAGCTGCATTCATACTTCAGGTTCCCTTCTTTGAAGAGGGCCAACCGGTGCGAAATGGGATAGTTGATGTAGACGTCATATGCGACAATTTCAGACTTGACTCCAAACTCTTCCCATCTCTCGCGTGTCCACACGGCCTGGCTAAGGTTCTTGCCCGCAAGGTGGGGGCCGGCGGTGTAGTATTCACTCCACGAACGTATCTGGTCCATATTTGGCGTCGTCGATAAGATATCTCGGAGTTCTTCAAAGGTGATGCCGCTACTGTGCGGCCATGAACTGGGAAAGGGCCGAGACCAGGGAAGGTAAGAGGACAGGGAGCCGTGGCCTCGAGGCAGGATCGCGAATGGGACGAGAAAGCATATCACGATTGCGATGAGGCTGCTTCCTAGGGCGATGGTGCAGAATCGGCGGAAAGTCGAGTGACGATACCCATGGCGGGGTCGAGTCACGGGGACAGTCGATATGAGAGGTGTACGCTCGTCCATAGTGATTTCATGCCGGTCAAAGGAGCAGGAGGCAATCGTTGTGAGCCGAATGCTTTCCTTTTGCCTTGCCAAAGCCTCAGTCTTGTTAGTATAACGCCATCAAAAGGCCGGATGGTGATGACGTGGTGTTTGCCGCATTGACGCGCGAGGAAAGTAATCCGACCTCCAACCGGCGATGTACGAGATTCCGCGCACTCAGCCAATCGTCTACTGTTCTCTATCGTCAGAGTCCCGGTGGTGCAGCTCTTCAAGAGTGGAAATTCTTCTTCTGCCTATTCCTACATGTAGCTTGCGTCGCTGAGATCTCTGATCGTCGAACGCTCCGGATCACGCCAACTACCTGGTACACGTACTGCCGGAAGATCTCTTGAACGAGAACAACCCCTGTAACGTGCGCACTCCCACGCTATCACCAGTTATTTTGCCCAGGGCAGAAATTCAGACCCCCGTATTGGCGTACAAGTCCTTTCGAAATTCGACTGCAAGAGCCATTGAGTCTGGATCCCCAGGAGGCAAAAGCTGAGATGCGTACATGCCACAGTTGCCGGCTGCCGGATCAATCCACTGGTCATGTTAGCTGACGCTCGGCAAACAACAGGGAGCGGGTAGAAAACCCACCCAAAAAAGATTTGGAAGGCCGCTCCAAGACATGCTGCCCTTCTTGCACACGCCATCTACATCCTCCATGTTCAAGATCCCTCCCAGCCCAAAGTTCCAGGCTTTGCTGTCGACACCTCCTCTGTACATCGCCCCTTCCAGGGGGGTCACCTTGGCGAGCAATTGCTGGTCGTCCGAGAGTTGTGGAGTGAACATGGTCTTGACAGTTTCAGGCTTGAGGAGTGTCCCGTCATTTTTGAGAAGTGAGAGCAGAACTTTGATATAGTCGTTTGGAGAGCTGTAAAGGCCGCCTCCTCCGCGATCTTCCTTGGGATTCTGTTGCGGAAACGGCTCAGCCGAGACGAGCGTGCCCGTGGGAGATCTCGCTGATGTTGCGCAGAGCCGGCTTCGGATGCCCTCATCTTCTGCAAGGCGAAAGCCGGTCGAACTCATCCCAAGGGGCGACCAGATGTGCTTCTTCATGTACTCGCCAAGACGAATGCCTCCGTTCACACGTTCAACAATTTTTCCGGCCCAGTCAATGCTACAGCTATATTCCCAGCCTTCCCCGGGTTCGAATAGAAGCGGCGTCGGCTGCAGTGTCGTCTGGGCCCACGATATAAGCATCTGAACCAGCTGGAGAATTGTCTTCACTCACAACATCACCATCAGCGGGTGTTTTTTGCTGCTCTCGCCATTCTCTCCATCTTTTGAGTTCGGGTGAGATAAAATCGTATCCCATACCGCTTGTATGTGTCAACAATTGGCGCAGTGTGATATTCCTCTTGGCGTCTGAGAATTGAGGTGCCCCCGTTGAGTCGTCGAAGCCAGTTAAGATCGTGGGACTCTTCCATTCGGGCAGAATGGCCGAGACGTTGTCATCAAGGTCTAACTGGCCCCTTTCAACATTTTGCAATACTGCAATGGTTGTAAGAAGCTTCGTACACGATGCAATATAAAATGTTGTATCCGGAGTTATTGGCCTTGCCGTCTCAGGCACCATGGAGGTGTATCCCTTTGCTTCGAGATGCAATAACTTTCCTGGACATCGGGTTAGCTATCTGCGAGAGTTCTCCATCTAAGCGGCATACCCTCTGCGTTGGCAGCAATCACAACCGCCCCTGGTATCTTCTGATCCGGACCAGGTGTGGTTGCTGCCTCCAGTTGCTCGCTGAATGTCATTTTCGATCGGAGGAGTACAGGGGAAGTAACGACGTCACTACACCTTCGTAATTCTTTGCTAAGGTGCCGACTAAGTGCCAATAGCCCTCTTAACAGGTTGTAGTCACGGATAGGGAAGATGTGATTGTACGGAGGACTTTTCATATTTCAACGGGGCCCGGGGGCTCGTCAGACTATATACTTACCTTAGGCGCTTAGTACGAAGTATGTAGGTCAGGTACGACGCGCCTCGTCAGCGTGTCGAAGCACCTCGACGTCTTTACAAGCCTTGACAAGGCATTAGAGCGCTTGCTGTCACAATACGGAGTATTGCAGTCGTAATGAAGGCTGTAGGCGGCGGTCACCTTAGGTGAGGCCCTAAAGACCACTTAGCACCACCCTAACTTGTATGAGAGCTCTGTTTATTGCCGCTCCTTTAAGGCTAAGGAGCTTAGGGCTTATGCTTGAGGCCACTTCTACATAGCCAAACTAGCACGTGCTTGTTGACCCCAGCTTACCTAAGAAGCATATTGTGCATCCGTACTCCATCTTTGTACGGAGAACTCCGTATATCGTTGTTTATTGGCTTTCCTGAGGGCCCGTTCCACTTCCTTATTGCGCGCTTGCAAAAGCTTGAATGTGCTTGGTGTTGGGAGATGTCTAGCGGGAAGGTGGCCGTGGTGCCACATGCTACAGTTACGGCCTCCTTCTAGGGCCCCATTCAAGTCAAGGCTCTAGCAAAACTTGTTAGCAGCTAATCGGCATCTCAATTCTATGACTCATACCGGTTGAAGACTAGGTCTCTGAGGACCTGACTTGGATAAATCGGTTCCGCTTCCATTCACCAACTAATGTGCTATCTAATATTGATGTACCTCTCAGAAATATTCGACGACAAAAGAGAGCCGAACAGAGCCTCAAGACAGGAATCGACCGCGATGCATCTCTTCCAATGAGGAGAAGCAGGTAACAAATCTGCATGTGTTACCTGATGTTTATAAGGTCATCAACCCTGACAGTCTGGCCGGTGTTCATGGACTTGTTGGCAGCGATGCCAGTCAGAATGGAAAGGGCACCATCGATATGGGATGCAGCTCGATTGAACGGGTCGGGCTCCGGCGTCCCGAAAATGTCATTGTGCAGCTGCGGATCCCCTCCTCCATGGTGGCCGCCGCTGACCGGAATCTCAATCTCAGTGGGCGTACCGAACATGGGTCGCAGTAGGATCGATCGACGCTCGAGGGAGCCTTCGTGACTCTGCTCGCCGCCAGAGTTGATATAAGACTTTTCAACGACCTCAAGCTCAAGACGTCCTTTCGTCCCCGTGAAAACTACCCTGAAGCCCTCCACCGGCGAGTACGCTGTCAGGGAGTATGTGAGAATCGCTCCCGACTTGTACCTAACCATGACGCCCATGGTGTCCTCAATACTGATGCCATCGCCGAAAACACTTTGATCTCGGTGATAGCCGTCCTCCTTCTCCGCGTCGAGGTACAGTGCCTTCAACTGGGGGTTGTCCTCCAGGTGCACCGCAAATGGATCATCCTTTGCGTTTTCGCTTCCATGCGCCCGGGTATAAAACTTTGTCACCCCACGCCTTTCGGCATTTTCGCGTCCGTAGAACCTCAAATCGCCCATGGCAACCACGGTGTCGGGACGGCTTTGAAGCCAGAAGTTGACCAAGTCAAAATGGTGGGTGGATTTGTGGACAAGTAGGCCACCACTGTTTCTCTTGTCCCGATGCCAACGGCGGAAATAGTCGGCCCCATGCGAAGTGTTCAGATCCCATTGAAATGCGACTGAATTCACCGTGCCAATCGCTCCAGACGAAATCAGTTCGTAGACCTTAGTATTATGAGGTGCATAACGGTAGTTGAATGTAACACGAAGCTTCTGACCGGTCCGTTCAATGGCATTGAATATCTCGTTGCATCTGGGGATATCAATCGTCATGGGCTTCTCTGACACCACATTGCAACCCAGCTCCATTGCTCGGACAATGTACTTGTTATGTGTGCGATCGATGGTGGTCACAATCACCTCATCGGGGCGGGTTTCCTCAATCATCCGATCAAAGTCGATGGCTTTATAGGTAGGAAGTGCCGAGTGTCCCAATTCCTGCAGCCTGGAGTTTGCATAGTCCATTCTCGTCTGGTTCGTATCACAGAAAGCTACCAGCTCTGGCGTGTCCTTGAAGTCTCTCACAATCGCCATGTAGAAGAAACCAGAGCGGCCGCCGGTGCCCACCAGGGCATACCTTTTACGTGAGACTGAGCCCATGATCTGTGTAGATATATCAACAATCCACTGGAGTCTAGTCTAATCTATCAGTTGTCACAGAGTCAGAGCGGATGCACAGGGGTACTTATGAGAGCTGTGGTCAGGTCAATTTTTCTGTTCCTCTACCAGAGTGTAATCCACATCACCAGCCTTTAGTGGAATTGTGCCATCAGCACTGATATATTTAGCATCGAGCCACGGGTGAAAGCCGCGCGAGCTATCATAGAATAATATTGCGAGATTTCATATTCGACCTCGCATCCTCCTGCTTTTACCAATAGATGAAGTAAAAGGATTACGATTCCATCTTGACAAATAATTTTTGTTGTACAGATTCATCTCTAAGACCATGGACATTTCCAACCACCATAGGTGCTTGTACTGTGAGACCAGGCATCCCCTTGGCGAGGGCTTCAACAAAGAAACAGACTTCTCTCTTTCCAAAGGGAGTCCCTGGCTATAATAACAGCTAAAGCTTACTCCGGCCGGCGCGCTACTAGCGGGGGTTTTCCTGATCTGAGCTCTAATGACAATGTCGGGATGATGACATTGGTGGCTTGAAAGCGTCAACACCCTACACGTCTAGGGAAACGTCGCTGTCGAGGTAGTGACCACATGATACCAGACCACCCAATGATGATGCTAGATTGAAATCTTCAAAGAGGCGTACACTTGGGAATTTATCATCATACGTTGTAATCACCATTTATACCAGCTACTACAGTCACCGTGAGCTGACCCTTCGTGGAGTTGAAAGAGGCGATTATCCTCATCTTCTATCTGTAGCTCTATCTTCCACCCATCGGGCGAAAGAGGTTGCACGCTGATCTATAAGTCTCCAAAAGAGATCCGCACAACAGATAACTGTGGGAAGCACCACAATATACCCCAAAAGGCAAAGTAAAGTAAATTCTCTGCTCGTCATAAGTGGTACTGATGGCGCTCGGGTGACAAATTTGGCGAACTTGGGCAGCAGAGCATACCACATCGACTTGATCACTGAGCCGTGGACCAGGTATAATGCATACGAAATGTGTCCGAGATATTGAGAAACTGGATTGGTGAAGAGAGGCGCAATGAGGGCCGAAGTCGCCACTGGCCATGTAGCCAGGATAGCGCCAATCGCTCGGGCAAAACCATCCTTATTGCTGATGTATAGTGGCACCCAATTGAGGACCGCGTGGTACGTTGGCCACTCATTGGCGCCTATCGGGGGCATTGACAACAAGAAGAGGCCGTACGTGAAAGAGCAAATGTCAAAGGCGTGCTTCAGGAAACTGTGGGGATGGGGCCTCTTGCCAAAAGCTGCTGGAAATACCGATGTGCCTCTGGGCGAGGGAGACTGCAAAATGATATCGTGAAATCTCGTAGAGTCGGACTCCTGGCTTATCGCGTCGAGTTCAGCAAAGATCATGCCGGCAACAAAAAGGGACTCTGAGAACCGCTCCGTGAAGAGGCAGTTTAGAAAGACAACGGTGTGGAGGCTCAACCTCCACTTTGCCTGCAGCCGGGCAGTGGCAATCAGCAACACGAAGATAAGCATGCTGCACTTGAATTCAACCGGTATAGTCCATAAATGTTTGTCGTACACGGTGCCTGAAGGTCGGGCATTCCACTCCTCTTCGTAAGCAAAGTTGAATTTCCCCCAAGGAATAGTGTTGTCTGCCAGGCGGTAACAGTCCTTCAAGCCGTCGTAGAGTTGAGCGAGAAGCGACTTTAGTTGCATAGGCGGTTGCTCGGATGGCCCGGTGCCACCATCATGCGCGTGCAGGAAATATATGTGTCCGGCGTTGAAGAACCCAAAGTGCGCCATGACGGCCGAGGTCAGAATGAGTGCCATAGAAGGTAGGTATAATCGCAACGCACGACGGAAAATCGCCGAGGAAATGGTCGAGAACGCCTGAAACATGTCTTGGCCTCGGATCAGCCTGAGAGATTTTGAGACCAAAACGTAGCCGGAGATGAAGAAAAATATGTCGACCATGGCAGGACCCGACCAGAGAAGAGTGACAAAAGGTTGATACATGAGCTTGCTTTGCGTCATCCCCAGATCTACCCCTTCGTACCAATTGTGAAAGGAGTAAGCGTAATGTGCATGGAACACAAACAAGCAAGCAACACCTCGGAGTCCATCGAGTGACGCAATTTTCTGCGTTGGCCTCCTCTTCTCAGGGCTAGAGCTGGTGATTGTATGTCTGAGCAAGAAGCTCGGGGTGAGTGAGAGAAGCGGTCTGGCCAGGCATGACAACAAGAGCACCAAGTAGTCGTCTAGGTATTTGAGAATGCTGACAACCAATTGCGGCAGGTACGTAGCCTGATGATGTCGTTGAGACGGCCATGTACGACGGTCGCGGTCGCCATGACCAAGGGAAGGGCTTGAAACTGACTGCTGCTGATCAGCCTGCGCAGATCGCGAGTGGTATTTATCGGGCGGCGACATCGTCAAGTCTAGAGGAGTCGGGGATGAGAATACAGGTATATGGAATGGGATGGAGCACTTCATCTTATAACACCCCCTCCCTCACGGCCTTACTATGGTGCTTGAGACTATATCTCGCCTCACCTGCTAGCTGCAATGATGTTTGATTGATCCTCAATTGACTTGATCGGATGCACGAGCCTTTGTCTAACGATCAGGTGGCAAGTGACTTGGTGTCAAGTGCCAGTAAGTCATCCGATCAGATTGTGACCTGTGTTGTGTAAGTCTGACGAAGCGGCACGCCATTGCAGAGCAGAGTTGTATCACTGCTGTCTTCTACCTCCGCCATCTTCTACCTCCGCCATCTTCTGCCTCCGCTTAGGCCGCTGAAGCAAAGGCAGAGGGGTAGGGAGTAGGAGAAAAGATTTCACTGATTGCGATGGTTGATACAAACTGGAGAGAAGCTTTGGGGAGCCAAAGAAGCGGTCGACTATCGAATTTGACAGCTGTCAAACCCCAAATCGACAGCGGGAAGTGTTAGGGGGTCCAGTCCTTCTGCTGCAGAAAAACATCCCCCCCCTTGGTGCATTGACCCATTAGTGCACGTCACGCAAAAGGTCACGAAGATTTTCATTTCCCATATCCTTCTACCCATCCCCTGAATATGGGAATGTTTGCACGTTCCGCGTTTTTTGACTGCTTTTAGCGTTCTGGAGGGGGCCTGGGGATTACTGGGATCGCTCTAGCGCCGCGAAGGTATGGAGGTGTCAATCGGTAACTCCAGCCATCAGTGCAAATTGGTATGTCCCCCGTATTGCTCTGGCGCGTCTGAACCTTCCCCAGGGACTACGCACGTTATATATATGCTATGGATATACGTATTGTACACTGATAGCGCGTATTAAGAGGTCCTCTTCGCAACCACTAGCGCAGACATTTCAAGGTCGTTGTCGCCGCGTAAAGTACGTCGCCGTTAAGGGTGTAGAGAAGCTATATTACTCCGTTAGGTACTTATACGAGAGCGGGACGATCGATTCATATCAGTCAACACGTGCACGCTGACGCACTAATTGTAACGCTAAGTAGTGCCATCAGAGTGCACGGATACGGTGCGGATACTATGGAACCTTACCTAAGGTAGGTATCAATCTCGCTTACCTGATAGTTTGTCTTCACATTTAAAAAGTGGTTGCTGACACCCTCTACGGAGTATTATGGGTTGGAAGACATGGCGCAGACAGAACGTGAAATTTGGACATCCCTCTCTTCTTGTCTTCCTGTCTAGAATGCCTTCGGCCGAGCACACGAATCACAGCCTGTCCATCCTACTGGTGACATGCCGACTCGGTATACCCGTCTCTGCCGCTTGGAACAGCTTTATTGCAGATGCATGAAGGATACTCCATCGTCTGTGCCATGTTCACGAGGCCAACGTGAGAGTCTTGACTACTTCGTTCCCTCTTGTTTCCAGCGAGTCAAGAAGCTCCTCGCATCCCTCAAACACGCCTTCATAGGTGACGGCAGCCGATGGCCGTGATCTTAAGCAAGTCTGGCTACGAGACATCGGCCGGCTGGCCGCGATCATAAAGAGTCCCACAAAAGGAGGCGTCAAACCAAGATCCTCACAGATGTATGCCGCTCCGATATCGAGCACTGTAAGTGTATTGATGCCTCTGGTTTCATGGCCAGCCTGAAGGAATCCCCCTTGGCGACGACAAGGGCACTAACCTTGCAAATATGCTTGGAACATGACAGACTTGGCTAGTCAAGAGGAATGACCATCTCTTGACGGTAGTACAGTGTTCTGCCACGGCCTCACAATCGGAGAGAGTTCGGCGATCGGGGTGCCAACTCCAGCAAGCAGGACCTTATGCATGAACCACAATTTCCGCGAAGCCATATGATATCTCAAAAGTTGCGCGATTGCCTGCGGCAGCAGAGAAGTTTCTCCTACAACCAGGCCAGCGTTTTCTTTCACTGCTCACCACCGATTCAACTTGGACCTGGCTCCCTACCCCGCTTCTGTCGCAGTGGTATAAGCAGCGGCAAAGCCGGTCCCCAAAGTGGACGTCTGCTGTCTTCAAATACTACTGAAAGCTTAGGCGTCTAATGATGGTGTTTGCTCCCAGAGAATCCAATGACCAACTCAGGGAGAGGCGCTCACCGGATTGAATCCCACATTTTGCCGCGACCAAAATATCGCTCCAGTCAATCGACTAATCCTCCTCAACTCGTCGTCCTTCCCATACAGGCCCCAGGCGGAGACGGTGGAACTGTCAAATGAAGGTTGAAATACCCTATGTTCTCTATCAAAGGGTCAGAGGGGGAGCGCATGCTATATAGTATAGATAGCACCTAAAACAGCCTTCTAGTTAAAGCACAAGGCTGGAAAAGCCAAAGTTAGTGCCTAAGTTTGACGGGAACGTCACATGAAAAGGAAGGCAAAAAAACGGAGGGATTGCGCCGCGAGGTCATCGGCTGATATTTTAGGTCATCCGTGAGAGTCTTAGGTGCTCCGTTCAATGGCCTGTCTTATATTATGACTCAATACGGCGGATTTGTGATTGTACGGAGGACTTGTTATCTTTCAGCGGGGCCCGGAGGGCTCGTCAGACTCTATACTTAAACACTTGTGTATACGACGCGCCTCGTTAGCGCGTCAAAGCACCTCGACGTCTTTACAAGCCTTAGCAAGGCATTAGAGCGCTTGCTGTCACAGATTGATGGGAGCTGGCACAGGTGCGATCTTCGGCTCCGATCCCAACGACATCTCCGAGATGCACGGGATATTGACGCTTGAGGCTCGTACACATGTCTTCCACCGGAGCTCCACTTTCTCCTCCGCTGCATCCGGGTCTTGGTAGGTTGATTGCAGTCTGAAGATGGCAGAGTGCATTTAAAGATATACAGGTCACAATGTGCACTATTGTATCACTTTTGTAGAACTAACAACACCCTCGGCGCTGCTCTGAGGCGTGCCAGAGAAGGTCAACCTTGATCAGCTACCGAGTAGACAACGACAAATACAAGATTGTATTCTCCCCAGGGGCACCGTGCCCTAAGTTGAGTCTGGTGAGCCTTTATTAGCTCGAGGGCTCCCCCCCCGACGTAATAGTCTATACTCCGTATATATCTGTACTCCGAATAATCGGCTCCGAACTCGGACAGGCTCCGCAGAGGGTACGGCTTCGGGTCAACCATCTGACCATTTTCACTCCTACCAGAGATACAAAAAGCAGGGCAACAGTTTGTAGTACCGAGGCACTAAACTAAGCCTTCGCCTTGGACTCCAACAGATCAACCGAGTCGGTGGTCGTATCGCACGTGCTGCACAATCAACTCCGTAATCATGTCGGTCGAAAGTCAACAGTGGATCCTGAATGGGAGTCAAGGCCTCTCCTGCTTGGAAAGCACGACGGCAAAGGTTCCAGAACTGGGTCGATATGATGTTCTGGTCAAGTTCAAAGCTGTGTCACTCAACTATCGTGACATAGCGATGGTTCTGGTAGGACGATCCCCCCACCTGATGTGCGTGCGGTGAATCTTCTGCTTTGCAAAGCTGTCCCTTGAGTGAGAAGTCGCTTACAGAATGGTTGTGGACAGGGTAAATACCCTCGCCCTATGAGAAAGGGCTTAGTTCCTGGCTCTGACGGCGCGGGCGAGGTTGTCAAGGCCGGGCCCGGGGTGACGGAATTCCGTCCTGGAGATCGAGTTGCAACCTGCTTTTTCCAGGATTATGTCGCAGGGAAGCCGACTCTGCAGCGACTCCAAACGGCACTGGGGGCCGACAAAGATGGCGTATTTCGACAGTATGGCATCTTTCCTGTCCATGGCCTGGTGGCCATTCCGCCTTGTCTCGACTGGCGAGAAGCTAGTACTCTAAGCTGTGCCGCATTGACGGCTTGGGGTTGCCTCCATGGCGAGAGACCTGTCGCGCCAGGCGACACCGTGTTGATACAAGGTACCGGGGGAGTCAGTCTGTTTGGATTGCAGGTGAGTCGACTCCACTCACCTTGGCCGTGAGCTGCCGTTCAAAACCCATGTCCTGACTGGCCCACTTCCCTGTGCTAGTTCGCTGTTGCGGCGGGTGCGCGAGTCATTGCGACCACTTCTTCGGACACAAAGGTTGGGCTCCTGAAAGGACTTGGAGCTCAACACGTCGTCAATTACAAAACTCACTCAGACTGGGGCGCCCGAGTCCGTCAGCTTACCCCCAATCAACAAGGGTGCGATATCATTCTGGAAGTCGGTGGCCCAAGGAGTGTCAATCAGAGCCTGCAAGCTGCAAAGGTAGGCGCTGACATACACATGATCGGCTGGCTTGGAGGAGCAGGAGATGATCCTGGTCCCACGATATGGGACGTCAGACAGGCACTGTGCAACATAAAAAGCGTGGTCGTGGGCAGCAGAGCTCAGTTCGAAGACATGAATAAGAGCATTGAAGCATTCAAGATCAAGCCCGCCATCGATAGCTCCGTCTTCGATTTGGCACGCCTTAAAGAAGCATATCAATATCTGGTAAGGCCGGAAGAGATTCTTACATGGCAAATTTGTTCTGACCAGCTCTTATAACAGATCGAGGCAAAACACCTGGGCAAAGTGGTTGTAGATGTGCAATAATTGGTGAATTCACGGACGGCGCGAATCTCCCAGACGAGCGAAGCTTTTGATAGAAGAATAGTATCAGTGGAACAGCGAGTCAAACTTATTGTCACAAGGCAACTGAATTGATAATGACCACCGGCAGAACTGGATATTGATTGCCATTGTAATAGGATAATAAGTGCCTCCGGGAGCATTGATATCCGTTGAACCTCCTCTCTGGCTTAGGCAAGTCGGTGGCTGATCAGCCTTTTTACCGGAGTTATTTTTCATCGCTTGCTAATCATCGGGTGGTATGGAGTGTCCTCGGCCGTCGCCGAATCCTTTACCATATTAGATGTAGCACTAATTAATGATAGATCTAGTAGCCCGCTGGCCCTGTCCCCAAGATAACTTCTCCAGTCTACAGACCTCCCCCCCTTTCTCCTCTTCCCCAGTCGGGGGAGCCCCGAGTTGTGGGGATTATACAAAATCCCGGGGTGAATTATTATTGAGATACTACTCGTTCTTGCATTCAATTAATATCTTGAAAAGTGCCATAGAGTTGCGGCGAACGCCGGTAAGCACTATACTAACAATGCTGTTGGGCGCCCGAGGGTATTTGTCGGCCCTCGGCGGATCGAGCACGAAGTGAGTATATAGTATATGGGTTCTTCCTCGGCACTAGGAGAAAGCAATTCATCCTACAAGGTTGTATTTCTTTCTGTTAATTTCAACGCAAATCGTCTGCCTAGAGCCGTACGTCTCCCTGAACTTACACCATGACTGCCCACGGAGCGAGTGATACCGCCAATCCAGAACATGGCCGTCGACACTTCGGAGCCAAATTGGTGTTTACCATTGTCTTCATCTGCTTCGGCTCAAGCAGCTTTGGGTTTTCAAACGCCGTGATTGGTTCAACCTTAGGGCAGCCGTCGTTCATGTCTACCATGGGCCTGGACACTGCTACAAACGCGAGCAGCCTCATTTCTGCCATTCTGTCGATGTTCTACGCCGGTGGCTTTTTTGGGGCATTTTGTCACGCCCTGTTGGCGGACCGCTATGGCCGGAAGGTATCTGCCTCAGTGGCTGCCTCTATTATGATCATAGCCGCAGCCATCTGCACTGGGTCGAACAACATCGGCGTGTACATCGCATTCCGGTTCTTCTGCGGCTGGGCGTGAGTTGAAATCCGAACTGTCTGAAGCATAACAGCACTAACTTGGCACTGCAGCTCATACCAATTCATCTGTACCATCCCGACCTGGGTCACAGAAATCACGCCCCCTTCTCATCGTGGTGTTCTTGGAAACATAATCGCAGTCAACATAGGGTTGGGATACGTTATCGCCTCTTTCAGCGGCATCGGCTTCTATTTCGTCAAAGGCGATGACCAATGGCGAGGTGTCACCGGTCTCCAGATACTGTTCCCAGGACTCCTTCTCGCGGCAATCTATTGGCTTCCGGAGTCTCCCAGATACCTTATCGCCAAAGACCGGCACGAAGAAGCATTGGCCATCCTGAAAACCCTTCATGCCAGTACCTCTCAGGCGGATCACTTCGCAGAGATGGAGTTCTTTCAAATTCGAAAGCAAATCGAGTGGGATAATGCGCACAAAATGACTTATCTGGAGATATTCAAACACCCAACGATGAGAAAACGTGCTCTCATTACTATTTCCTTGACCTGGTGCATGGTGGGCTCTGGAGTTCTGGTCATAAACAGTAAGTCCTTCACCATTGTCGCCCTTGCACTGGAGTAGTGACATTTTATCAGACTATGGTACCGCCATCTATTCGGCCCTCGGCTTCAATGAGCTTGACACCCTTCTATTCCTGGCCGGTTGGGTTTGCATTGTCCTCCTCGCTCCATTCGTCTGCATGACATTTGTCGATCGAGTGAGCAGAACCTGGCTTTTGGCCAGCGGCTTCTTCCTTTGTATGTGCACTTTGATTGTCGAGGCAGCACTCCAAAAGAATTTTCTGGGAACCAACAACACCTCTGCCCTGTCCGCCGCCGTAGCCATGACATACCTTTATGTATTCTTCTATGTCTTGTGTCTGGACGGGCCCATGTTCTTCTACATTGGAGAGATCTGGCCATCGCATGTGCGGGTCCAAGGTTTTGCAATCGGCATTTCTGCCATGTGTATTTCCAACCTTGTGTGGACGGCTGCCGCCCCAGTGGCGTTTGCGAACATCGGATGGAAGTACTACATCTTCTTCATCCTCCAGGCTGCCATCGGAGGGGTGGCTACCATACTTTACTCCCCTAACACATTAGGAAAGCCACTTGAAGAGATTGCAGCCCTTTTCGGTGACACTGCAGAGGTCGTGGTCTTCCAGGCCGAACTCGAGGAATCGCGATTTGAGAATGGAGTCGAGGGCAAGGAGTTCCCTGAAGGTGTCGAGCATGTTGAGACCGCAGTGGGTGTGGGCAAGGAGAATTGACGGCGAGTTTACGTACAATGGGGGAAGAGATAGTGTCCTGCTTCTTATGTCCGAGACGGAAAACTATAAGAATATACCCCCGCCGCCAAACCTGATCCTGTAGAATCTGAAGACGGTGACTACACTATCAACTCATCAGGATTGGATTTATGTTTCCTCTCCGGCCGTAAGCTGTAAGGTCAGTCCACACATCAAGTGTCAATACCTCGGTCTACTGAGGCAAAAGTTTCCAGCCATACAGACACGCGAAAGCCCAAGTACAGGTACTGGTGCAGTCAATAGAAAGCCATCAACCTGTGATGGAAGAACCCTATGACACCTGTCGGCCGGTCCAGCGAAGAGTCTCGGTGTCTGCCGAATGTGAAGCGCCATCACGCGACTCGTCGGTGGACCCACCGATTGGTGGAATACGGTGTTACCGTTCGGCTTTATGGCAGAGGATCTAGCAATACGCTGAATGTTGCATCGTTACCACACAAAGAAGTATACGAGACTTCTAGAGGAGCACCTAAGCCCTTACACAGATACTGTATACAGCGAGGTCAAAAAACGGCTGCCTTTTTCACCTGCCTCGTCCAGATCAATTAGGGCTTTGCTCCTATTCAAGCTTGTCTGATGGTCATCTTGGAATAGTGTGGTTGGGATCCCATAAAAGTACGGGTACTGCAGCTTGTCGTCGAGATTGTCATGTTATCCACATGCACATATCTCTTGCCCTTGTACTTCTTTTTTGTCGTACTTGTCAGTCTTCTTTGAATTCCTCAATTCTGGTGTCTGTATCGACCTGCTGCATCTCATGGGCCAAGGCATCTTCAAAAGTGACTTCTATCTCATCCCCGAACTTCGCACCTACTTCTTCAAGAGTGAGGCCTGCTGTCTATACACCGACGAAAGAAGTCAGTTGGGCCTCGATTCTATCTGAACATCAAAAGATAACCGCTTACCTCGGGGAACTGGAACCAGATGAATGTGCTTCCGGAAACACATAAAGCCACAAACACAAAATAGTATTTGTAGCCGATTTGTGCAAATGCAAGAGCCGCCGGCGATGTGATCGCAATCGCCACAGAGTGATAAGCGACGTATGCAATAGCGGCTCCATGGCTTCGAAGATGGGTTGGCCAAATCTCTGGAACGTAGACGTACGTCGTGTTGTCCAGGAAGGCGCCCCAAACCAGGATGTAGATGAAGAAGAATGCCGTAGCAGCATTCAAGCCTGGCTTGTAAGTGGTGCCAAAGTAGAACTTCTGTAAAATGGCCACGATAATCAACATGGCAGAGGTAGCATAGCCGCCAATGACTGGACCAGTTAGCTCATCAATAGAATGGGGGATCGGATCTACTCTCCTACTCTATGGTACCTATCGAAGAAAACCAAGATTTTTTATACGATGGGTACCAAGGAATCTTAATCATCGAATATCGCTTGGTACCCATCGTACAATCTCTCTTTTTTTTCTTAATAATCCATCCTTAGGGTCTCTACTATAAATATACAAAGTTTCGAAGATATCGACGTAGAACTCGTAAAGGTAGAGGGGAAACCCTAAAGTGAGGTGAACGGGAGGTAAAGTGAAAGGTAGGTGAAGTAAGACTTCAATGAGGCTCTTAGGTGAATACTCGTCCTAGACGAGTGAATGCTCGTTTCATACGACCAAGATATCGCCAAGCCTGATATACCTAGGGAATATATATACTATCGTGTCACTTCTTTCCAACCTTATCTCTTTTATATCAC